TTTGGACATTCCTTACAGAGGACACACTACTGGAAAAAGAATTAAACAAACACTTCTTTGTATAGTTCTATAACGACATGGATGTTGTAGACCCTTGATCAAATTGCCACCTTTTAAAAATACACCCTGGCAGAAAGGGAGCGCACTCCCATATGATTGCGAGCAGCCAAAGGAAGACCTTAATAAGTAGCCTCAACATATATGTAGTTCTTCCAATCCCAGCTTCCCCCTTTGAGCAGCAGACAGAAGACATTCGTCCACTCTACCCACCCGCCGCACATCCGTGCAGCAGAGAACTTTCTCTTGTACGCTGGTAGCAGCCGCATACAAATTATTTTGACCAAAAGTTTAACTCAACTGCAAAGAATTTTAAAAAGTTTCACGCCATCGCATCTCTGCCTCTCCATTAGGCAGAAATTGTCTTGGGAAGGGAGGGAGCTGATAAATTAAGACGCTGGAGCCACAAATCATTGAATTGAACCGCAGTGCGACAGGGACCGAGACTGAGACTGGCGGGACGGAGACAGCCCCAGGCTCAGCTGCTGCTTCAATTCAATCTGCCATCGATTTGCCCCCAAAGGCGACACATGTGGCAAAGCACGGCTCCTCCCAGCTACCAGCTCCCTACTCTCCTACGTTTCTCTTTTTCCTTATTTGTGCACCCTTACAAAGAGTACAAAGGGTATTATTATTTTCATATCTCAGACTTAATAAATCATATATGTAGCTGGATTAGGAACTGGTAGGAGCTCATCGAAATATGCATCTCAATCAGAACGGAAGATGGACCTGGAAGGGTATCTAAAGCCTCGGCCCCATCTCTTCGGTTTTGTTTGTAATAAAATTTCTGGGAACTTTCTTGTTGCGGCTCGGCTGCTTCTTGTCCTGAATTTTAATAAACTTTTGACTGGAGGCCGCGTAGGGACTGGGACTAGGGCTAAAGGGTTTTTTTTTTTTTTTTGGCGACAACCCACACGATCTTGGTCGAGTGAAAAGTTGTCAGCTTAAGCATTTTTATCAATAAGAAAAATACTTTTCCCGTAGCTCCTTCCCCCCAAAAAAAAACTTGCGTCTTGGAAACTTGTTTTATAATCCTCTTTAGTCCTGCCCTGGCCTGGCACTTGCATTTACTTGGCAATTACTTCAAGTCCTGATTTAATTGAATGCAAATGCAGAAACAGCAACTGAAATAGGTCCTCCGCATCCCCAGGGATTTGGTGGAGGAGGAGCTGCTGGCGCTGTCGAGACGCTCCAGCAGCAGCAGCCATATTTTATGCAACAGCAACACAAAACTGCAACTGAGATGGCAGCTGAGGAGCAGCAGACCCCCAAACCACCAATCCCAGTGTGCTTGTGGGGTGCCATGCCCTGTCTGTGTGTCTGTTTTCTGGTTCTCAAGTTGCATAATTTTGTTTTCCTTTCAGAGCAGGGGCCCGCGCCCCACGTTGGCTCCGACTCAGGTCCTGGCCCATTCGTGAGCACCTTCTTGGCTGCATTCATACTTTTTCACACCCTTTAGGATTCCTTCGAGCATGGCATGTGAGTGCACTGAAAGAAACCCCTTGACTTTAACAAAATATATGGACATTTAGGAAAAACTGGTGCGTTACTTTAATCGGATGATAGATTATAGATATAAAAGGATCGATGGATCACCAAGGGTATCAAGAGTCAGCCTTCCATTGTGGCTTTTCTGCAAGTGTGGGTGTGTCTGCTCGTGAAAGCAGTTCAAGAGGCTGCTCGACAGGAGCTGCCAACTGCCAGCTCGGAGTTGCTCCTGTTACCATTTGCCCTGATGAATGGGGGATACGGTGTACTTACTACGGCTTCTGTTCCTCATTTCATGTGGCGAGCATTTTGCCATCTCTTCATCTGCATCTGAATCTGAATCTGACTTCTGCACATGCACATGCTTTTTTAAAGCAATTTAAATTAACAGCAATGGCGACATCCTCCTGCAGCAGAATGGGCCTGGAGAGTCCCTGTGTGCGGACTGGATGGGATGTTGGGTGTGTGTGAGTGTGTTTGCTCATGCCTCGCGGGATTTGGTGGCTTGGAAGGGGGAACAGGAGACTGCGAACCCGGGGACGACATGCAATTGGAATGCAATTTGTTATGGGAAGTTAAGTCTCCACTTGTCAGTTAAGTTTACGCTTGGCTGTTTGCCCGTTGTCGTCCTCGCAGGTTGCCATCCAGCTATGTGTGCTTGCCCCTGGATCGTGGCACTTGGCTTTTGTACACCTACTCCCTACTCCCTACTCCCTCCTCCACGCTGGCTGTCTGCACCCTATACTCCCCACAGGACAATTAAAAAATAATTAAAGTATTTAAATATTTAAATTAATTTGTGTTGTCCAAAATGCCTTTTGTAATTGGTCTGGAACACGTTGTCCGTCGTAGCCGCAGAGCGAATGAGTGAGTAATGTTTGGTGGAAGCTGTCTCAGCTCCTTCCCCCTTCCCCCATATATTTCCCTTCCCCCTTTGATAATGCCCAACTCGGAAAACAATTCGAAACTAACAAACCAAGTAAACACCACCAAAAGCAACAACAAGCGGGAATCATCCAAACGCAGAGCACGCAACTTTTTACTGCTGGCGCCAGTTCCGGCACCCACTCCGCCTTCAGTTGGGACTTTATAGCCGTTTACTTTGACATATCGCAGCGGACTTAACCGGGCCCGTCCCGTCTAATGGAGCTGAAGCCGCTCCAGCAGAGGCGGCACTCGTGCTCCTACTCGTACAGCACGGAGACGCCTCAAATTATGCTACACATAAGCGGTAGAGTCCCGAAACGGACTCCACTCGGCAAATCAGACGATTTACATGCAGGCAAAATGTTGATTAGAAAATTAATTAAGGTTTTTACGATGGCAACCGAGGCAACCGGGCCGAGTCCGGGCTTTCGAGCTCAACAAAAACTTTCGCTCCGGCGAATTTACGACATTTTTATGACGGCCTGCCATGCGAACGGGGGAGGAGAGAGCCGGAGGCTCGTAAAAAAAGTGCGTAAAACTTTCTGTCAGTGGCAGGAGCTGGGAACAACCGGAGCAGGACCTGGAGCAGCTGATAAAGAGCCACCAGCCTTCTGTCAAGCCATTGAATGCTCCTCCTGCCGCTTCTGCTCCTGTTCCTGCTCCTGCTCCTGGCACTTGGGCGCATATGCAGATGAGTTTTGGCCATAAAACCTCCAAGGAAATTTCGCTCAATAAATAAATTGCGCGCTGAATGTGTGAAGCCTTTCAATCCTTTCGTTTCCCCTTTTTTTGTGTGGGCGTCGACACGCCCAAAATTTAATGGAATGAAAGCCACGAAACATGAGAGGTTCTAACAAAGATCTGCCTAGTTTGGCAGATCCTCGAGAGAGCAACCCCCGTGGTACAGTTGAATGCAACATCGATAGCAGAAAAAGTTCCAGCGCCAAGGGGGAGGAAGCACAATGACCGGGGAACTTGACGAAATCATTATTTCGCCTCGACATTTATTGATGCCATAAACTTGAGGATTTATGCGTTCTGGCAGCCCGCTCCTTCCACAGCACACCCCCTTTTTGGGCGAGAATGCATTCGAAACGGGGGAAACCGCACAACAGCCAAAAACCCACCCGTTCAGGAGGACATTGATACCCCCCGGCACAGGGAATCGTCCTGGCTACGTGGCCATGTCAAATTTTAGTTCGTATTTTGGCATATTGCAGCACAGTGGGACGCAGTGGGACACAATGGGACGCAGCAGGAACGAAGTCAAATAACCCATCAAGCCAGAGGGTGGAAGGGAGGGAGGAGTGGTTCCCCGATAAGCTTACTCTTCCCCCCCTCATTTCCTTATCTCTCGCCCTTACACACACAACACACACACACACACACACACACACACACAACCAACACCGTGTTAATTTATTTAAATTGACTACGTGCAAAGTTTACTTACGTCTTGGACCATGCCACGCCTCCCCCACGAACTCCTACCAAGGAGAGTTTCGTCTAAGGGCGAGGAAGAAGGCAGGGGAGTCAATGTTTGCACAAATTTCACATTTTACTGCGCTTCGTTGACGTTTTTTGTCTTCAAATGCAAACCAATTTTCAGACTGTGGACCAGGATATACGGATACGCGACTGAGATTCATATTTATCGGTTTGCCCGACAGCTCTGATGACCTACCCTTTGAAGGGTATAAAGACGGTCACTTTAGCGGTGAATGCGAGCAATTATTATTAGGATTTTAATTGAACTTGTTCAGCTATTACATTCTTAAGAGTTAATTTGTTCGATAAATCATCAGTTCATTTTCGAATTGAGTGATCAGTGTGTGAAACAGTACAAGTTATTTACTCAGGTTTGAAGCTCACTGATAGGCCGCGTTCATCTTTCAGTAGCGCATTTGGCAAACGCTCGCGCATAAAAACTCATTTGAAAGAGTGCCTCTCACTCGACTCCCATGGCCAGCAAAGACAACAGTTGAGGGTGCTCCCAGCAGCGACTCCTCCCTCCGTACAGGCCAGAGAAGCGCGTTCAAGTGCACATTGGCTGCTGGGACTATGCATGGGCACTGCTGGTTCTTCATGAGGCGAGATGCTCTGGCCTCCGGGCTCTGCCAGCCATTCGCGTGTCAACAATAAGCGCAATAACTTAAGCGTGCATTTCTGTATGGCGTGGAACGGGTAACTGAGGCATGGCATCCACATGCAGGGCAGGTAATGAATGCGTTCCTCCGTCGAGTATACCTGACAGCTAATTAACTGGCAAATGGATCTCAGCAGCGGAACAGGAGCCAGCAAACACTGGCCACTTTTATCCGAGAGCAGGGATATGCTTCACCCACGGCCTCTGGTCCAATGGCCACTTGAAAATGCATTCTCGACGGCTGGTTTTCTACATTCTTTTTGTTTTACTCAGTTTAATAGATACGTACGTGTCTTTTTGTGTCTACATCTCTTCACAGCATTAAGATTTGTCTTTAGTTTTTTAAATAATACAAATCGTTTGCATAAATACGCTAAACTGAATAATTTAACAGATCGGCACACTATTAGTATACACAAGTTAATGAACGTTTCCATTAAAGTTGTGTAGTTTTTGTGTATAAGGTAAATCACAAAAATTTGATCTACGAATCAGGCAAAGTAGAAAAATGATACGAGAGTATATACATAAGAAAGCATTAACTATGAACGACTAAATGCTAAACTAAGCAACTAATTTTGAATGCGCATGCAGAACATGTTTGGTTGACTAGAATTGCACACGATAGCTGCTTCCGCGGCTCCTCCGTTGCGCATTAGGTCAGAGGATTGTTGTGCAGGTACCTGGCCAGCAGGAGAAGACCAAACGATGTGACCATGAATATGCTGCCAGGTATTGATCGCCGTATGGCTAGATTGGGATCACGTTCGCGCTGCGAGAACAGCTCGATGTCTGCCTCGTATGTCTCGAAGTTGTTCCAGTGCAGGCACCTCTTTACTGCGTAGTCCCAGCGCCTGTAGAGCACCTCTCGACCTGCGAAATAAAATACAAATTAGTTCCATTATAGCTATGCAACAGTACTCTTGTCGCCTGCACTTACGGTTCGGTGTGGTGGTGGGAGAGAAGACGTCCGTCGGTGGAGCATACATCTTTGTCGCATATTCTAGGGATACCACGCCCATGGTCACGCCGGCCGCCATCATAGCTCCCAGACCAGCTGGCGAGGCGGTATGTGGCCGTTCCAGCATGTAGCCCATGATATCCGCTATGAATTGGACCAGGTGTGTGTCTTCTGCGTACTCGCCGCCGAAAGTAAGCACCGGATTCATGCACGCGTGATCCCAGTTGGGAGTGTCCCGCTTGAAAGCCTCGAGAACTTCGTAGATCTGGAAGCCGGTCGCCTCGTAGGCAGCCTGGGTGATGTTCTCCGCCGTAGTCTGACTGGAGAGGCCCAGAATTATGCCCCGAGCATCATAGCGCCAATAGGGCGCATACAGACCATGAAAGGCTGGAACAAGGGTAATCTCTGACCGTTTGGCCGCCAGACCGCATTCAGCATTGAGCATGGAGGATGAGCAGGTGGAGGAAATCATTGAGCTGTCGCCGATAAAGGTATTAAGTGATTCCACTACATTGTCGTTGGAGTTAATCTCGGTATTGATGCGCAGCTTTTCGCGTAGCCAATTTACTGTGGATCCGGCATTGGAAATGGCTCCCTCAAGGCTGTAGTTGGTGCGCGCTCGGGGTCCCAGCTGGTGCGCTATTCCTGTGATCAGTCCATTCTCTGATTCAAACTTTTCTGTGCCCGTGTGGAGTAGGACAAAGCAGCTGTCATCCAGGGTGCAGACATTCTGGCCGGCCTTAATACACAGTTGGCCCATCAAACAGGCAGGCTGCTCGCCAATTACCCCTGCTATAGGGACTCCCAACAACGGTCCGTCTAGCACGTAGCCATATATTTCGGAATTGGAACGTATCTGTGGCAGTATTTCTATGGGCAGATTAAAGAATCGGCACAGCTTTGCATCCCACTGCTGTGTAGACAGGTTCATTAGCGAAGTGTAGTGCGCATTGGTTATGTCCGTCGAGTGAACTCCCGCCTGGACGCCACCGGTTAGGTTCCACAACAACCAGGAGTCCAGAGTGCCGAAAAGGCACTTGTCCTCATTTATAGCACCTCCCACAGCCGGAATATTCTCCATCAGCCAACGAATCTTCAAGGCACTGAAGCAACCACTCAACGGGAGCCCAGTGCGTTCCCTCACATAATCCACATTCTGCTTCACGTTGTGCAGGACCCTTCTCAGGACTGGGGTGCTGCGACTGTCCGACCAACCAATGGCATTGTGCAGCGGCTGGCCAGTGTACTTGTTCCACAACACGGACGTTCCCCGCTGATTGACAATTCCCACGGCGATGATGTCATGCGGATCGATTTCCAGTGTCACCAAGTTCTTGTACGCCGACTACGAAGTTATTTGTTTGGGTTAGTTTCTGATGATATAACTGGTGCAAGAGTCCCCGATACGCTACCTCAATGCACTCCTGCATGTATTTCCAGATCTCCGATGGGTCATATTCCAGCCAGCCGGCCTGGTGGACGATCTGCCGCAGCTTCAGCTCATGGCAGGCCAAGACTTCGGCGTTTTTTGTCGAGTAAATCTATGGAAATAGATATTGAGTCAGCTGTCTACCCACACAGTCAGACACTCACGCGTGTGTGTGTGCGTGTTACGAGTGCGTTTTTGGCTTACCAGAAATCTGCAGTGGGTGACGCTCACGTACGCAATGCCAATGAGTGCTCCAAATCTGCCATATCTGCCGTTGCTCATATTTTGTTACCTATGCTGTGTGTGGCACACACACGTGCTGTTTGGTAATAGGCGCGCGAGCGGTGGAAAATGCTCAAGCCGTGTTTGTGTTGTTGCTTTTCGGAACGAATCAAATTAAGCCCGAGAGCGTTTGGCGAAGGGCGGTTTATGACGACAGCTGACAGAGGAACGAACTTAGCCCTCTTAAGCCCCCTTCATTTAAACAACTTGAGTTAAATTGCCTATCCTTTATCTTTGCTTAAAAAAACTTGAACTTGAAGTTCACCTGAACTTAAATTTTCACTATTTTCGTGGAGTGTATTTGAATGCCCACTGGTCGACAATGGGTTAATGTGCCTTGTACACGATTGGAAAACGCTACTTCGATTGTAATTCAAAAACTTGGCTAGGGTGGCAGCGCCCCAGGTTTTACCACCAAGCAGATCAAGTTGGCAGGCCTGTCAATGTGAGACTGCGCAGAGCGCGTAAGACAAAACCGAAAAACAGAGAGACGAAATAAACGCAGCGCTGTCAAACGGTTAATTGTGCACAACAAAATAACGCTTTGGAGTCGTCGCTCAGACCATTTCGGAAAATTGAGAAGAACCACAGCCTATGGCAGCAATTTGAGTTAGTGACCGTCACCACAGCGAGGAAGAAGAAAACAATCGGATTGAATTAAAAGATACTCTACTGAGTATTATGATAAGTACAAAGCTGGAACACAAAATGCAACGCTATTATGCTGAACGTGAGACCACAGGACCAGAATTCGGTGAGTTTCATTTATGGATTTGCCAATACACAATACAGAGAGAGACGCGCTGCAGAATCAAACCAACCCCCAATGAAGGACAGGACGATTGTCCTGCCCGGCCGCGTCTTCCGCGCTTAGGGGTTGCTTGCGAAGAAACGTAGAAAGCAGAAATGACTGATTGACGGATTTTAACGATTTTTCCCACAAAAACAACCCACAGACGATCGCTTGATAAAACTGGTCCGCGCCAATCCAGCCATCTACGACGTCAGCCATCCGCACTATCGCCGCAATCCTGTGAGAGTCGACATATGGGATCGCATTGCCAACGAACTGGGCACCTCCTGTGAGTAATTTTTATGCGAACGGCCCCCCGCAAGCCGTAGTACTCATCCACCCACCACCCCTTGTCTTCCCACCCCACAGCACGCTTCCTGCAGACCAAATGGAAAAACATACGCTACAACTATCTGCAGGAGATCAAGGCCATTGAGACCGGCCAAGTAAATCCGAATGTGCGAAAGCGACGCTTCACGGAGGATCTGTCATTTCTCCAGAACACCGCCCAAACATACAATGTAAAGAAAAACCAGACATTTGCGGCGCCCACCAATAATGGGAGCAGTGACAACGACAGCAACAGCTTTCTTTATCCCGATCCGGAGCACTTGACGGTCGATGCGTCCTGCAACTATGATATCATTGAGCTGGACAACAGTGAGGACGGATCGAATAGCGACGACAATGAAATCGTACCCGAGCTGCAGCTCATGGAGCCAAAGATGGAGGTTTCCATTGAGGGGGGCTTGAATGGCACCAATAGCAGCAGCAATAATAGTCGCAACAACACCCACTATAGCTCACCAGCCTCCTCGCCCCTCCTCACACCAATGGTTGTCATGGGCAATGGGTATGAACAGGACGAGCAAAGGCAGCAACAGCAACAGCAGGACATCAAGAACAGCTCCCTCTCGAATGGAGAAGTTACCATTGAGCCCATATACAAGTCAGGAGCCACAAGACGACCGGCGGCCAGCGATATTATGGGGAATGCAGCCAAACGTAAGGCCATGGTCGCCCCTCTGCCTAGCCTGGCGCCCATCAATGACCCCATTGAGCTTTATTGCCTCTCACTGGTGGATACTCTGCGCAGCATGCCCAGGTCGGAGCGGGAACGGGTCAAATTCGAGTTCGCAAACATTCTAAAGGACGCCAAGTACAAGGACGAGTCCTAAGGGACTACTGCCTGCGAACGGCGATCTCTCTAATCCATATGCAATACGTACAACATTTGATTTGAGGCATACAATCGATTATACACACACTTTTTTTACACACTAGACTATACACCTATGTATTAATCCATTTACATAGCATTTGTACTTGCTGCGTCTGTCTGCGTTTCTAGGTATAAGCTTAAGTTAACTTGTATTTATATATTTATTACCAAGAGGCAGCCTGATAAGTCCGTATCTGTTAAGTTGTATCAACAGAAATCCCAAATAAAGTGTGCACAAATCATGCCAGAAGATGACATGCCCCCATCCCCATCTCTATGCTTTAATGCCTCAGATTTCATTTGCTGCTCGCGTGGAGTCAGCACAGAGTAGTATGTATTTTATTATTCAAATATTTAAAAGTAGTGTATGTAAAGCGTATAAACTACAAAAAAAGATGATGCTCTTATACCTTTGTATACAAATCAGAGTAACATTTAATTTGGTTAATCTTCGTTTAGCGAAAATTTACCTACAAGAGAGACCCACGTGGGTGTGGGTGGCTCTCACACTTTTCACCGATTAAAAAATTGATTATCGTAAATATTAACTGGTTCTTCTTTTAGTCTATACAACTAGATTGGGTTCGGGGTTAGGATTAGGCTTAAGGTTAGGGCTATATATTTAATATATAGTGCAAAAGGCACATACATACACAGACATGAATGAAATGAATATTAATATGATTAACAAATATAGATCAACTAATGGGTATAAGAGATAATCAACACATAGAAAACTTAAAACAACTTTTTTGTTCACTTTATGAGCATCCGTGTAATAGCTGCTTCAAGTCTTCTCTAAATTCTACGTTTAAAAATCGTGACGCGGTGTGTTCAATACGGAACTTTGCGTCTGAAACAACTGACGACTGATGGGCTCCTGGCTCTTTTCATTATCGTCAGTGTCAAGTATGTCGGAAAGGTCGTACGGGCTGGGCTGGTAGGCCATCATTTCCGAGCCACTCGAAGCTGCAATAATTGAAATCGAATTCAGTTTACGGTTGAACGAATTGAGCATTTTCTCAGCTTACCTTTCTTTTCACCGCTTATGCTATCAGTGGGAAACGATAGGCCATAGGTGTCCAGAAGTTCCGAGTCATTGAAGAGCTGCAATATGCATAAATAAATGAGGTTAGTTCAATGATTGTTTCTTAGACATATATTCGATAAATTAGTGGGCTTATTAAGTGCCGGACGCTTGCGCTGACCTTTATCAACTGGTCGTCTTCGGTCAGCTGCAAAATGGACGTCCTGGCAAGAGCCTAATCGTATAGAATCGTATAGAAATAGAACGTATGTTATAAAATGCACTTCGGACAAACGGACACGTTCTCTGGCAGCCCAAGTAAATGAAACGGAGGGAAAATTAACTTACACCCAAGAGCATGTTCTGATCGATGGAGACGCCATCGCCACGCAGCAAATCCTTGAGGGTCTCTAGCTCATCTTGCACATTATCCAAATGCCCGTGGACATCGTCACTGCAACAGTAAGAAGGGGAAATGGCCTCTAGATTATTGTCTATCGCTCTGGGGACTAATAAAGGCTTCTCAGCTACTAACACTGAATTAATCCTCATCAGAGGACCATTGCTCCCCTCCCGAACATCACTGTTTTCGCCAGCATACTTGGCCACAGCCATTGCTGCTGCCTCGCCCTCAGTGCCTGATGCTGTGGCCTTTGTGGCCGCCGCTGCCTTCGATGTGGATGCCTGATTGGCGTCTAGCAGAGAGTTGCTGCTGCCGCTTATCGGTACATCAAAGTTGCTGGAAAACTTTCCACTGCTGACTGTGGACTTGCCGAATGTCTGCTGCTGATTCAGCTTGTCAACCTCTCCCAGATCAGTTGAGAGCATTGAGGGGTCCTGCAGTTTGTTATTAATAAGCGTGTAAAATGCAGAAAAGTTAAAGCTCACCTCAAATATGTTTGACGGCATATCTTCGGTGATAAAGTTCACGTTGTACATGTCCGAGTCAGTGCCATTCATCAGGTCTAGCAATCCGGAATCGGGTTCGGGCTCTGTCTTGATAAATACAGGCTGCGGCATCACATTGACCTGAGAATTCGTCTTAAGCTGGGAGCGTGTGCGCACAGTCTTGGCAGACGCTTCATCGACTGAAATGGCGCTGGCTGAGAGCATCTGATCCCCTGTCTGCCGCCGCTGTTTGTTCTTCTCCTTGAGCTGCTGCCGCTTGCGCTCCTCCTCGCGCTGCTGTTCACGCACCAGGGGCGTAAGCACATTATGCTCATCGGTGTAGACAGGACTGCTGGAGACTTCCGGGACATGAGCATCCGGGAGCTCAGTCACTGTGTAAGCGATTTGTTCAGCCGGCGAATGACTCAAGCTGGAGGCCAGAGGGGAGGCAGCTCCAGCCCCCACTTGCAGCAGGCTGCCGCCGGCAGCACCTCCTCCCGCTCCATTGTTAGTCCGGAGCAAGTCCTCGACGCTCTGATTGGAGTAGTCAAAGCTTATCGACTGTGGCCGCTCAACGGACTGTGGAGAGACGCTCTCCTGGTCATATTGACCGGTGCTGGGATTCATCACTTCGTCGAGCAGCTCCTCGCTGAGTTCATGTATGACTGGGCCACTGCCCGCATCGCTCTCCGTTTCGCTGGTAGTACGCGCGCGTGCGTTTTCCGGCGTGTCATTGATCATAAGCTGCATGTGCCGCTTCACTCCCGACATATTCCTTGATGGCTGCACGATCGAAATGAGGAACTGTATCAATTTGTTAACTATCTGCTGCTGTTTCGAATGCTTCTGCCGGAGACTAGCGATCTCCCGCCACAGCACTTCATTCTCCTGCTTCATGGCCGAGAAGCGCGAGTCCATGGTGTCCTGCCGACCTTGCATAACCTTCACATCGTTCAATATCTTGGACACAGCCTCCGGCTTCATCACCGCCTTGTCATCCACATTCTTGTTGTTGGATATCTTTCGTTTTATTTGGTCCAGCAGATAGGCAGAGTTGCGCTTGAAGAACGGATGGGAGAACTCGATCTCATCGCGATCGAATCGCAAGCCCCCATTCTCAATCGATGTGATCTTGTGGAATCCATCTGTACGGGAAAACAAAACGGAAAACCGCTTAGATCCCCATCTTGTCACTTGTGCGTCCTTTGCACTTACACATATTCAGCTGCCTGATAAAGCTGGCCATGTTGTTGTGCTTGTAGTTGAGGGGCAGCAGTTCCCTCGCGAATTGCGCCTGGTTTTGTATGACGAAGCTGTGGCCATCCTGGAATCGAAAGTAATACGGAAAGTCATGCTGATAAGTGGATATCAAACACAAAGTTGCGGTATGCCAAATAAAAGTCCAAAACTAGCGATAAGCCCCATGTACATATGTATGTATGTTTGTGGTCACAGAAATAAGTATCTAATTATAAGCACACACATGTGAATGTACATACGCATATGCATGTATAATGTGAGCAAATATTTCATCAAGTGATTGATTGGGACGCTGGCTGTTATCAGGTCGCACTCTTTGGAAAGAGAAACGATTGGATTTTCTCTTATCTATGTAATTGCTAAACAGAATGACCAAGTCAAAACACCGTAGAGGGGGAAAATTCCCGACTGACAGCTGGAGCGGGCGAGGAGCGGAAAATTTTCAGAGGGCACGCACGTACGCACTTCTGTGGCCTATGCAAATCGCATAACAACAATGCATACGTGCAGAGAGGCATACTGTAAGCAGCAGCAGCAGCAGCAACAACAACAACAACTACGACGACAGAGAGAAAGCTAAAACGCAGAGAGCAGAGAGCAGAGTAAGGCACCTGCACTCGTTGTTGTTTCTGTCGCCATGCTAATAAAAAAAAAAGAGTAAATGGGGAAAGAGAAGCAAAGCAAGGTAAATAAACAATATGGCGGCTTTTGAATCGTTACCTTCGTCCAAAAAATCAAATGATTGGTTTCGGTGTCGTCTACCAAGCGCCACAGCTTGGCCAGAAAGGCGGGCACACCGCTGCCCATGCCCGAATCCCCAAATGAATGCATATTGCGACGCGGAGAGCGCTCCTCTTCGTCGTCCTCCTCCTCACTGGACTCGTGCCTGTGTTGCACGGCTTTGACAGATGAACGCCTGGACATATAGTCACTACCACAACTGCAAATAAATACCCGAAAAACGAATGGGAAACAAATTAAATCAATGAATTTTCAACACGCTCTACTCTGGTCCACAGTTCAGCCCCATTAGCGCTACGTGTGTGTGTGTGTTTGTGGCTGCATGCGCATATATGGATATGATCATATGTCTGCATGTGGGGGCAGGTACGACACGATTGACGAAATGCGATTTGATGTGAAAGTTAAGTTGCAACTTTGATATTTTCAATTATGGCCAAATGCGTCATACAAACTTAAACCTGCACACACATTTAATTCAAGTTCTCTTTCTTTCTCTCCGCCTACACCTACCTTAACAATTTTCTGGCTTTAAACAATTCACTCACTGTTTGATCGTTTCTTAAAATGTCTTTAGTGTTTTTACACTTTAGTCCAAACTATATCCACATTTTCTATGTTTTCAACTTTGTACTTATAATTTTTATGGAATTTCACGAAAATAAAATTTTTTTCTCTCTTCTTCGTTTGGTCTCGCGTCTATCGCTATCGCTCGTCAGAAAAAAATACCTATCGAGACTTGCACAGCTGCTATTTATACGAATCGACGGCGTCTGCTCAGACGTCAGCCGACATATCGGCTCGCCTGGCATATTCTGGCGCTTACAATTATTTGAAACTAGACTGTTTGTCTGTAAGAATGTTGTGCAAGGAATGGTTCTGGTTCTGACTTTATTCAGTCTAAATGCTGCCCAACACCTGAGTAACCACTCCGATTACAGTATCGGGGGACATCCCATCCAGCAAACTGGAAGCCACCTGCCGGAGCGAAGGATTCTGAAACTCTACACGAAGGAAAAACATCACTATTACAGCACCGAAGGGCGGGTTAAAATGTTTATTTTCAAAAACATACGGCATTGCTAAAATTGATTTACTCTTTCATCTCATTCGTTTTTGGCGGCGACTATAAGTGTGGCTGAGTCACACGAATGCTAGAATGCTAGAAAGCAGAAAGAATTGCGCCAAAATGAAGCAACGAAAATAACATATTGTGCCAAAGAACTCAACCTATTTTAAATAGCTGACGAATCCGATTTTCGAAACTAAAACAGCTCAACTCTCAATAAATCAAAAACGCCATGGTTACAAAGAAACCTTAACCTTAGCCAAAAACAGACCATTAACGCGTTTGGCGTTTTTTTGCGTTACTTTGTCGGAAATGTTGAAAAATGGCTGACTCTTTTAATTGCCGAAGCAAGTGATTGTTTTAGTGCATTTTTGCGTGTATTAATGATGAACCATGCACAACTATACTTAAAACCTACAACTGAATGTATTTCAATGCATTGCTAATTTAATCCATGCGTTGAAACACACTGAAAGGTGGGTAACATCGCCATTGAAAATGTGTCCCGTCGTGCGTGTGGAAAAATACGATTGTAGAACGACAGAATACAAAAGGGCCCGCTTCTAGACTTCTATACGTGTAATTTGAGTGAGCGTGTATTGGGGCAAAGCAACAACAAATTCATTGAAAAAGGCGCCAGATTGCTGAGCTGAGCCCGGTGATAATTAATCAAACGAGAAAGAAAATTTAAAAGCCGGCTGTACTAATCGAAGGATGCTTCTTTTCCTTTCCAGAAAAGACTGCGCACAATAATCCGCACATAAAACTCACACAACAACAAAGATGAACAACCATTTTCACATGCAACATGAGCACACACCACAAAATGTTGCCCAGCCGTACTTGCAGCAGCAGCAGCCGCCACTCACAGCTCCCACACCAATTCCCACCCCAGCTCCAACCTACAGCTACTTGCCGCAGCAGCACCAGCATGTACAGCAGCCCCAATGGATGACTTACCAAATCCTGCCATCCACACAGGGAATCGCCCCTTGCGGACCTACCAATAGACCGAAGCGATATTATGCAACCACAACGCAGCCAACGCATCCCAGAACCATACAAATAAACAACAGCTATGGCCAGCAGAACCCTCCGACCAAGCAGCAGGCTGCCAGCTCATCCACTTCCAATTCCAACCCGTTTAATGCTAACAACATACGCATTATATCCACTGCTCCCAGTGTGTACAGTCTTAATAAATCATCACCCGTTCAATCCTACTACTTGACACCGCGCCAGGCTGGAGCACCCACGTCCACCAAGCAGCTGAATCAAGGCCTGGTGACTGGCAAACACCTCCCACCGCTGCCCCGGGAGCAAGTGGTCCATTCGTCACACAACCAGCCGCCTGCGGTCTATGACCGCATCAACATATGCATAAACAATCACTATGCAGACGCCGCCAGTACCAACCTCACCACATCTCTTGGCACGGCCCAGCAGCCTTCACCCATCATCCCAGCTATACAGCACAAGGCCCAGTCTATCCTGTCGCTCATTGACAGCAGTACGGCCGATAGCAGTAGCAGTAGCAGCAGTTCCGTTTCCAGCAGCAGCTCTGGTGGAGGGACGACAACTACTGTCGCTGTGATAGTAATAGATGAACCGGACTCCACCACAACGACACCTCAGACGCCGCCAACCACACCGGAGACAATGAGTTCTCCCGGAAAGTCTTCGCCCTCGCCTCCACCACCACCCACATCCACACCCATACCCATACCCATACCTATACCGACGCTGCTTAAAGTGTCGAGCCAAATGAAGCCGAGCTTCAAGAGCACCAACTCAGCGCCGCCGACACCTCCAACGCCATCGCCCCCCGCTATTAGCTACTCGCTACAGGAGGATGTATTCGTTAAGTGCGACGATGGAAGACTATATTTGGGAACTATCGTTGGTAAAAAACCCGATCAGTTTCTAATCCGGTTCGATGATAGATCGGAACAGTGGCACGAGTTGGACAAGCTACGGAAGCTGGGCGCCGGCTCATCAGGTGGCGATGGAGGAGCCGGTAGTGGCTCGGATTATTCTAATGCCTCGGTTAGTGGACCCATGTGTGTGGCCTGCAAGCGCTTGGACCAACAGGATGTCGTTGAAATCTGCGAACGTTGCGGCCGGGGCTACCATCGTGGCTGTACCACCGAAATAGCCCATGGCAGTGGAATTTGGAGCTGCAAGCGATGTGCGAAGCCCATGAAAATGCAACAGCCATTGAATTATGAAACAGCGAAGAAGCCACCAGGGATTTGCCGTCAGTTGCCCTATCATGTGAGTAGATCATGCAGAGTACGGATTATTGCACAGGATTATTGATTATTATTGGTTCGTTTCTCAGGCGGATAAACTCAGCTGGGATGAGAAGCATCGGGTCAACGAGGAGCAAATCTACTGCTACTGCGGCAAGCCGGGAAAATTCAATCACAACATGCTGCAGTGTTGCAAATGTCAGAACTGGTTCCACACTCAGTGCATGCAGAACTTTAAAGAAAAACTGCTGCGGGGCGACACGTAAGGAGAACGCCTTTCACTTTCGTTTCACTGAGAGCCAGCATCTAATGGTAATTTAATTTTATTTTTGCAGATTTTTTGTATTCTGCTGCACGGTGTGCAACGATGGCGTGGAATATGTGCGGCGCATTCAAATCGACTGGGTGGATATGCTCCACATTGCGCTCTATAATCTGCGCAAGCATCATAATCAGAAGTATCATCATCTGCTAGACATCTTGCCATTCGTCCTCGAGCAGCGCCACAAGCTCCCCATAGCCGAGCAATGGAAGACCCTGCCAGAGACGGCACTAATGGAACGCATCAAGCAAACGTTGAAGGATCACACAGGGAGGTTTGTGTGCGGACGTGAGTTCAAGCGGGATCCAAGCTTTTTTGCCCTGCGGCACAGTGGGCCACCCGTGACACCAAAAGTGTGGCTGCAACCGCACGAGGAGGTCTGTGATGCGGTTCTGGTGAATAGGTTCAACATATTGCTAATGCCAGGGAAAGAGAGTGAGAGTGGGTCCAAAGATGTGTACGAGTTCCGTACGGATGAGGAGGAGGCGGCCAATACCAGCGAAGATGAGATACCGATAAAGCAGATCATTGAGAAAGCCAAAAAGAAAGCCAACAAAACCCCTGAAGAGCAGGAGCTGCAGCAGAAGCACCTCGATAAAGTGGACACACTCGACCTAGCCGATGATAATGCCAACGATGGTGACCATGGAAAGTTGCCAGCACCTATTCAACCGCAACCAAACGCCAAGAGCAGCCGCAAACGCAAGGCTTTCCACTTGTCTAGGCGCTACGACAGCAGCCGAAACCACTGTGATCTTTCGTCCGATGAGAATTCAAGCAGCAGTCGGGGCACCAGCTCCCTGGACCTCATTATACCGCCGCCAGTAAATTTTCGAGGCCGCAACAATCCGTTTCTTATGGCCACACCGAAAAAATCATCACAAGGGAAAAGCAGCCTGGCATTCGGGCTGGGAACGGGAACGGGCATTGGAGTCGATGGCGTCATCAACAGAATTTTTAAGCTAAAGGGAGGCGGAATGGATCAGCCGCGCGTCGTGCGCACCATAAAGCGAAGACTGAGTGCCAAAGATATAACCATAGGCCCCAACCAGGAGGTGCGCAGGCGTCGGAATCGCCGCATGACAACCGTCGAGGTAAGAGCCCAGAACGATTGAAATCTGATATACTTGAATCAAAAAAATTTGTTGTTTTTTTTTGTATATAGATTATCAATACGACGACCATCAATCCTTTATCCAGCCCATACTTTCCCTTATATGCCAAAGATTCGCTGCCGCCGCCAGAAAAGCCTACGCATGGCCGTCTACTGCGCCAACGGCCGCAAAAGTCCGCTCGCAGCTCTCCCATCGAGAGTCGCAGAAATTCCAACAGCTCGACGGCAACCAGTGGAAGCAGCAGTGCTGGCAATGGACATTCGATACTGGATCTAAAGAAGTCTGTGAACAAGTACTTTGGTGGCGCCATGAATCGCATTGATTCCGGTGAACCGTTTGCCATCCGAGCCAAACGCCGCACGGGAAATGGTCAGGTTCAGTACCTTGTGGAATGGGGTGGAGATGCAGCGACAACGACAAATGGAGTCTAAACCTATTGGCATTTGATTTAGATCCATTCTAGACTATAATCATTATCATTTTTTTATGGTTTTATTTTTTTAGTTTTTTAAGACGAGAATGTTTGCTGCTAGCTTTTGGCTTTTTTTCATTATTTTTCATTATTCATTATTTTTGTTACTGTTTAAAGTTGATTACCGATCCACTGCCAAAATAGCTAAAGAATGTTCAAAATATTGGATCAGCATTCAAAACGATGCAATGTTAAAGCGAAAAATGCAAAACACGCAACTGAATACAGGTTTTTATTGTGCAATGGCAGTTAATTGTTGCAACAAGAAAAATATGAATTAACCACAAAATTGGCGCAGTATTAGAAGATTTAACTGGAAGCTAATGTAAAAGTCTTTGCTGAAAGAGAACGTATTAAATAATGTATATTCAATTAGAATTCGATTCAGTTTAGCCCGTGTATATTTTCGAAAAATATATGTTGGAAGGAAAAAGAAACCACTCTCACAAATCATGTTATGCATACAAAAAATACTTGAGGTATACCATACAAAATTAAACAAATTTAGTAATAATATAATTACCTAATAAATCTATCCATACACTAGACGAAACTTCATGACTAAGAAATACATACATACATACCCATAAGGTTTAAGTATTAAAAGCTACACGAAATCAAAATCGAGTTGAACGCAAACTAAATCTCATGCATTTGCGCATTGCAGACCTATATTATTATTAGAATAAAATGGAACAAAATATGAAAATTTTTAAAGTATATAGTGCCCAAATAAATGTTTCGAAGAGCATGCTTTCTTGTTCATCATCCTTCCGTTTTTAGAACCACCCCAATAGGCCATATTTTGACACTTTAGTTGACGTCGTGTCAATTTTGGCTAGGAGACTTCATTAGGTACTCGTATCCCAACAGGATAGCACGGAGCGTAGCTGCCAAGAAATAACATAAAAAACATATTGCCGGAAAAACTACAAAAAAATATTCATTTATGAATTCGTTCAGTGACGTTTTATTAGATTTTTGTTAATTTCGTATATAAAAGGCAATCAAAAAAACAAACAAAAAAAAAATTCAAAAACGCAAACTCTGTCGAAGTGAAGTGTTAATTTCCCGTTACCGCTGAATTAGGTAAGTTTTCAACAAGGAGTACACCAATATGTTAAGACAACGCCAAATAAGCATACAAATTTAAGCTAAGTGGAAGTCTTCGACAGAATTCGGTTAAGCCACCAAGTTTCTTTAAATTAAATTTATATTTCGTAGCAAGCGGCGCGGCCGCCGTGAAAACTTATTGAAGGAAAAGTAAATCAAAGTGAGCATGCGCATATAGTCCGAGAAACATTTTTTATTCGTCATTCTGCTACATGGCAACTACACAAAAGTGACGGCTATAACCCCGTCAAATGTCTGAAACATTTGTTGGTCATGTCGGTTGATTTTATTGTCTCAATCGGTCTGCGTTTTAATGGATTCGTATTCGGGGCGGTCTGAGACGCCCCAAGCGGTATTTCAACGTGAAATTTTGCAACGAAGTCCGTTTATGTCAGCCCTGGTTCCTATTGCACCAGCCCTACGTCAGCTACGAAGACACCGATGTTTCTGACACCGCCAACTAAATGTAGGGATGCGATTGTGGATATATCTGATCTAAGCTAACGTGAAACCGTGAAAAAATAGTATCTGCTTGCTCCAAAAGTAGTACGGATTATGTATCCCACAAAATATCCAGTAAACTATCGCATATATTATCCACACACAATATGTATCGATAAACTGTCACCATCCCTAATGTCGAGTCGTCAGAGTCCGTTTACGTGAGCGGTCGTGGATTCGCTTATAGCACACGGCTTATCACATATTTTTTGTGAAGAAAAAAACCTTAAAAAACAAAAAAAAAATTAAAAACATAAAAAGTAACAAAAAAAATTGTAAAAAGTAGCAAAAAATTCGAGCAAGTGTTTAAGCGTAAGTAGGAGAAATGAAGACGACGGAAAACGGGTGAAGCAGGGGCACAGAGAATGCGGAATTTTCTTGTGAAATGTGGCTCGATGAACGTCGACGTCGACGCAAGATGGCGATGTGAAAACGTGATTTTTGGCTCTGAAAAGCATGAAAGGGCCCAGCCCCGTGGTGACGTTCGAATATTTCGCTGAAATTTAAGCTAAATCTAATATTTTCGACTAGGCAAAACGTGTGTCTAATTGTGTGCTTGTGCGTTTGTGTGTGTGGAAATTTTTCTACGCGAGTGTCTTTGCTGGTGTTGGTGCGAGAGACGAAGAGGGCCAGCAACAACAAAGCACATGCAGTGTTGCCATGTCGACCCGTTCGACTGTCACATGCGTCAGAGTTGCCACACATACACACAGACAGAAAGACGAACCGAAAAGCAAAAGCCACGCCGCTTTTTTTTTCTTTCTATTTCTCTGCCTGCCTTGCCGAATCCATCCGGTTCGAACCTAAAGAAAAAAAAAACAGAAATATATATGTGAAACGTAAAATAATTTATTTAAATTACAGGTAGACCCGATCACCAAATATGGCCTCACTATACGTCGGTGATCTGCACCAGGATATCAACGAAGCTGGACTTTTTGAAAAGTTCTCGACTGCAGGTCCAGTTCTGTCCATACGCGTCTGCCGCGATGTGATTACCCGTCGCTCATTGGGTTATGCCTACGTGAATTTCCAGCAGCCAGCCGATGGTGAGTAATCCGCCACAAAGGCAGTAAAGTAATGTGCACGTAGTTGCACTGCACCCCTCAGAAGGCATCCAGTAGTTCTCCCTCCCGCTCGAAACAAAGAAAACACGTGTGCAAATTTTGCACACACACAAAGAGACGTATATGTATATATCTGCCACCGCACAGGGGTTTCAGCATTTTGAAAATTTACATAGATTATATGCCAAAATTCTTGAAAACGAACATTGGAGTCCACGTTTCAAAGTAAAAATGAAATATTTCATAACTTGAACCCTGATTCTTCGCCTGCTAACTGTATATGTTTGTGTGGGTGTGGGTGTCTATATGTGAACATGTCAATTCCATTTGTGTTGTTGTACATGGAAAGAAAGTGGAAAAGGGGAGGCAAAAACAGCTGGCTTTTGCCAATCAAATCACCCATTCGACTAGAAACTTCTGAATAGCGTAGTCTCCATACTGAAAATATGCAATAATGAGTGTGGCATAATATGGATCCACACAGCACACAGCGGGCTTATCACAGCCCCACCCCGCACCAGTCCTCATTGTGTTTCATCGTTCGTCCGGATTTTTTCTCTGGCTGTTTTGTGTTGTTTCCAAGCGGCACAAACACTCACGCACACAGCCATGCGCTCAATTGTCAATATCTTTCCGTGTTGGTGTGTGTGAAATAAACGCGCGTGCATGTGTGTGAGCTCTTCCATAAACATGTGTTGATTGTTTAAACCATTTCGACTCGCCATCGTTTTAGGTTATATTCCAATGGCTACATTTCTGCATGCTTTCTTTGATTGCCGAATAACGATGTTTTATTTTTGTTTTGCTTTCACTTTCATATAGCACGTACCCATTCATGTCTTTTCCGCTTTAATTCATTAACACTTCCAAATTCTTGACATGTCACTGAACCAAGCCGCCATCCTCGCCTCCCCCTTGCTCCATGCCTTTCGCCTATGGAAATCTTGTTTTAACAATAAGAAAACAAACTTTCACTGCGCATAGCTGCTGCTTCTTCGTTTCGGCTGTGTTGTCCGCGCTCACATTATATTTATTGAATTAAGCACACGGCTGGGGGACGGTTCGGCCCGGCATGTGGATGGGGGACTGATTACGCTGCTCTGTGAAAGCTTGGGCATTCCATCCAGTTTACTGAACTCCCAATATGAGGTTAGGGCGAGGCGTCAATGCATTGCTGGGGTTGGTCGAAATAAATAATAAATAGCAACTTCTACCCATTGGTTGGTCAAACTAGCATTCATCGTTGATCCGACTAAGATTCAAAGTTGCCAGAGAAAGGAATGAAACTTACCATGTAGATGGGTCCTCATGCCATCGACAGAAGTAGAAGCATTACATTCAGAATATCTTGAAGCACCTGTGTCCTCTATAGCAACTTCTACCCATTGGTTGGTCAAACTAGCATTCATCGTTGATCCGACTAAGATTCAAAGTTGCCAGAAAAAGGAATGCAACTTACCATGTAGATGGGTCCTCATGCCATCGACAGAAGTAGAAGCATTACATTCAGAATATCTTGAAGCACCTGTGTCCTCTATAGCAACTTCTACCCATTGGTTGGTCAAACTAGCATTCATCGTTGATCCGACTAAGATTCAAAGTTGCCAGAGAAAGGAATGCAACTTACCATGTAGATGGGTCCTCATGCCATCGACAGAAGTAGAAGCATTACATTCAGAATATCTTGAAGCACCTGTGTCCTCTATAGCAACTTCTACCCATTGGTTGGTCAAACTAGCATTCATCGTTGATCCGACTAAGATTCAAAGTTGCCAGATCAAAGTCCAGGCTTTACTTACCATGCACTAGGCTGCTCTTCGAGCATAGCCAGGGCAGAAGTAGAAGAGTCACAAGAGCATTAAATGTCACTTATAATATCCTTTAATTTTTGAAACCGATTTCAAGTTTTTTCACACTTTTTCATTCGCAGCTGAACGTGCTCTGGACACAATGAATTTCGACTTGATCCGCAACAAACCCATTCGCATAATGTGGTCTCAGCGCGATCCCTCCCTGCGCCGCTCAGGTGTTGGCAATGTGTTCATTAAGAACTTGGACAAGGGCATCGACAACAAAGCCATTTACGACACTTTCTCTGCTTTCGGCAATATCCTGAGCTGCAAGGTCGCCATCGATGAGAAGGGTAACTCCAAGGGCTATGGCTTTGTCCATTTCGAGACTGAGGAGGCAGCAAACACGTCCATCGACAGAGTCAACGGCATGTTGCTCAACGGCAAGAAGGTGTACGTGGGTAAATTCATTCCCCGCAAGGAGCGCGAGAAGGAGCTGGGCGAGAAGGCCAAACTCTTCACCAACGTGTACGTGAAGAACTTCACCGAAGACTTTGATGACGAGAAGCTCAAGGAATTCTTTGAGCCATACGGCAAGATCACTAGCTACAAGGTAAGTGATTCGCAACGGCGCAACGGGTGATCCGGACCATATACAATTTCTATTGTTCAACTCTTGTAGGTCATGTCCAAGGAAGATGGTAAGAGCAAGGGCTTCGGGTTTGTGGCCTACGAAACCACAGAGGCTGCTGAAGCCGCCGTTCAGGCTCTCAACGGCAAGGATATGGGCGAGAGCAAGTCCCTGTATGTGGCTCGTGCACAGAAAAAGGCTGAGCGCCAGCAGGAGCTCAAGCGTAAGTTTGAGGAGCTGAAGAAGAAGCGCCACGACTCTGTCTTCGGTGTCAACTTGTATGTCAAGAACTTGGACGACACAATTGATGACGAGCGTCTGCGCAAGGATTTCTCCATGTATGGAACAATTACCTCGGCCAAGGTCATGACCGACGAAGAGGGCCGCTCCAAGGGCTTCGGGTTCGTCTGCTTCATTTCACCCAATGAGGCCACATGCGCCGTGACAGAACTGAATGGCCGCGTCATCGGCAGCAAGCCTCTGTACGTGGCCCTGGCCCAGAGGAAGGAGGAGCGCAAGGCTCACCTCGCATCGCAGTACATGCGCCACATGACCGGCATGCGGATGCAGCAGCTTGGACAGATGTTCCAGCCCAACACCACTGGCGGGTTCTTTGTTCCGACCATACCTCCGAGCCAGCGCTTCTTCGGTCCCCAGATGACCACCCAAATGCGTAACGCCCCTCGCTGGGCTCCTCAGGTGCGTCCAGCTGCCACCGTGCAGAGCGTGCAGGCCGGCGCTGCCGCCGCCGCTGCTGGAGGCTTCCAGGGTGCAGCCGGAGCGGTGCCCACACAGTTCCGTTCGGCTGCAGCCGGTGCACGTGGTGCCCAGCCACAGCAGGTGCAGGGCACGCATGCCGCCGCTGCTGCCGCGGCTGCAAACAACATGCGCAACACTGGAGCCAGAGCCATCACCGGCCAGCAGACAGCTGCTGCCCCCAACTTGCAAATCGCTGGTGCCCAGATCGCTGGCGGTGCCCAGCAGCGTGCACCCAGCTACAAGTACACATCGAACATGCGCAATCCCCCTGTGCAGCAGATGCAGCAGGCGCAGCCCATGCCGCAGCAGTTGCAGGGCAAGAGTAAGTTGAAAAGACGCACCAAAAGGCTTGTGGACACGCGTTATTATTTCTTTTCTCACTTCTTTCAGACTCTGAGAAGCTCATTGCCTCATTGTTGGCTAATGCCAATCCCCAGGAGCAGAAACAGATCCTGGGCGAGCGTCTGTACCCGATGATTGAGCGCATGCACGCAGCCCTGGCCGGAAAGATCACTGGCATGTTGCTGGAGATTGAGAACTCTGAGCTATTGCACATGTTGGAGGATAAGGAGGCCCTCAAGGCCAAGGTGGAGGAAGCCGTGGCCGTGCTCCAGGTGCATCGCGTTAGCGAGCCCGCCAACTAAGCTCGAGCCACAAAAGCGGATGAAAATTTTACACAGAACACTCGACACCCAAAAAAGTATGTATTTCCGCATTTGAAAGCCTTGGGCCGTGGTTTCTAATGTTACTTCATTCTCTTGCAGTTTTCCTCTTTACTTTCAATTCATTAACAACAACAATTCGCATTCAATAATTCTCGTGCAAAGAATGCACGGCTTCCAAGGACAAAAAATGAACACACAGAACAACTTATGGGCTGGAACGTCGCAAAGAGCTACAGCCTTTTTTCTCAATCCCAGAAACCACTTAAAAGAATCATTTAATTTCGAACGCATTTACGCAAGTACACGAAGAAAAAGGAAGAAAAGCAAGAAACACGTATTCCGCAAATCGATTTGAATATCCCCCAAATCAATTTTTGCAATTTTATAGAAAAACAAAGAAGAAGAAAAGAGAACAAAATGCGAATTGAACATTTATTTTTTGGCATTGCTTAAATTGTTTCAATTTTATTCTGTATATGCGTAAAAAAATAAATGAAAAATAAACACAATTCAAGCTAAAAGATTGTGGCAAGACTAGTCGGATACGATACGTGTGAAAATTCAGACCAGTTTCTAGCTTTTTCAAAACCTTTTTTTTTCGTCCACACTTTTCAACAACAAAAACAACACGAAAGCGAAATGTAATTTTTTTCTTTATTTCTCAATCAAAAATCAAAACTTTAAAAAAGCTTTGTGTTTAGAAAAAGCGAAAGAAGCAAAGCGAGAGATCCACACACACTTTTAAAAAAGTAAAGAAAAACAACACAAAAAAATTGCAAAAAATGTTAAAATAAAAAACGAAAAAATGTGAAAGAAAACTGCGAGCAGAACAGAACAGAAATGTAAAGAAAGAAGCGCAGAAAAGGGAAAAACGCAAGCCGCAAGAATATGAGAGTCAAGTTTTTGCTACTTTAAAAAAGATAGAAAAATACAAATACCAACAGCAGAGAAGAGAGAACATATGTTGAAAAATGAACGCGACACGTATAAAACAAGTGGAAAAACCAACAAAAAAATTGCAAAACTATGTAAAAGCACAAAAAAAGAAAATATATATACACACAAACACAAACCAACACACACACAAACACACATATTAAAACAAAACATATACGGAAACAAAAAACAAAGAAAAATAAACAAGAAAAGCGCTAAAGCGCAACCCCCGTACGGAGGGAGAGCATACTGATGGGGATGAAAGAGACTACAAGTAGAAGTAGAGGCAAAATAAATCCATTGCAAGCCGGATTTTGTGTTTATCCGAGAAAAGGGGACCCCCCCACCCACACCACACACCTTTATTACAATTTGCAAAAAATATTTAACGAACGAAAACGGGCCAGGCGATCGCCAATGTCCCTAATTGCGTTCAGACTTCTGTTATAGCGAGAAAAAAGATTATTGAATATAAATAAATACTGTTTTTACACCATTCATACGATATATTAAAGCAAACAGATAGGTCACCACGCCTCCAAGTGTCTGTCGGGGATGTGAAATTCATATTTTTTTATTAAACAAACTAAAAACAAAAAATCTTTGAAAAAATTGCAAAATACAAAAAACATTTATACGCAATAAATGCAAAATATTTAAAAAACGCAAACAACAAAACCAAGAACAAGAACAAGAAAGGAAAACGAACTATAAAAAAAACCCAAAAATCCGAACTGGAGGTAATTTCAGAGATTTGCTGAAGATTGAAGTAATCCAAATTGCGAGATGGAACTCTTTTACTTTTCACAAAATAAAAGCAAACCACACAATTATATATATATATAGCAGATATATATGTATTCAAGCGATATAAACCACAATTTGTATAATTCAGAAAATAGAATTGTTAAAATTTGAAACAATCCCAGAAAAATGTAATAGTCGCCAGAGAGCAAAATTCAGTAAAGAGAAAAACCTTTGTACACCCAAATTTAATTACAATAAAATTCCACTTCGGCAAAAAACATGTTTGCTTTTTTCAATGCTTTTTTGGGGAATGGGAATTACAAATGTGGGCGGTATACATATCCATATGTATGTATGTATATACTAAATTTTAGTCAGCCCACAAATTGGTCCAGTCCCCTCTGGCCATTATGTAATCGGAGATTGTCAAACATGTTGGGGGAATATCACATTATGATAGGCAAATAAACTTTTTATTTATTGAACTAACAGTCGTCAGCGTATCAATCTTATCCATAGAACATTGAAACATTTTAAAGCAGGATGTGGTAAGTACATACAAACAAGAGTATAAAATGTGAGAGCTTTGGGATCTTAAGAGTGGAGATTTACATTGAATAAATAGCTAATAAATGAATAAACATTTGGCTTAGTGCAAAAGGAGGAAGAACCACCATTGGTTATAGTTGTTCATCACGACTAGGGCAGACTCCCGTCAGAATTCGTCAGTCGGTGGTTTGATTAGTCCTCATCGTCGTCGTCATCGGAGGGCACAAACAGATCGTTCTCCTCCAAAAAGTTCGCCACATTCTTGCTTATGGTGGCGCCAATGAAGAGTCCCGGTATAACGGCACAAAAGATGGCGAAGAGGCCGAAGGGCATCTCGTCGGGCTTTGGCCTGAGGGCCCCACTGCGGAAATACACACCCGACATGTGGCGACGCTGGATGATGCTGTTGCTGGGATTGCCTGCAGCTTTGCGGGCAACCAGCTTTGCAGCCTGGAGTGGAAATGTCAAGCGCGACACAATCATCTTCAATCCGTTCTTATTGTGCTTTGTGCGTGTAGACTTTTTATATTATTAAATTAAATTGTCTCCCAAATTTTCCTTTTTTGCAGATGATGAGTCAAACAGCTGTTCCAGCGATGAGTAGTGTTCAAAAATGCACAGTGAAATTGCATTGCATAGCACTGACTTGGCGCGCTTTTTAAATTTATCTGAACTTTTGTTAAATAGTTAAAAATGATAAAGCACAAAACCAAATCTCATGCTTTGCGCAAGAGGACTTACAAATATTCTCATATATATTCACAAATATTCCCTCCCAACTGTATAGGTAGGGTGTGTTCGATGAGTGCTTTCAGGCTGCAGCAGGGATTGGTGGTCTTGCTTCCTAGTATGATCATAGGACACAGTAATATTATGCTGGAAAGAGCTTTTTAATTTTGTTCAGTAGACCGGCATGCATGCCAAACTGCATCGAATAAATCAATGAAGACTGCAAAGCAGTATTCTATATAATCAAAGGCCTGTAGAATGTGCTTTGCCAATCTGTGGATCTGTGCCAGCTCCACGGTCCCGTATCTCTCCCGAATGGTGATCCGGCTAGTATCACCAAGTCGATTGACAATAAGCCTCTCTGGCACCTTAGATAAGGAATAACTGCAGACCTATTAGCCGATATGACTCAGGGTCATCTTCACGTCCACCAGGCCTGGCTTAATCCTGCTGTACCCTTAACATCGTAGGTTTACGGTATGTAGACTATTGCCCGAGTAGGCAAGCCCTTTAATGTGCCATTGTCCTCAGTAGGGACTTGAAGATTTCAGCAATCTCTTCAATCCTGGCTGGCACCGGATGGGAATCTGTCCATTTGAACCAGCTTCTTCCCAAGGAACTTGCTTTGCAGTTCCCTCAATACCCTTATTTCGTAGTGGCTTAGCGGTATGCTTCTATAGAATTTGGTCCCAGGGGTCCCAACACAAATAAAACAATTGTTATTTGGGTTGCACATTTACAGCTTTTAAATTTGTGGGTGTATACATATATATATATATAAGTATATATATATTAAAGAGCGTATACAAATGCTCGGTTCAAGTACAATTAGGGTCGACATGTATAAATATATGTATGTATATATACTAGGGTGCACGCCCCTTACACTCTTTCTAGTATCGTGCGCCAACCCCCGCCAAAATACGTTTTCGGGCTACGACGACGACCCAAAACTATTTTATACAATAGAGAGATATATCTTTATCTTTCCTCCACTAATAAAATAGACATATAATTTTTCTTGTATCCGTTGGCTTAACAGATTTCTTTTGCTTTGGATGTTGTGTGTTTCTGGGATTATAGTGTATCAAATGTATTACTTAACGCTTCTCGTTTGATTGTTTAATCCTGGTCAAAAAGTGTAAAAAAAAACCAAACAAACAAATACTATATTGTGCCCAAAAGAGAAACAATGGCAGTTTTACACAAATAAACCATTTTTCGCGGCCTGTTTCTCTAATAAACGGCAAAGCAAACCGAATCGATTATCACTGCCCTTGCTGAGTCACAAATAAGAAATACCGAGTAAAATCACTATTTTTACAGTTTAAAATAATTGGCTAAAATGGAACTATATGCATGCATGCCATCAATAGCATACATTTGTTTTGTATGTGTATATTTAGTTTTATTTGATTTGTGAAGCCGTTTTACTTTTGCGCACTCTTAAATACTCTGGGCGATTATTAATATTGTTTAGGAAAGTGTTGACGGACGTTTCTCTTGTACATCTTTTATCATAATTAACAAAAACAAAACTAATTTTACTATGCGCTCCCTTCCGATGCAGACTCTTTTTGGATGGGGTGTGGATTGCAGGATACAGATACATGCAATACGCTCCCCTTCAAGAACCTTAAAAATATGCAATTAAAATTTAACTAAACATGAAACAGAATGAAAATATAAATAAAAAAATGCAATGGATGTGGGAACAATCTGCTTTTCATCGACATCTGGTCATTCAATTTAAGCCAAAAGTCATCCATTAAGTATTAAGACGCTACATTTTTACGCTCTGATGGATGAATTTATGCAATAATATCACCAATCATCACTAAGCGCTGAGCAAGTTGTGTTGGTAATCGCGTCCATTGCCTAATAGACTTTGAATGAGTTTTCTGTCCCGTTCTTTAAAAACCTGATAGATTACTTATTTATACTATGCTGCGATTAGTGTATGATAAGAAAGGGGTTTCAACAAAAGAGCAGCTGTTTTGTGAGACCTCTGGTAGGGCTTTTACCATGAAACGTTATGTGCCACTCCCGAAAATGATTCATTCCAACTAAAGCAATCTTTAAGCTATGAAACAGTTGCGATTCTATGCAGAATGTTCCAAGTGTAGTACAGATGTATCTTACGATGAATACTTGGATACTAAATAATACATAATACACAGATTTCTTTCTAAAACAGACCGAATATGGGGGAAAAATATACATAGGAGTACATAACAAATCGTAGGCGAAAAATTAAAATTTTCAGGGCATCACTTAATCATTTAATTTAGAAAGAGACCCAAATGGAAAATATCCTTAATTTCAACGTAACGGATGAATTTGGAGCAAAACCAGAGTTTGCTTTGGGATATTTACATCCTGCCAATAATAAAAATTTAAATTTTGTGAAAAATTTCTCTTAAAACTACGAAAACATACAAATGCGAAACAACTTGAGAGCAATTTGGGGTTTCGTCGGCGAAATAAACGTCACGACCAAAGCGAAGGAGTAGTCAGGATAGGGATAGGAAGGGATACGCAAACGTTCGGTGAACATTTTAACTGTAGCTATGCGCAGACACGTGTGCTCGCATTGCTCTAAGTGTTCAGGTCCACGTAGAGTTCAGTTGGGGATCCATGCTGGGTGGCCGTCGAAAATGTTTGGGGCCGGGCTTCAGCGTCGGCGTCGCTTGGTCATAAATCCTGAAAACGACGCACATCCTCCCAGTAGTTTGACGGAATCTCAAACAGTTTATCGGGGATGCTGTTGGTGAACTCGAACTTCTGGAAAGTTACCTTGGCCGTCACAGTGTGCAGAACAGGAATCTCAATCTTGACCGGGAATCCAGTGGGCAACTTGAGCGTCACGAAATTTCGCAGCTTGTTGATGTGCTTCAGTGGAGCCACCACCTCGAGGACGTCCAAAAGCATTTCCACGCTGAGTGGGAAGTCCGTGCTCATGGCGACTGTGGCCCGCAGGGTCTTGCTGGACTGCTTGTTGACAAGTGGACGTCCCAGACGCGGGCACCGCCCCACTGCAGCCTCTAAGTACTGATCCCAGGTCACACTGCTGGCTGGGGGAGCTTGCAATGAGCTGCGGCGTGGCAGCTCTGGCAGGGTAATGCCGTTCGGTGCTGCTGGGTTATTGCTGTCAGTGGTCGTATCCGTGGTCTGACTGTTCAGGCTGGAGCGACGCCCGTCAGGCTGTACTACTGAGCTCCTCATTGACTCGATAATGGCGCGATTCTTTTGCAGATCCTCGTGTGAGAGATGCTCGCGTCGCTTGCGCTGCTTTATGATCAGGCCCTGTATGGTATAGAGCTCACATTGATACTGACCGCCAATGAGTTCCTTCCGGTTCGCGCGGAAAATCCAGCCGCTTTGCGCCCGAGCAAAATTGATCGTCTTGGTGGACATTTGGGTGGCCATTATGTCCGTTGACATGAGCCCATCGACTTCATCCTCCATGTCGGCCTCCTCGTGGCGCAAACGTTGATAACACGCCTGTTCGTTGTCAAGCAGGACCAGAGCCTCCCTTGGAGGAGCTTCTCCCCGAAAGAGAAACGAAATGTCGCCTCTCTCCCACTTCATGTCATTGAAATCAACCAGGGTGGTGTCCAATCGAATGGAGGCCCCGGACTTGTATAGCCTGCAAATGTCGGAGGGCAGGATGCGGGACACCAACGGTAGCCAGGACTGGAAATCCCACTTGAACTCCATGTAGAAGTCCTGCATCTGACTGAGCGCCTTCACCAGTTTCTCCCGGCGCTTCTCCATATGATCCCTGGACTGTAGCTTTAGCATGCGCAGCAATTGAGTGATTGTCTGGCGGTCGCCGTAGCTAATGGCCTCGGCCAGAGGAGACCAGCCCTCGTTGTTTTTGATCCTGACGGGGGCATTGTTGGCCAGCAGCAGGCGCACGGCATGCTTCCTGCCCAGCATAACGGCTAAATGCAGTGGCGTATTACCGTGCTTGTCTTTGCTGCCAATCTCATCCTGAGCAGTGCGCAGGAGGAGTCGGCGCTGCAATGTCTTGATGTCATCTTCAAATACGCTTTGATGCATGGGATACATTGTGTACTCATCTAGGGGCTCCGTTGTTGCCGTTGTTGTTGCTGTTGCTGTAGGTGTGTCAGGTGTGGTGTCTTCGCACAGGTGTGTGTTGGGTTGGGGCAGGGGCTCCGAAGGAATTGAATCAGAATCGTCCCCCTCACCGGCTGATTGATACTCATCTGACTCATCGCTGTTTGAAGATCTCACATCCGCGTCCCCCATTTCCTTTTTTTCGCACTCGTCCTCTTTTTCTTTGGACATATTTCACTTTGTGACCCCCCTTTTTTCGAAACTAATCAATTTTAGTTTATGCAGAGCTGCAGTGTGACCGCGGATTTACAGTATGACCATCACAAATACAAATATAACCTACGTAACCCCCCTCAATTTAAACAGGTGAACTTTATCTAAGCTGCGGAAAATAACACCGTATGTAAATTCTTATTGTAGATCAATTCATTCTCTTTGATACTAAAATAAAAATTACTACAACATCTTTCACCTGAACTGCGTTAATGCTCTTCAAGTTGCATCATTTTCGTAGAGTGTAGCTTAATACCCACTGGGCTACAATGGGTTAAATGTTGTCTGCCTTTGCTTGACATAATAACTACACGTTAACTACACATTTGCTACATATCAACAACATCTTTATGGAGTATGGTCCTTTGTATACCCTATTTCCTTTAAATCACGTTACAATTTTTTTTCTTAAGCTGCTTTGCTTTGAAACCTAATTAATAACCTAACCTCCCTGCTTGACATGTTTTGGACCCATGCATTTAATTCAACATTTCTTTGAGATAGCTTTAAAAAATGTTCTGCATTTATTGGTGCTTAAGATAACAAATATTGGCGAATTATTTATCTAGCTCTCACTGCTTTTTCAGTTAGGTAGCAAAGTGTAATGCTATAAGGTTTTTATATCTGTTTTCACTGCCTTAACTTGAAGTGTAGTGGAATACGAGTAGTCGATATGAAACAACTTATAAATTACACTCACCACAAACGTAATATTTATTCCATTTTACGGTCGAAGAAAAATTGTGAATTTATATACAGCCGCTTTCAATCCTTTTCAAAGTAGGCTCACCTTTGCGTTAGATTAGACGTTACAAAAGTCCTTCACCATCTGGCAGCGCCGCGAACAGATGTCAACAGTGTCCGACGGGGCAAAGGGAGAAGCAGGGGTCAGTGAAATGCAAATAGTATTAAAAAGAAAACAATTTGAAAACAAACAAATACAAGTGTCGCAATCCCATCTACATCCAGATAATGTCGAGCGATGAACTGTATCGCATCAAATACTCTAGCTCGCGCTATCAGCGCCACCAGAGCGACGAGAAGGTGCCTTTGAATGCCAGTTCCTTGCAGTGGCAGCGCCAACAATACGGGTACGATTCGTCCTTGGATGAGGTGGTGCGTCGGCGGCTCCAGGCCTCCCCAGCCTACATAGATCGTCTGGAACAGGAGGCGGTTCTGGCTGGTCATGATGGCTGCGTCAATTGCTTGGAGTGGAGCAGTGACGGTCTGTTGCTGGCCTCGGGCTCAGATGATTTCAGAGTTATGATCTGGAACCCTTTCCGCAAGCAGCGCGTTCATGTGATAAATACTAAGCATCTGGGGAACATGTTTTCGGTGAAGTTTCTACCCAGGCACAACAACAGCATTTTGGCTACGTGTGCGGCAGATAAATTCATTTACGTCTATGACATCAATCACGCCAATGAGACGCTGTTCTCCTGTAACTGTCATACGATGAGAGCGAAGCGACTGGCTACAGCACAGGACTCACCGCACATCTTTTGGTCTGCGGGCGAGGATGGTTGCATCCTACAACTGGACATGCGGGAGCCACATCGCTGCCGTCCCGAAGAAGGCACTGGCGTGCGGCTGCTTAGCTTGAGCAATCAGGTTGAGGCGACCACAGAGGCAAAATGCTTGGCCATAAATCCTAGACGAACGGAGTATTTGGCTGTGGGAACCAACGATCCCTTTGCCCGCATCTATGATCGTCGCAAGTTGCCCACTAGTGGTGCTAATGGTATCTATTGAGGTGAATTTTTTCCCTTCTGTACTTTTAGTCAATACTTGTCTTTCCAGAATCCGTTGGGTGCGTTTCGTACTATGCGCCTGGACAGATTGTAAAGGACACCACCAGGAACATTGTCCACGAGTCGAGGGCCATAACATATCTCACTTTCAATGCAAATGGCACGGAATTGCTCGTCAACATGGGCTGTGAACACATCTATCGCTATGATCTAAACAACGCCGAGCCTCCTGTTTTCTACGAACTGCCTGCCTACTCTGCCCACGCCACACACGAAGAGGAAGAGTTCAAGACACCTCACAAAAGCCGCTCCTTACCTTCCAGCATTGAATTGCATAAGAAACAGGGCAATGAACATCTGGAAAATGGAAAACTAGTGGCTGCTATTGAGGCCTATTCAACAGCATTGTCCAAGTATCCACGGGGAGAAGTTCTGTATCTGAACAGGGCTACGGCTCTGATGCGGCGTGGATGGTTTGGTGACATTTATGCAGCTCTACGGGATTGTCATGAGGCTCTTCGCCTAGATCCCACCTATGTCAAGGCTCATTTTCGGCTGGCGCGGGCCCTGCTGGAGCTTCGTCGTCCCCATGATGCGGATAAATGCCTTCAAGCGCTCATTCAGCGATTCCCCAGTTTCGCCAACAACCATGGTGTCCTCATGCTGCACAAGGACATCAAGGAAAATCGACGACAATCCGAGAACACTGATGCCCCAAGTCCAGAACCAGTACTAGTGAACGATGGCTCGCGGTATCTACGCCTGACCGACGAGGAATACAATCTACGATGCGCTGCCAAGGATTACAAACATCGCTATGTGGGTCATTGCAATATCACTACGGACATTAAGGAGGCCACTTATCTGGGCATCCATGGCGAATTCATTGCCGCCGGCTCTGATGATGGAAATTTCTATATTTGGGAGGGGGAAACGGGAAAAATTCGAGCCGCCTATCGTGCCGACAGTGCCATTGTGAACTGCGTGCAGCCGCATCCCACTATCTGCATGTTGGCCACCAGCGGCATTGATCACGACGTCAAGATCTGGTCACCGTGTGCACCTAGCTCCGCTGAGCGGCCTAATCTCATTCGGGATGTTACGCGCACGGTTGAAGATAATCAGCAAAAGATGCGAACCGATCCATTTGAACTGAATACACGTAATGCGTATTGTTTCAATAACTGAGAAGAACTGTAGCGTAATGTGAAACTAGATCAAATCCCGCAATCAATGCATTGTAATTCTAATGCATTGGCCTGCGAATATGATCCAGCAATATATCAAATAATAGTGTAATTTATTATAAGGGAACATATTTTTGTTAATGTGTAAACGAAATATGATATATATGATATACAGAGTAGAGTACACGACGGCCCTAATGAAAAATGACAATTATGTTATGAAAAATCAAATCAAATAAAAACAAAGAAATTTTTCTCAAATGTCTTGTGTTTTATATTCTTCCACAACCGCGTCCACGAATTGACTGGGATAAAGTATCGAGGGTAAGCACAAGTATTCGTATTTTTTTTTGGAATTATTCTGTTTATTTACCGTAGTTATTTAAATCTATGCTCACATGTATACATATACATACTCGTACATATAAATATTTTACTTTATGTAATAATATTCAAGTATAGTTCTTTCTCCGCATCGTTCCTTTCCTTTTCTGTTTAAACTTAGTTGAATCTTCCTTGTTTTGCCTTCGGTTTTTAGTTAAAATATATATGTAGGTGTCTTGTGTTTTTCAAAAGTTTTGAGAATACATCGTAATCATATTGTAAAGGTCGCCACAACAAAAAATTAAAGTACAATTTTGCATTTTTTTGTTTTTATTCATTAACTATAGATGAAGGATGTTTTTTATGGTGTTGAAGTTGTTGAGTCTGTGTGTGTGTGTGTGAGTTTTTTGTATAGGGGCTGTTGAGGGGTTTGGGCTGTAGTTAGTGGCTTAAAAACTAACCGAATGTGTTGTAATATTCGCTCCCTTTGCGGCATTCTATCGTTCTACTTGCACATTTCTCACTATATTTATAATTATCTTTATATAGTTTTCATGAATGAATTCTTCTGTTTAATTACTTTACAAAAGTGCGTTTTTGTTTTGTTTTGTTTTGTTTTGTTAGGGGTTGTCCTGTCCATATCTTTCCTTTTATACAGAGTGGGGGTTGTTGCTTTGTTTTCTGGTTGTTAATATAATATTTTACAAACTATTTTATGCAGAAATTATACAAACACACAGTTCAAATGAGCCGATCGATAGAGGTTTGCAAATGGATAGGTAGATCCGGTATGAATAAGTGGGCTTGGGCAGGTGGAACCATATTCTTCTGGTTACTACCGATATTACTTTACAGACTAAGCGTTTGTATCTGTCAGTTTTGTGTGGGTTTCTTTTGCTGTTTATTTTATAAAGTTAAATGATTTTTGTATACCAAATGTCGTTTTCGTAAGTTTTTTCTTTCTTCTTTTGTTGGAATTTTGTTTTCTTGCATATATATATATAGGTTTCTTAGTTTTCTTTTTGTTATTTTGTTTGTTTTTTAATTGTTTAATACCATCAACCCTCCCGCTTTATTGAACTGGGTGTCTCTGCCAGGCCTTTTACTTTGAGGCGATCGGCTGTCTTAAGAAATGCTGGCAGCTGCTCTTGGGACACATTCACCTCTCCGGCGTACATGAACTCCAGTATAGCCTGTAGGTGTATATACGAGACATCTTTAAGTATAATAATCGGGTGCTTTGAAGGGTTCTCCTGTTGATAAAAAGTTAATTTCATCAGTTTTTAGTCATTCGCAAAGGGGGATCATACGAAAACGTACCTCTAAAAGCGCCTTAAAGTAGGGACTGCAAGCGGAAAGCACCATTTTGTGTGCTTTGCAAGTCTGGCCCTCGCAAGCGAGTGTTACCTGTGGGGAAAACCAAAAGAAAACTCAATAAGTCATTTGCTAAATAAACACGAAATCACCAAAATGACAAAATCAATTAACACAAAGAGACAGGTAAGAGAAAAGAAGAAGAGTTTGATGGCCAGGTAGAGGTAGGCAGACAAGGTGAGCTGGTAACTGACCCTCGGACAGAGCTGGGGCTAAGACTCTTGGGACCTCATAGACAATTAAATGAATTTGGAAAGGGGTTTCCCATTGCCTGTGTCGGTACTTACATCTGTGAAACTCTTCTCATCACGCAAGTGACGGAACGAGGTCACCATATTCGTCTGAAAATCGTTCCATTTAAGAAAGAACTGTTGATCCGACGACATCATGAAGAAGCTTAAGTTGGTGGGGGTTTGCGGGTCGCGCGATCACAGCTCCAATGTACGCAGGAGCTTTAATTTGGAGGAGAGGCCGAAATGTTCTCCGTCAGATGGTTGTTAATTGGTCAAGTGTTTAGGACTGGAACAAAATATCCTCTGGTTTCTAAGTGTATCGTAATGCTATTCTGAAAGAGAAAAAAAAAGTATTAATGCAGAAAGTGGTAAAAATTCCAAAAATAGAAGTGCTCACAACAAACTTGGCGAAATTCGTAAAACAAAAAGCGAATGGCGCGGGAGATTGCGAATAGAGCAAGTCTGCGGAATTGCGAAAGAGTCGAGTCGCTCAGAGCGGCAGCAGAGCTGACGACGACGATGAATACGACTACAAAAACATTCTATGCAGCACCAAAATAAAAGATTCGAGCGCATGTGCAACGGCTTATGGAAATAGCAATTCGCAATATGTTGCATGTGTTCGAAAATGTCAAATGGCAGGCAGAGTTGCTGGCCAGCAGCGGTAACAAGAAAAAACAGCAGCAAGTAAAGGTTAAGCGAAAATATCAAAGACAGCGGCGGGACGGCGAGTTGAATGCCTTTCACTTTTCAAGGCAACTTCTGCATTTTCAGTAATTTGCTTGCTTATTTGAATTTAAGACACACTCACGCTCGCACAGTATCGCAATGTGAGTGCAATGTATGTATTTAGACGTTCACCTAAAACCATCTCTTCAAAATGGCGCCGAAAACTAGGAAACTCATTCGCATTTCCACTACAAATACCAAAATACTTTTCCTACACATTGAATCGTTCGATGTGAACCCATCCCACTGTGCAGACAACATGTGTTTATTTTCTTGCGGGACCAGCTTGACAAGACACACATATGTATATGCCCTACACTTGCGACGCTCCAGCCGGCTGATATGTGTAGGCGGCCGTAAGGGTGTCGAGAGCCAAGGCAAAGAGTAGAGCGTACAAACTTCAGCAGAGCTTAAAATTTACAACAGCAATCTCTCTCTTTTTCACATATACACACACACACACACTTAGCTAAGCGCTCTCAACTTTCAACTGCCGTTATGATTTCGCAATTACACTACAACAACAAGAGCGATACAAAAACCTCGCCGACGAAGAGCAGACATTTGCTGGAAATTTCAACTGCATTTATGTGTGTATGTGTGAGCAACTATCTCGCTTGCACTTGTGTTTTGGGGTTATCTTTAGCTTCTTCTTCTAGTTGGTCTGTTGCGCCGTAAGAGGCAATAGGAGTATATGTTGAAATTTGTCTAATTTTGAATTATTGATTTTTCCCCATTAAGAAATGGCTCCCAGAGCAGAGTGTATGATGTATAAAGGTAAATACCAGTTTTGGTTTATCGCCTCAGACAACAACAGAATACGAAAGGAACGAGTCTTTCTCTCTGAGTAAGTTAGTTAGCGACAACAACAGTTCGAAACGAGTTCGGACGAAAGTTGCAACACTCACAAAATTTGAGCTGCTGCCGCCGCCGACGAAGCTGGTGTTCTTGTTGTTGTTGAATTATTACTCAACCCCGTATGCATCAAAAGTGTGGAAAAGAACTAACACGGAGAAATGTGTGAGTCTTGGCTAGACAATGGCGGCGGCGGCGGCAACTCTTCGTGGCATGTCATAAGAACAACAAGCATATTCAAGGTTCTTTTTTGGTGTATTGGGCGATGCAATCATTGCACATATTCCTTTATTTTTATTTTTTGTACGTGTATTACAAATATTATTGTAATATGTTTAAAATTAGGTCGAGCTTCGCGTTACTTTGTTTCATATACACGCAGCAGCAGCAGTACGCATACATTCACTTCTACTCACACATGCAGCCCTCACTCACGTACACTTATGTCTTTTTTCCACACACTTTCCTAATCACTTTTTTTGTGCTGCTGCTTTGTATTTGGCGTGCACTCTGTACTTTTACCAATGCGCCAATGAATATTATTGATTGCAAACACACTTTAATTGCGTTGTAGCCATGCGTTTTTCTATATCTTTTTGTTTCAATTTTAATACATACACGCTTTTTTAGCCCCGCACACAACTCACCTTCTGCTTTCTTTTTTCTTTTTCTTTTTTTTCTCTTTCCGCTTTCTTTCCGCTCAGTGTGACCGCGGATTTACAGTATGACCATCAGAAATACAAATATAACCCACTTAACCCCATCAATTAAAACAGGTAAACAACTGGAGTTAAACCGCGGAAAAAATATTGTTTATAAATTCGTCTTGCAGATAAAACTTTTCTCTTTGCTTACAAATACGACTGCTATATATTTCACCCGAACTACGCCAAAAGCTCATAAAGTTTCATCATATAGGTAGGAATATTTAAATAGCATGGTCCACAATGGGCTAATCGTTCTCTGCCCATGATCAGAAATCATATTCCTCGATTTTGATATTCGGCTTACTGTTCCTAGCTGGTTAGGCCATTCTGCATTAAACATATAGTTTAAGCCGATAAATGAATAAATTTGTTACAATTCAGGCTAATTTTAGATACTCCCTTATATTGAAATGTGTCTAAACTAAGGGTTAAATAAAGAAGGCCAAGCATAAAACGTAAGAGTGCACGGAAAGAAACGTAAGTGTGTTGAGAATGTTTGCTTCCCAATACTGAATAATTCTATAGCAAGAAACATTAGACAGGGTGTAGATGGAAATTCCAAAACCAAAATGTTGAAGAGCTCGCGATTATTAAAGATTATTAATAATAATGTATCTTTAAGATGGACGCGACTGCAGAATTCGGCTTCCGATGTCACACAGAGCTCACGCCAAAAAGCGTGGCTAACGGCCAGGGAACGTTACAAGAATCACGAGCACGTTTACTACAGCTCCGTCTTGGAGACCAAATGGAAGTCATCTACCCCTCCGGCTTCAGTTAATTCACAATTTCCGCACGATTGGATGGACGACTACGAATTCTACGAGGGAGGCAAGAGCACAGATACCAAACACGGCACCCCAGACGCCTCAATACCAGCTTCAACCGTTCCATGCAGCGGATGCGGAGCACACTTGCACTGTTCAAATATCTCCATGCCCGGCTACATACCCAGCGAGATATTCAACGGCCGGTCGCAACAGGAGCTGAAAACTATCATTTGCCAAAGATGCCATTTCCTGAATCACTACAACATCGCCTTGGATGTTGATGTGCCACCTTCGTCCTATGTGGATACGATTTCGCGCATACAGGACCACTTTGCCCTGGCAATCGTAATGGTGGACCTTCTGGACTTTCCCAGCTCCATTTGGCCCGGCATGCAGCACGTTCTGGGCACAAAGCGCCCTGTCTTCCTAGTCGGCAATAAGGTTGATCTCCTGCCGCGCGACTCCAACAGCTACCTGAATCACGTGAAGCATTGCCTGCAGCGTTCGTTCATCCAGCATGGTGGCGGAGACGGGCTCAACATAAAAAATGTCAGTCTGATATCGGCCAAGACAGGCTATGGCATTGAGGAACTGATCACGCAGCTGCACAAGACCTGGTCGTACAAGGGAGATGTTTATCTCTTGGGATGCACGAATGTGGGCAAAAGTACACTGTTTAATATCTTGCTCAACTCGGACTACTGCCGCCCAGAGGCCAGTGAGCTTGTGCGCAAGGCCACGACCTGCCCCTGGCCAGGAACAACCCTTGAACTGTTGAGATTCCCCATCTTCAGACCATCTGACAGCCGAGTCTATCAGCGCTTTAAGCGCTTATTCTCAGAACGCGTCGAAAGGGCCTCCTTGGATAAACTGCGGCGGGAACAAGCCCAAAAAACCGGAGCTGTTGCCGCGGCTCAGCCAGTGTCTCAAGTGGGACGTAGCTTCGATCGCCGTGAGGTGGTCAATGACTCCTTCTCGATGGCAGCCGGCACGCAGCCCATAACTAGCTTGAACGAACGTCGTGCAGAGTATCGGGAGGCTCGATGGGTCTACGATACACCAGGAGTGATGCAGCCCGATCAACTGACAGCTCTCCTAACCGCTGAGGAGCTCGCACAGCTGCAGCCAACGACAATGATTCGTCCCCGAGCTTTTCGCCTGCGACCCAAGATGACTTTACTGCTAGCAGGCTTGGCCCGCATGGATATCTTGGATCTCTCCGGCTCTGAGAAGCACTATGATTGGCTTAAGGTGTTTGTTTTCGCCTCTCAAAACCTTCCCGTGATGATAGCAGACACCCTGCAAGCAGAAACAGTATATAAGCGATATCTGGGAACTCCCTTCCTTGGCATTCCCTCAGCTAGTGGGGATTTAGAGGCACGATTGAAACGCTGGCCAGGCCTTCATTGCAAAGAAAAAGATATTGTTGTTAGCAAAAGCGGCAGGCATGAGGGAAGGCTGAATTGTGATATTACACTAAGCTCCGCAGGATGGCTGGGCCTACTCTTGCCTGATAACTCCGAGTGCAGTCTTCGGGTATGGACGCCACATGCAGCGGGAATATATGTACGTACACCGGCTGTAATACCACTTGCCGATCGGTTGGTGGGCAAACATATTCGAAACTCGTTAGCTTACAATACCACAATGCCATTTGTTTTTAAAAAATAAAACCAAAGACCAGAAATGCCTTTATTTTTTTGGTGGATTCAAATCGAAATTGCACAATGCCGCTAGCATCTGAATCCTTCTGTGCAGCTCTGGCTCTGCACGCCATTTTTTAAGAGTTGGCACTTCTTCCAATGGATTGCATTTAAATCCTTGTCGCTCATTCACTTTCAAACAATTTCTATTTGGCGCTCAAGTTTGGACTTGCTCTCTTTTTTTGGGATTTGCTCTCTATTTTGTGGTGGGAAATGCTCTCTTTGTGAGACGGTATATCTCTGAGGAACAGACGGTATATTTTATCGGAACATCTGCGGTCATACTCATTTTTTTGCTACCATGTCTAGCTCACACTTGCAAATTTTACATAGTATTTTAGAGAATACTTTACTCACCGTCTTGTCCAATATTGGATTTCACATTTAAACCTTATTTTAGTAAATTAATTTAATAATTGGATAAAACTATGAGTTCATAGTTTTTAATCCTTGAGAGAGATCGATTAACCCATTGTAGACCACGGGGTATTTTAATATCCTACCGAAAATAATGAAAATTGAATAATTTTAGCGCAGTTGATGTGAAAGATATCTTGGGTTTTTTTTTAAGTTCAAAGGAACGATGCATGGATCTACAAGAATAATTTACAATCAGTATTATTTGCCGTTATTTACCTCAAGTCGTTGAACTGTTTAAATAGAGGGGCGTTAAGTGGGCTAAGTTCGATTTCTTATCGATATTCGATATTTTTCACGGCAGCAACAAAGAATTTTGTGGACCCAGAATTTATTAAATTAGTGCCAATTGCAGTTTAAAATGCCCCTTCGAGTGAGCTAAAGACACGGGAAAAAGTGAATTACTGTTTCGGCCCGTGATTGCAGTGGAAATTGTATTTAGCAGGCCGCCCCAAGCGAACTGCGTCTCAACCACAAGTCTCGCTAACAATTTTATGCTGTAAAGAAAGTTGGTAGAATGGAGCAAAACTCCAACAGCAGTTCGGAGACATTCGCAGAGGAGAGCAGTGGGGGCACAGCCCGATTTGTGGGCCAGATTCCGACACAGATCGACCCAGATTCCGACTCCAACTTCGGGATGGATAACTGTTCCGGGTCCGCATCTGGCAGCGACACAGTGAGCGCCACACACGAGTTTCAGACCATGAAACCGGGCCCAGGAGGAGTGCAGAAGCAGCCGCCGTGTTCCAGCAGCAACGGGCGCACTCGCTCCGAGCTGCCGCACAGCGAGCTGGTGAAGATGCTCTACTATCTGGAGGGCGAGCTGCAGGCTCGGGATGTCTGCATTGCCGCATTGCGCAACGAGCGGGTGAAGCAACTTATCACCCAGTTGCGCACCAAACGGGTGCAGCCCAACGATCCATATGCGGCTATATTCCGCGATAAGATCGCTATGAATGGGAATCTTATTTCGCGGGAATCTTCCACGCAGGCGGCGCAAGCAGAGATGGAGGTGCGGCAGATAATAGAACAGCAAATGGAGCAGCAGTACCAAATGGTCAGTAAGCAGAGGGCCACGCATTTCCGCATGGTCAACATACTCACCGAATCCCTGGAGAACAATCAGCGCATGCTGCAGGAACTTGAAGAGGAGAAAGCCAAGCACGAGCACGATACGGCCCAGGGCGATGATATCACCTATGGCCTGGAAATGGAGCGCTCGAAGCTAAAGCAGGATCTTGAGAATGAGCGGACCCAGGTGGCCAGAATGGAGAAGGAATTGCAGAGGCTTCAAGAGACCCTCGAGTACGAGCGCAATCGACAGAAGCAGATTGTCCTCCTCCTGATAGCCGAGCGAAAGAAGATTCTGATGAAGTACATTGAAGAGGGTGAGTGGGGTCGCAGACCTAATAATACTCATTCATCAAACATTAAATAAAATTTTAGGCAAGCGTTCTGAGGATTTGGCCCAAATCTTGGCCGAGGAGAAACAGCGGTCGGATACCATCGCTGAGGGCCTTGAGGAGGAAAGCAAAAAGTCGCTACGCATGGAAGAGGAGATGGAAAAGCAAGCGCAGTCAATGGAGATCGAACGCAAGGCGATAATGGCCAAGCTGGCCAAAGAGGAGCTTCGGTTAGTAGTTCTTTCTTTTGTTTAAACAAGACACTAAACTAAAGCTTGTTCTCTATCCCAATAGAGTCAAAGAGATGGAGCAGGAGCTCAACGGCCTGCGTGTCGAGCACGAGGCTTTGAAGAAGCAGCAACTGCAACAGCAGCAACAACTGGCAGGTAGCAGCTCAACGGTGGCTGCCACCAAGGCGCGTCAGTTCAGCGGTGAGTGTGTCAGAGAAGGATCCCCCGTTTCACTCCAACTGTGGCTGTTGTAATTATGATTTCCCTCTTTATCGTTTTCTATATGAACTATAACTCTACATATATTACTTTTTTTCGAATTCCTTTCTGAAGCTGAAATATTTTGTTAGAAAAATGTTACGCAATTGCAAGGTGATTTGTTTTTTGTTTTGTGACGTTTCTCCACTATTGTGCACTCCACCGTTGCACCAACCAATCAAATCACCCATTATCACACAGCCCACCAACGCCACGCACCTTCATGTCATTGGATCTCGCACTGAACGCTGCCAGAAATAGCCTTTGGCTATTAGAGAGCTCCACGTCCGCGCCAAAACATTCACAACCTACAGCTTTACCCTTGCAGAGGGCATCATTGGCAAATGCTTCCCCAAGCACTTAGTTCATTTCCTCCTTCGTCCCAGCTGCAAGGGCACTTACACTTCGGGAATCCGAGGAATTTCTTAATGATTTATTCCTAAACATGATATTAATACGGGCCCATATGCAAATACATATTTCAGACGACGCTTGTGCCACACCACCAATGGCAAACATCGCCAAAATTGTGCAGCCAACCGCCACAGTAAGCAGCATGCCGGTGTCGGGCCCTCAAACCGGAATAGCCCGTTCCATAGCGCCTGGACAGAATATACGCAGCGCTGGGATAGCCACGGTCCCCACGGGAACGGCCACAGCACCCACAGTCATCAACCACACCAGCACCAATAACAGCAGTGGAACCACTAGCATTACAGCTGGCGTCACATCATCGGTGGATGGAGGAGCGAGTGCGGCTAGTGTGAGCGCTACTGTGGCGGTGCCACCTTCTCCCTCGCCGGCGAAAATGCAGCCCACGGCCACCATTCAACGGGCCCCAGGTGGCAAGTATGCTGCGCTGGCTGCAGCGGCTGCTCTCGACCAGACGGCCACACTACCGCATCCACATCCTGTTCCCATTGCAGTGCCCCCAGTGACGGTGCCACCAGCGGGCGCTCGCGGGGCACCGCCACCCATACCGACCAAGCCAATTGTACCGCCCAAGCGGGAGCCCTCTCTCTCCCGCCTGGGCTCCATAACAAGCGGCAGTGCCATAGCATCGGTCACGGCTGCGGTGCCAGCAACTGCAGCCCCGCCCGTTCCATCTTCGACGAGCGTGGCAGCGGCTGCTGGAGCTGGCACAGCAAAGCATAATTAATTAGACACGATACCAACTCCCCACACCCTCACCACTCGCGTCATATGTATGCGCGCTATAAACAGATATTGGCATAGCGTAAGCGAAAATACTCAAGCAGCGTAGTCGCTCAATGACACTGCACTAGGCAACAGGATATAGGATCTTGCATCTCAAACTGCTGTCTCGTGTGGTATATACTCGATAACTACCGACTTGAAAGCCATTTAATAGCCAAATGTTTCGAGGCCTATTAATGTTAGTTCTTTTCAATATTTCCAACCCAAATCTTAAATTTTTTTGGTTGAAAAAATGTGTGTAAAAAGTATTTTACCATTTATGATGATTTATCTATGGCATTCTATTCAGTTTCAACTATATTTATCGAGTATTCGATTGGGTTTCTGTCATTTCTGTTGCCTGTGTGATTGGTGTAATTGGCCCCAATCCTGATTCTACCTAGAAATTATATTATAGCAATCTATTCGAAAGAATTTTGTTAGGCATTCGAATTATGGAACATTGTCCACCCATCCCTGCAGCTCCTCATCTAAGTATAGTTTAGTTTTTATTATTTTTTTATAAGGACAATTTGTATAATGCCAAGCGCTGGCTGGCCAAGTCGGGCCAAGCCACACTTAATTGTAATTCCGAATATTTGTAGAAGGCCGTGCGATTCTCATAACGATAAACACCCCCCATAAACATATATAGTAATTATATACATACATATAACCACAGATACTATACTATAAATGCATATATCCCTATATACGTATACATACGAGTAGTATATACATATGTGGACAACCCTTTGTGCTCTGTGCGTTGTTTAATAGTTCTTAGATACGCGTGAAATGCGCGTGTAAACTTGTTACCCTCAGTGCAAGCTAAAGTCCCTTACAATTATTTTCCTAGGATTTAAATCTTGTTTTAAAGTTGGCTTGAACATTTTTTGATTTGCCGCACAGCGGATTCCAGAGACCGGCTATCCCCTACCATACCATTACCACCCCACCCACTGTTTACACTAGTTTCGATTTCTGGAATGCGGTGAGATTTTGTTGGAGAGATTTTCTCAACAGAGTCTAGTCGGTATGGATAATGGTTTTGATGCGGAGCGTAGTTTCTTATAAATGTGTACTGCGAAGATCCCTCCAGCCCCTCTCGCAGCTTGGATTTCCGTTTAGTCAATGGGCAGCCGCAGCCGCCAGTCAAGGTCAGTAGCGTTGTTGGTACAATAAATAGCAGACAAAGAGGCACAAGAAACAAAAACAAACAAAAAAGCGTATGAATAACAGATTAGTTATGCAAAATGCAAACAAAAAGGTGTATAACAAATTACGATGTATTGGAAAGAAAATACAAAAATAAATTATACTAAAAATGCATTCAAATTTACGATTCTGGACTTGTGTTTTCAATGACTAGGGACCTGGCCAAATTGCGCGCGCATGCCAGGCGCAAAATATTGAGAATCTCATCTATATTTTCCGCGCGATAGTCCTTGAACACGGTCTCTGCATTTTTCTGCTGGTTTAAAAGAATACATTAACATTTGCTTACAAATTGTAGGGGTCTGCTTTGGACAACATACGTTTCCTAATTTGTCCGTGTTACGCTCTATAATGGGCACCAGCTCCGTTTCCAAATGATGCAGAATCGCTACAGTTTCATTTGAGAAGATTTTCGGATCCTTCGACTCCAGCAGTGGCACTGTGTCAATGAGCAAAGAGGGCCAGAAGCTGGTGTGGGGGAAATATACATTTAAATTGCATGGATCGGATCTCTTTCAAATTAAACACTTACTAATCTGGAGTTATTTTGGAGTTCAATAGATTGACCAGTAGCTCGACCGCAGCCAGAAAGTCACGGTTGCGATATAGCTCGTAGAACTCAAAGTACTTGGAGAGGAAAACTAATCGCGGCGAGATGAACATGCGACTTTTAATGTGGACAATGACATCCGGACAAAGCATATTGCCCGTCTGAGAATAATTCTATAACGACGGGTAAAAGAATGCTTTGATTAATGCTTATGATTTTGGATATATGGCGTCACCTTCAATATAAAGTCAGCTATTCCCGTGACCAACAGCACATCCTTAGACCGTATGCCCCATTCTAAGGCGTTTCCATAGCGCTCATCATCGAATGATTGCCTGGACAGGACTTTGCATATCTCCTGCTCCACATCAATCAGGCCCCGTTTCCTGGCTACGCTCATGAGCTTAAGGGCATGCCGGTCGCTACGCAGCGATATGCGTGGCAGAAGTAGCTCCATGGCCGCTTTACCTTCCTGCTTGCAACAGTCCAAATAATCAATTCCCAGCTGCCATAAGCTCCGTGTGCTCATCAAATAGCTGCCATACTCGTATATCATAGAGTGGCGCAGTGCCGGAAGATCACTAAAAATGTATGATAAATCGTTAACAAAGAAAAACAAAGAACTTAAAAATTAAATCATCTTACATGTTGTTTTGCTCAAAATAGCCCTTTAACTCTCCGGAATGATAGATCAAATCAATCATATGTGTAGTTAGCCAATTGGTGTCGTTGATCCTCTGGGTATCATAAATGAAGAGCCTTAGATCATGCTCCATGAGCTGAGAGATCATTCGGGACATGTTGTTCAACTGGCTGTTGGGCCGAAGAAGTGTCCACCGATTCAACCAATTGGCCGCAGCAATTTTCAGCTCAAAGGGCTTGCAGGTGGGTTTGGTGTAGAGCAGGTAGCCAGGTAGGAACTCGTACCATTCGTTTGACTCCTTGATGCCGGCATCCCAGTGCTCATTGCTGCCTGTGACAAGCTGAAGGATCTGCTCGAGCTCTGGCTCAGACCCAAATGTATTTGCCCGGATCTTACGCTCCGCATCCACATGCCAATGCTCCCATTGCGAGTTGAACTTCTTCAGTGGAAATCCTTCCTTATAGACGGGCATGGATGCAAGTATCAGTTCTGCTGCCTTGAAAGCTGGTTGGCTAGCCTTGCGATTCTGGCGAAGGATGGCACGTGTGACGTCCAGGGCGCCAACCATGACTAGAGACTTTAGAACGTTCCAATAATCATCATTCTCACTGGCCTCTTCAGCCATCAGTAGAAAATCGGTGGCTCGATCCTCGATTTGCGGTGCATAAAAACGTGCCCAGTCGAGTAGCTGGGGAACAATAAGTTGACTTTGCTGCATGTAGAGAATCTCGAAGAGATGCCAGAGGCACTCTGCCGCATAGAAGACAATGACGGTTTCGCTAATGCGTTGCTGACGCTCTTCATCCATCTGTACCTCTGGCGACTTTTTAGCATGCTCCAGCCTCTCAAGGCTGGCCCGCACTACACTGCGGTACATGTGTGAAATTCTCAGATATTCAGCCCTTGGAGCCCTCTGACCCAATTCTTGCAACGTTGCAAAGGTGATGTTCGACTCGGCAAGCAGACTTCGCAGTACAGGCTCGTCGAACAGTGTAGTCTCCTGAGCCAGATAGATGAGCACGGGATCCTGGCCGGCTGTTTCGCTGGGGACATCTCTTGAATTCCACTTGACGTGACGGTAGGCACTGAGCGCTATTTTGGAACCCGGCACAAAAACGCCGGTGAGTGTGTTTCCAAAGCGGGTGGCCAGGGCGTCGCCAAGCTCCTAAAACGGTTCGTTATTTGGTTAACAGATAACATATATATCATACAAAACTACTCACAAAAGTGGATACTGTGTTATCATTCATTTTAATTCTCCTTTAATAAAATAAAATAAAAAATGCACAGAAAAGAAGCGCAACTCGCAACAAGTGTGGGCAACGCACGATTTTAACGCTTGTAGCAGTGCTCGAAAACAACTCGGACCTACGGTTGCAAAACAATTGTATGGAAAAAAGTTAAATAATTTTAAAAAGGAGTAAAAGCAATCTATAATGTTTAAAACTGTCTCAACGAAGTTGTGTAGTTTATGTATTGGAATCGAGATATATATACAGGAATCTAATTAAATGTATTATTAGGTAAACAACAAGTCGATTGGAAATCAAAATTTTAGCATAAATTAATTTTAATTAATTAAATGTGTAGTTATAGTGTAGTTAAAAAGGATGAAGAGGATGGATCTACAAGAAGAATTTACAATCGTCAATATATTCCGCCATTTACCTCAAGTAGTTTAACTATTGAATATAGGGGGCTTAAGTGGGCTAAGTTCGGTTTTTCATCATACGAGACGCAAAAACCAATCAAAGTCAAGTATTTAATAAGCCAGTCAAGTGGGAAATTGATTGATTATTCGGATAAAATTATTTGGGCAGGCCTAGGTTCTATCTAGCTAGGCTAGTAATATTCCACGGAATATCAAAATCGGGGAATATGTAAAATCGAACTTGAATTCGTCAGTATATTTACGGTATATTTTGGTATATTTCTGAGGGTCGGTCCTGCTCCGCTGTCCACAAGTTTTTATACCCGATACTCAAAATGAGTATTGGGGTATATTAGGTTTGTGGTAAAAGTGGATGTGTGTAACGTCCAGAAGGAATCGTTTCCGACCCCATAAAGTATATATATTCTTGAATAGCCGAGTCGATTGAGCCATGTCTGTCTGTCCGTCTGTCCGTCCGTCCGTCTGTCCGTCTGTCCGTCCCCTTCAGCGCATAGTGCTCAAAGACTATAAGAGCTAGAGCAACGATGTTTTGGATCCAGACTTCTGTGATATGTCACTGTTACAAAAATATTTCAAAACTTTGCCCCGCCCACTTCCGCCCCCCAAAGTGCAAAAATCTGTGGCATCCACAATTTCGACGATACGAGAAAACAAAAAACGCAGAATCGTAGAAGATGACTATATCTTTTAGATTACAGAATCTGAATTGGATCGTATTATTATTATAGCCAGCATCACGAAAACAATTTAATTTTTTCTCGCCCTGTCTCTCTCTAACACACACGTAGCATAGGCGGCTTTGCTTAGAGTAAAACATTAGCGCCTAGATCTCAGAGACTATAAAAGCTAGAGCAACCAAATTTGGTATCCACACTCCTAATATATCGGACCGAGACGAGTTTGTTTCAAAATTTCGCCACACCCCCTTCCGCCCCCGCAAAGGATGCAAATCTGGGGATATTCACAAATCTCAGAGACTATTAAAGCTCGAGTAACCAAATTTAGTATCCGCACTTCTGTTAGATCTCACTATAAAACGTATATCTCAAAATTTCGCCCCACCCCCTTCCGCCCACACAAAGGACGAAAATCTGTTGCATCCACAATATTGCAGATTCGAGAAAACTAAAAACGCAGAATCATAGAGAATGACTATATCTATCCGGTTGCTGAATTTGGATCAGATAATTTTTGTAGCCAAAAGGAACAAATCAATTTGCAGTGGCTACGCAGCGCCCGACGTCACGCTCAGACTGATTTTCTGTCTCTCTCGCACGCACTCTTTGTCGTGTCGTTTAATATTAGCAGCGCTGCCGGAGGAGAGCCATACTGACTTAGTATCGGGTATAACTGTAGAGTTGCGGTGTCCGCAGCAACTCACAACGTTCCCCCTCGTTTTATTTTTGTAAAAAAAATTACAAATTATTTGATAAAAAGCAGTTCGTTGATCAAATAAAATTTAGCTGAGACGTAGCCATGAGTACGATTCTGGAGAAAATTTCGGCCATTGAGTCGGAGGTAAGCGAAGCCACAATCAATAGCAGAGCACACAGAAACTAACCTGTCTGGTATCGTTCCCCTCTTCACCTTCTTTACCGGACAGATGGCACGCACGCAGAAGAACAAGGCGACATCGGCGCATTTGGGTCTGCTAAAGGCGAAGCTCGCGAAGCTTCGGCGTGAGCTGATCTCCCCCAAAGGAGGCGGCGGTGGCACTGGAGAAGGTACGTCGACACTTGCCCTCCTTTGAATAGATAATTAACTGGTAATCACTTTTAGCCGGCTTTGAGGTGGCCAAAACTGGAGATGCACGAGTGGGTTTCGTCGGCTTTCCATCAGTGGGCAAGTCTACGTTGCTATCGAATTTAGCCGGAGTGTACTCGGAGGTGGCCGCCTACGAGTTCACAACCCTGACGACGGTGCCTGGATGCATCAAGTACAAAGGAGCCAAGATCCAGCTGCTTGATTTGCCCGGTATCATCGAGGGAGCCAAAGATGGCAAGGGTCGAGGTCGTCAGGTAATTGCCGTGGCCCGTACCTGCTAAACAAGAAGCCGCCAAACATTTACTACAAACGGAAGGACAAGGGTGGCATCAATCTCAATTCAATGGTTACTCAATCGGAGCTGGACACGGATCTGGTTAAGACGATTCTCTCGGAATACAAGATACACAATGCTGATATTACGCTTCGTTACGATGCTACCAGCGACGACCTGATCGATGTCATTGAGGGAAATCGCATTTATATACCCTGTATCTATTTGCTGAACAAGATCGACCAGATCTCCATTGAAGAATTGGACGTCATATACAAGATTCCCCATTGTGTACCCATTTCGGCGCATCACCACTGGAACTTTGACGACTTGCTCGAATTGATGTGGGAATATCTGAGGCTGATTCGGATTTACACCAAGCCCAAAGGACAGTTGCGGCCGTTGGAAAGCTGCGATTCAACAGCGACGAATTACTTTCAAGCTGGCTCTTGAATTTCGCCTGAATGATGATATGAATGATATTTTTGAAGTAAAGCAGCTGCTCGATAAAAATGCCGATAAAATGAACGCTAAATTAAACAACTTTAGGCGTCACTTGGATGTTTTGTACACAGATCTTCACCATCGTTGGGTGAACTTGGCTAATGCGGATCGAGAACTTATCGGTCTGCACGATGCCTTGCTAAGCAGCATGAATAGTTTCAATAAATGTGTGATCAAGTGTAACATGCACATTGATCTAAACAGTCTCGAAACTTTGGTCACCGACATCGCCGAGCCTCTGCAGCGCAATGACTTCGTCACAAACACTAACAAAGATGGGATTGTAGTTGAAAATATCTTGAATGAACGTCCACACCGACGACCGATAATCCAAAAAATGGCGGACTCCAAGCATATAATTCCAATTGATCAGTCGGCAACGGTAGTGCGAGATGTGGAGTCAACACAGTGTCCAGCCAGGCCGGTTTCGGATAGTCTTTCGCTATCAACGCGTTCGAGTTGGTTTAATAAAAAGCAAAAGCAAAAAGCAAAGCCCATTACGTCCCCACAGCCCACTTCACCACAGCCACAGGACACGGCCACTGTTTCCGCTAAAACAAAAACCATGCTGCCTGTTTCACCACGTAAACGTATCCTCGAGCCACCGAAAGGCGGAAAAACAACATCCAGCAGTGAAATCTATAATCAGATCGTAAAGAACATAGCCGCCTTTCCAGAGGAAAGTGTGATAAAGGCTGAATTGATGCATCTAAACATAGCCGAAAAGTGTTTTGTTTGTAGGCATGTGGGGTGCGGAGCCGCTGCAAAAGTTATTCGAGGGGAAATTACTTCTTAAGGAGTTGGACCAGCTTCCCAACATTGGGGAGATATTTGCGGTGTACGATTGCAACGACGGGGTCATTCCACGTGTCACAATCAATGATTATGCGGATGAAGGTGGCTATGATGCCTATTTGATTGATTTCGGCGAGCATATACACATGACTGGCGACGAGAATATATTTGCCCTACCAGATGAAATACGGCTGCTGCCGGCGGAGGCCATCAGATGCTTCTTCAGAGAAGGCGATGTGTCCCATATGTCCGAGTTCCGATTCACAAGAGTGGCATTGCGTGTTTTGGAAAAATGTGGTGACGATTTAATAGTTGAACTGGCCGATGACAAGGCAAACCACAGTCGTCGCAGGAAGAGTCCTGTCAAACCAGCTGCAGCCGATTCTATTCAAGATCAGTCCGTGCCAACCAAGACAAATGGGCCACAGTTAGGAGTGGCAGTCGATTCTAATGGAGTAGAGTCCGATTCCGCGGCTCCAACCACCGCCAAGCGACAGGACCCACAACTTAGCAAGGAAATCTGTTCTATTAAAGATCAGTCCACTTCCTCTTGCCCACCAGCAGAGCTCTTGGCAGTTGATTCCTACCCAGATCAGTCAAAAGCAGTCCCCCAAAGCCCGCAGTTAGGCAAGGCAGTTACGGACATGCCATACGGGGGCCCACAGTTAGGTGAGTCAGACATGGCCATGCTAAACACGATTGATGAAGGCACCAGTGACCCCTTAAAGGCTGTCCTGGGTTTCAGGCCCAAAGACGAGCAAGGAATCTGTGGGCATTACGATCCTAAGCTCAATGGCTTCAAGGGTAAGTCTGTGCATAGAAAACAATCAAACTCACAAGAAAAGTCTTGATAAAATTCATGTTTCCCCTTAGGTAGACTGTGTCGCTTGTTGCATGAGTTCTTTGCACCTAAGGGCGTCACCAAGGACTTTGAGGTGTTAGACGCTCTGCCGGAAACCGAGTTTGATGCGCCATTTCCAAGAAAATTAGGAAGCATTGTGGAAATGCAGTTCCACGGTAGTCTATGCCCAAATTTTAGATGGCTCTTCTCCTCTGGTATGGATCAAGAATGATGTCCTAGGGGCCAAGAGTCAGTTCAAGCAGAAACCGCATATGTTGGACATACTCAACGTGGAGGAAGACGTGGTGCTGGCTTTGAGATTCGATTCCTTGGCGACAATGCCGATCTGGCCGAGCAACTGATAAAGCGCGGCTATGCACAGCCCGATGACGACGGTCATAAACCATATGATTCTGATCTTGATCTGTAAACGTATTTCCTTTTCTTGGTATACGAAGTATAACATAGTCATTCATATAGCGTTCCAATAGTTCTTAATTACTTTTTTTAACACTCACAACACAATCGAACACAACGGAGACGGTGCTGGAGTAGTTCGGTTTTTAAGCAAACAATGACTATTGCTGTAGATTGAGAAACACGGATATGCTTCCTGGCGGAGCCACCTAGCTTTGTCCTTTTTAGATAACTTTGAATTACGTATCCTTCTTTAGCTTTTTTTTTAGTGCCATATCCACACCGAATAAACAAAACATATGTATGTATATGTTCAGGGGTATATTCCTCATTTCTCTCACACGTCAAGTCGCTTGATTAATGTTTTTCTTGGGACTCGCCCAATTGCCAAGGAAAGGCCCAAACGCAAAGCAAAGGCCAATGACAAGCAGCAGCAAAAGCCTCAAAACTAAAACAATAATAATAATAATTGCCTCTAATGTGCAAGCGCAAAAAAATCAAAGGACACCGAGCTATTGTCGTGGTCTCGTCCTGGATGCGGTGCGGTGCGGGGTGCTAATAGATTATGCCGCAACGATTAGAAAGGCAATAAATAACACCTGGCCGGGATCACATGCGTGTTTGGCCCGACCCGCACATGTGGGTGGGTGGGGGCGAGAGCACATTGAGGACAGGTCCTCCGCTCTTTTGTCCTGGTGTTGACAATTTAAATGTTTCGGCCAAAGGGTAATAGCTGAAGGCTCAAGGGTCGCGTCCCTCAGAGCTGGGATGAGCTTCGGACTGGACTGTGAATTGAAACAACTGACTGGAGTTTTTGGAACGAAATCTACCATGTACTCGTACTCCCTTAAGTGGACCTTGGACTCGCTCAATTTCCAGATTCTAATCACTTTCAGGAAGGAGAATAGTTTTGTTCCCATCGAAATAGATAGGCAGAGTCACCTGCTATGTTCTACATGCCTCTATTCGCTATTGTGGCCAACCCCTGGCCATAATTAGGCGGCCAGTTAAGTGTCAAAAGGATGGCAGACCCCCATCCCCGATCCCAGACATATGCTCTAAAGCATAATGATGATGACAATGATGGGCACTGAACCACCCCAAGTTCCATAGTTTTATAGACACACATCTTGTTTGATTTGGTGGCCTTCTTAGCATGAATTTTAATACACTGATACAATTTCGATTACTTTTTGGGTGGGTGTACGTTTGTCTGCCTATGTTGGAAGAAACTCAACTCATTTAACGAAACAAGAAGCGAAATAAATATATTTGGGGAGAGTCCATCCTTAGCAGCTGGACCCGCGCTGAGGGCAATTGCCAGTGCTGCTGGTGGAAGCCTCCGGGCTGCCACCGTGGGGCAGCTGCAAGGCGGCAATGCGCTGCCATGTCTGGTTGAAGTGGCGCGCAGATCGGGAATTGGACAGCTTCGCAATAGGTCCCAGCGTGCGATACCCATTGCCAATGTAACGTACGAAGCCCTTGGCAGTGAGGTCCATGAGGGCTGTCTTCACCTGGGCTTCCAGATCGCCACAGGCGAATGGTCTGTGATGATGGAGGAATATTGTTTGGCTTACATGTGTGCATTGTGAGATTATTGTAATGCATGTCTTACTCCTTTTTTAGCATCTCTATGATAGTAGCCTCCTGTATGCCATCGACGTAGCTGGGATGATCCTGAAAGACGCGCACCATGTCCATGATGTAGAGCGGCAAGTGGATATGATAAGCGTTGAAGGGCAGACTCGAAGTGCTCGGCGCACAGTCGCTAATCGGGGCCTCGTCAGACATATTGATTAGTCTCGTGGCAGTTCTATATTTATTCGTATTCTACAATATTTTTTCGCCTGTATCTCGGAAAAGCAGAACAGGGCTTATACACATATCACATGTATGTGAACCCATTTTAGGCAGGGGCTACTTAGTCATGCCTACTCGGACTTGGGTTGCCTCAAATCCCAAGCGCTAATGTCATCCAATTAGAGGTGTCATTAACGGTTTGTCGGTGTCGAGGTCCCTTGTGCTCTCCAATTATTGACCCAGTAAAATAGAGTACAAATATTGAAACAATTACATGTTCGGGGTTTTTATTACTTGGTAATTTGCCCAATACTTATAGTAAAATAGTCTCTGTCCGAAGGGTTCTCTCCGTTCCTCCCAGTGCATTAGTCGTAGTCCTTCGGATGGGAGGCAATTTATAGATTTCTCCACTAATTTTATTCCTAAAGACATATTTTCTATGCATAGTATAGTTTTTGAATATGTATGGTAAACCCGTTCTTCTATTAGATCAGACATGTCACCCCAGCACGCAATCCTCCTATTCCGTATTCCGGATTCCACCCATTGTTAGGCGACGCGCCATAAAAGACATCGAATAATAGACATAACTCAGAGCCACGCCAGTCAAAGGGTTAACTGTGGCAAAACTTTTACCCACAGATAATAAATTAGCGCATACCTTACGAAATGTTATGAGGATGCGACTGTTTTGCCGTCTAACTTCCGGCTACGATGTGGTGCCCGGGGCTCAAACTGCCAATTAACCTTTACAAACAGGTGACACTTTCTCAACTGCACGGCACGGGACGAAATGTGATGGGATGGGATGGGATGGGATGGGATGGGATGGGGCACATGAACGGGTTGAACGAAGACTCGTGCGGGAAGACGGTAAAAGTAGCGTTCCGGGACTTCTACGCCAAGGGGGAGTGTAACTTCTTAGATTATCTTTGAGTGAAACAATATGGAAAACCCTACTGCACTACACTGTCGTTATGTGAATATTTCTTTTTTGGTGGTGGTACGGTGGGAATACTCGTATGCAAATACATAACTCTTTTTTGGTTCTTCTCTGTTCAAATTCTGGAGAGTCATGCTTGATCAAATTGGAGTTGCGATTAGTTTGCTTGATGTCTTCTTTTCAAGGATTCGCCAAATCGGGGTCGGGTCGCTCTGACGTTGCACTTTTTGGCTTGCTTTCTGGAGTTACATTTCCTGGGATGAAGAGTAATAGATATAGCTTATTGCAAAAATCGATTGGGATTAGTCCGCCCCTTTTTACAGACTATTACAGCAACTTTCCCCAATAAAATGACGGTCGAGACTCGGCATTCCCATTGGCCAGTTCAGTCTCTGCCCCCTTGACTTGCCACAACCTCTTGAGCCGCATAACAGTTGGTCAAATCCTATATAACCTGGGGCTGTGGCAGTGGCGGGTGGGTAAATCAGGGCGACATGTGGTCAACTGCCGTGGACTGCTGCTTGAGGCCGGGACTGGGTGGGTGTAGTCCCACTAACCAGTTATATGAAGTCCTTGTAACCGGGCAGCAATATAAATGCCAGTCGGCGTAGAAAAGTGTCATGTATTTGACGAATAATTACCGTCAACATTGCGTGATTGGTTGAATCAGACGGGAGGGCGTTTTGGCTGGCTTAGGACTTAGCCGAGGTCCCCAACCAAATCGGCTGCCCGTGGTGGGGTTGCCAGGGGTATGCGGATGGGGTTGTGTGACAGGAACCTATAATTACCAGACCAGGCAGGTGGTCGCCAGACCAGGAATCCACCATTTAGTGCTCCGCTTTTAGACACACCGCGGACGTTGCCGCGAACGGAAGTCCGGGGCTTATCGCCAGAATGTTGGCCGGGATGCATTCACCCGGATCGCCTTCAGCTCAGTCACAGGCACCGCCGCCGACGCCCTGCAAATCGCCCATCCTGGACGTGACCGAGACCCTGTCGGTTCATAGCGAGATGGAGCTGGAACTCGAACCGAAAAAAGCGTTGTATTCCTTTGGAGCCCCGCACAGTCACGGTCACAGCCACAGTCATAGCCTACGTCTGCCGGGCCTCAGTATTCCCAACCTGATCAATAGCAAGAATTCCACTCTGCCCGCCTTCGAGTACATCGCTCCGCCGAACCACGCCCTGCAGGCCCTGGAGTTTCCCCTGATGGAGTTGAACCATCGTGTGGGTGTTGGTGTTGTTGGCGGCATGTTTCCCGGCTTCTTGCACCGACGGTCGCGCGGCGAGAAGCGACCGATTCCGGATGCCCAGAAGGATGCCAAGTACTATGAGCGGCGCAAGCGGAACAACGAGGCGGCGAAGAAGTCACGGGATGCCCGCAAGATCCGAGAGGATCGCATTGCCTTTCGGGCCGCTCTTCTCGAGCAGGAGAACTCCATTCTACGGGCTCAGGTGCTGGCCCTACGCGACGAATTGCAGACGGTGCGGCAGCTCCTGGGTGCCACCGCCGCCGGTGGCCTGCTCTCGATGCCTCGCCAGATGTGAGACGAAGCCTATGGGGCAAGTGCTTTGTACATACAAGTAAAGTGAGGAAGTGATCTAGCTGTAGTTCTGCGGTGCATGTTTGTTAATAAATTTTTGAATTTATCTAAATCCTCTTGTTTAAATTCGAGTGTTTCGATTTGCTGCTTTTTGAAGTAGGCTCCTGTCCCAGTTTCAACGTCCCATGGTTCTGGAATACCCGAATGTGTATTTCTGGCTCACCGCAAGTCAACAGGTGTATTAGTGGCGTTGGGGTATGGATGTGACTCTGTTTATGTATTTCCTCAGTCGATAGTATAGTCCTTTCTATCTGCTATTGCAGAGTGTCATCTATCAGCCAATGAAAAGCTTGAAAAATTAGGGAAAACGAACGAATAAGTGTTTTTCCTGATCGAGTGCAAGATACTAGAAACATAAAGAACATATTTCGAGGACTGCTTAATTTAATTATAGAAAATATTAGACTTCAATTGAATTTCGACGAGTATTGGCTATTGAGAATGGTTTGTCAAGTTCCAAGGATGGTCGACTTATTAATCCACTGGGGTAGAGCCACCGAGTTTCTTGAACCATGAGTAGACGCATAGCCAAAAGTACACGGTGAGAACTGTGGGCCAAATAGCGATATGCAGATTTTTTGTTCCCAGAAATGACATGATAAACGTGCTTACCCAAAGATATGACCATGACAATAATGGATTCTGTGTGGATTGGTTGGTAATTATGTATCTTATTACCTAAACCGTAACAGATCAACCAAATTATGCCCACTATAAGGACAATTACGCGTATGATACCAGTTATCAAGTAGAGAATAACCAGCTCTTTCTTAGGCTGCAAATAACGGGACAAAGAGTGGTTTACAATAACGCGACCCATACCTTAAGGATTTCTCAAGGACACATACCTCGAAAATGGAAACAATTAGCAGGACGCAGGCCACAATGTGAAGAATGGAGACAATCAAGCTGAGATAGTAAACCACATTTACGTGCATTCCTGAAATATAGACACACGATTTAGACACGTTCAAGATTACGTACTCGACTTACCTCTGCACACCCCACCGAGAATAGAACACAGTATTAATTCCACGATCCCAATAAGTAACATACCCCATTTTAGCTCCAGAAGGCAAAAAACCTTTTTGATCTGAATCATTTTCACAGTTTATAATAATTTTCGAAATTTTTCGGCAATGTTTTTCTGTCTAGCTGTTGTTAATTTCAAGACTACCTTGATCTAATTAAAATTTAGATCTGGGCAATTCTCTATATATGAAATTATATTCCCAGACTTGCATTCCAGCTTTTTAAGGTCTGTAGTTAGGGTGTCATCACCTCCATCAATATTCACCTGGGCCCATTTTGAGCGTATAGGAAGGGCTCGGTTAGATCCTTATAATATATGAAAAAGTATACAGATACAACAGCTCAAACTCCATTGACAAGGAAAATACGATTACCATCGGTTTTAATTTGTAAAAATTCTCATAGAAATAACGAAATATTCTAACAAATGTGCATGTGCATAAGGTAAAGATATCAACGTATACTATAGCTTTGCGAAAGCCCTGTCTTTCCCGTGGCCTTTCTAGCCTTGCGGGATGTCGGCTCCTAGTCCTGTTTTGGCTTATCCTCGCCGAGAAGGAAGCGTCGAACGATGGGCAGCTTGTAGATCGGCACCGAGAGCACAGCACCAACACAGGCACCAATCCAGTAGACAATGATGTGCTCGAAGTTGGTGTGGCCGCGACATCCCCACTTGAGGGCGGTGGCCAACACCGGATTGAAATAGCCGCCGGAGAAGTTGAAGGCTGCAAGCAGGGCATAGTTGAAAGCGTAAACTACTTGAGACCAGATGACAGCAGTTGGAAGGCACGCTTTAAGCGGGCGCACGCTTACCTGCCACCACCAGGCTGGTGCCGATGAAGGAGTCGATGTAGCTGGCGAACTTGGGCTCCTTGTCGCTGAGGGTTTTCGATGCCAGGCGGCACAGTAGTGTGGCCACGCCCTCAATCACGGCTCCCAGGTAGGGGCTGACCTGTAGATCGGCACTGCAGGACTCGAAGGCCCGTCCCTTGTGGGTTTCCGCGAACTCCAGCCACCAGAAGACTTGCACGATGCGGTAGACGCAGCAGCCGCCCATCAGCTCGGCCCATGTTCGCAGTGCCATCTCCTTGAAGCTGGTGCGCCCCTCCAGTACGTCTTCCATGTGGGTGTAGGGGCAGGCGGAGGCGTCGCCCCAGACCTTCCCCCACCACACCGTCAGCACGAACAGGCAGACAGCATAGGCCGCCACGCCAAAGTTGTCCGCCACTGACAACGGCAAAACCTTAGCCCACACTCGAGTCCATCGCACATGCACCACTCACCACTCATCACTCACCTATGATCAGCTCGAAGCAACAGGCACAGAGCTCGGCGGCGGCTATCGCCTCGTTGACCAGAATGGGCACGATTCCCTCCCGTGTCACCAAGCGCCGGCTAACCAGGCGGGCAATCTGGGCAGCCACACAGCAGCCGACCATAAAGATCCCGCTGACACCCAGCGATGCCATCGACATGTCCTAAAAACATTTGAATAAGTCCAATGAAAGACCAGGCACTCCTTAGTGATTATACATATATGATATGAAAACAAAGCTGACTTTAAGACTTCTCCTGCCTCAACCTTGGCCGGGTATGGATCATGGCAACACTTTTGTTTTGAGTAAAATTGGTTTTCTATGCATAGGCATGTTCATGTCACACACTACTTAATCTAAGCACACGAAAAATGGACTAAAAATAGATACGATACTGTTCTTTCTTTGAATCCCATTTGCTCTTATTGCAATTATTGTGTTTTTATGAAATGATTTGACCTCGCACCACACTGCTAGAAGTGATTTAAACTCAAGTTCAAGTTTGTTTTTTGTGCATGAAATGTCCGGTGCTATGATGGATTGTCCCAGAAAATACATACTACGCAATTGGAGGATTGGATACAATGCGATCGGATACAATGGATACAATGTGTGTCCCGTAGGGCCGCCGCGAACACTGAGAATTGGCCGCTGACTGATATTTTGTGCTAGCGAATTATTTATTGATCGTTCTCTTTGCTCGCCGGGCAGTCATCTGGCTTTGGTTATAATTAAACTAATGCTCAATACGCGCACTGTTGACGTCATAGAATGCTCTTTGGCACCTGCTGAAATTCAAAAAGCGCGGCCAATACAGCATGACTGAATGGGCAGCACTGGCCAATACATGTGCCAGTGCCGATGGTGTGTCATCGATAACTGCACAGCTGATTGATGATATTTTCAAAACAAACGCAAGTAAGTTTTTTTTTACATAAGAAAAGCGAGGTTTTGTTAATATATGAGATAAATTTAATTACATTTAGTGTTACAACAACTGTGCAGATCTCATATTACAAGAGTAAGATGGCCAAGCTCTGTGCCTGCAGTGATACAACAGTTGCATCAACGCCGCCTTGGAACTGCACCCAAAAAAACCAAGATCCTCAATGAAACTGGCTTTTCCGAATGGCGGACCATTTACAGCCTTCCGTCAATACGACTGGTGGCTGCATTTAATAGGTTAAAAATCTACCAGGCTGTTGTTACAGCTGCGGGAGCTCCCATTGCCTTTGCTCTCGAACAGTCCGGACACGCTACGGATGCACTGGGAATCTATGCCGCCATAGGGGTTAGTGGGCTGATAACCCTAACCCTAGCCAGTTTTGCAGCGACAAATCTCGTTGGATTTATATACATCAACGAGCAGCAGGACATGCTGAAGCTTGCCTATGTGGATTTCTGGGGCCGCCGTGTAGAGACTTTGGTGGAGACCGATGATTTGCTCCCCAGCTGGGAACGGGGGACAATGAGCCAACTGAGATTCTTTTTGCCCATAGCCCTGCGGAGTGATGCCAAAAGGCGCTACAAATTGTTGAATCGTTTTGGCAACATTGCCGATCCGCAACTGTTTGAGGGTCTCTTTGGAGATTAATACCTAAGAACCATAAGATTGGAGACACTTGTTACTAGTTACTAGGTGTGCAAACGTTTAATTGTACAGTCCTAACATCAAGAAAATAATATCATCTAAGTCTAATTGTTGAGAGATTGTATTCGCAGGATTTGCTCCTACAATAATTTCCTTTATTATTTTCCCAAAGCGATGGCCTCTTCTACCTGCAATATAATAATGTAAGATATAAATATACAAAAGAATGGCTGCCCCCGGAACCTACCGTATCGGGCAGCTTCATGTGAAAGGTTTCCGGCAGCAGCAGCGAAAGGAGACCAGCAATCAGCGAGGCGGCTCCAAAGAGCAGCAGTGGCAGGGGCTCGTAGTATGTTCCCTGCGTGAATGAAAACGATGGCAAAAACTGTTCGATTGAAATGTACAAATAACCTACCAGCAGCGGCACAAAGGGAGCCAGCATGGCACCACAGCGAGCAAAGGTGGACATAACACCAACGCCTCCACTACGTATGACCTGTGGAAGATTACAACCATGTGAACTAGTCTATCAAATTAGTCAATTTGAAGGTCTTCACAAACCGTTGGCATCATTTCCGCGGTGTACGTATAGATGACGGCAAACGAGGACGTGATGCCCAGCTTTCCAATGAGAAAGAGCGTCACAATCAACCAGTTGGCACCTTAGATGGAATTATAAAAGGTAAAACATTATGCGCATCTAAGAAAAAGCACGCATAAACTATGACTAAAGCGGTATGCAACCAAACATGGAGATGGACCCGACTCCACGAATATTTACCCTCAGCTTGAAGTCCGCTGGGATTCCCCTCGACTTGTACTTTGCAGGCATGCACAGAAAGCGCTCGCATTAAAATTAGTTTTAAGTCTAAATTGTTAAGTCTACCACATACGCATAGTCATATAGCCGCTGGCCACACAGGTGATCGAACAGAGCAGCAGGGATCCAGACAAAGCAAGTTTGCGGCCTAGTTTTCGCAGGCACAGCTGTGAAAAGATGAATCATAAATTTGGGACAATTTCTGATGGATACTGATACTGAACTTACCCACGCCAAGCTGTAGCCGGGGATTTCCACAAGGCAGACCAGGGTAAAGTTCAGATACTTGTTGCCACTCAAGCTGGTCGAGTTCAGGGAGAGTCCATAGTAGACGATGGCATTGACGGCCCAAATGAAGAGCATGTTCACATAGCGAATAATCAAAGTATGAGAAGCAAAAACCTCCTTGACGGCCAGCCAAATTTGGTTATTTTCTTGTTTCTCCTTCTGATCATAGTCGGTACTTTCCATGTCCAGTTCCTGCTGCTTGAAACTGGCCAGCAACTCAATTGAAATATCCCGGCGATTGACCTCCGCCGCTCTCCGAATAATCACGCCAGCCTTCTCCCGCTGGTTGCGAGCCAATAGCCACCTTACCGACTCTGGCACAATCCAAAAGTATCCCAAAAAGATCAGCGGTGGTATAGACAGTATAAGCTGTAAGTTCCGCCAATTGGGAATGAACACGGACAACCCCAACAGGGCCTCGCCCACCGCATAGAAATAGTTCAGTACAATGGAGGACATCTCGCGCTTCCTCGGCCCCACCATCTCCACGCCAATAATGAAAGCCAGCGGATACACGCCGGAGGTGCCAACGGCATTTAGCAAGGCAAAGCTCAGAAAACTGATGTAGTCCCAGGCCAGGGCCTGCGCTACTCCAGTCACAGCCATGAACACGATGCAGAACAAGAATATGCGCTTGCGTCCAAATCTGAAAGTAGACAAATCGGAGGATACTGAATGGATCTATGTTTCGTCGATCAGACTCACCGATCGGCCAGGTAACCGAACAACGCGGTACCGATCACCAGTCCCGCAAAGTGTGTGGTTCCCACAAAGGCCAGCTTCCAGGCGTTCTCCTGGCACGTCAGCTGCCACTCCTGCACAATGGTTCGCTCCTGGGTCCCGTACACGAACTGTAGGCAACGCTCCTCCTCCTGTGTGAAGTTCTCGGCCGTGCATTGTCCCGGCTGCAGAGGGTCCCAGCTGAAACCACTCGTCTCGTTGGCCACATACCGATCGCAATTGGCTGGCGTGAACAAACCCTTCTTGCTCCAAGTTCCAGGCACAGCTATGTGCAGCCAGTCGGCATGGTACTCTGGCGCCTGGATGCTGTCGCACCCGGTTATGTAGCAGCGGTAGGTGGGTTTGCCAGCAGTGAACACATACGACAGACTGTTTGCTGCGGCAAACAGAACGGGCAGACAGATAAGCAGATAGTTCCGCCGCTGATAGCGTCCGAATTCCCCAATTTGAGTGAGTATTTCATCAAAGTCCAATAGGTCTGTCGTGGCTCCGGCTGCTGAAGGGGACATTTTATCCTTTACCCAAGTGGTATCTGCCGTAGGAATCTTGGTACGTGTTCAATAAGTCACTTAACCGCTGCTCCAGAGTCATGGGATTCGAAGTACATATATTGAAGATTAGTTGATAGACCTATGGGGAGCGTATGGTGTTTTTGTGTGAATGGAATCTTGGAAGATACACACATACATATGTATGTACGTATGTATTTATAGAATATTTATTTTTACCGGCAACAAGGGTTCAAGGGAATTATTAGGTGAATACTTTTTAATTTGTATATGTATATGCTGTACATTTGTGTAAGCTTATCTAATGTCTGTTACCGATGTCTGTCCACAAGTCATTCAGTAACATTTATTAATCGGTGTGCATAGCCAATGCCAAAAGTAAGGCAATTCGTTGTGTTCAAAAAGATTACCCTGAGCTCCGATACTCCTCTAAAAGCATCTGACTACTGGGTATTGTTAAGTCGAGACCTCTGGCTGTGGCAGACGTGTGTGATGGTGTGGCATCTCAGCAACTTATTAATTACAAGAATACTTCATGATCAATGAATGGTTTCAGCGTCTTGAGACGAACATCAAGTACATATTTCTGTGCATGCATGCAATCCAATCGTGGCCAATTGGAATGAATTGTTGCATGCCACACAGCGGTAAACAAAAGTGTAGAGTGCATCGGGGAGTAGCTGCCGCAGGCCAGCGCTAAATGATTGATGCGTGCTGACTATGCAATATGACTGCATTATGGATGAGCCATGGGGGGAATTGCCCAGCACGTAGTCTGGGATCCGCATGGGGTTTTTGATTAGGTGGAAATGCAACTACCATTAAAATTCGCCCATGCCTTATTAATTCATTGAGTTTGTGAGAACATTTGCCAAGCGTTCAGGTGCATTGACTAAGCGTCCAGGGTCTGGGCCAGTCGATAATGGGGACTCTCCCATTATCTAATCGGTGCGGCGTCTATTTAACGATGCACTTACGAACTTCCAAAAATAATTATTTCATTTCACATTTGCTCTGCTTGCCACACCACGACCTGCTATTATCGCACTTGACAGGTGTTTTCTAGTTGCTATTAATGCTTCACCCTTCAGTGATTGAGGCGCCAATTACTTTGAACGCTATTGGCGGCCTGTTTTCTGGGTCCGGGATTTTATCCGCTTCGTTCGTGCCATTACCGCTCGCCGAAACGTCTGGCGATAAACTGAAATGTCTCAAAACATCATGCAAACACGAACAGAACAGGCCCAAACTTTTACTAGAACGCTATCTTACGCTGTTCTTTCTCGTTCTAAAATCAAAGTAGCCGGCATTAAAATCAATACAACACCTGAGCGGGAGAGCTGGCGTAATGAGAATTTAAATTCTCCCTGCTCTTGCATTCATAGAACGCTTATTTTTTTCGTTAATCATTTGAAAAATGAGTCATTTGCCTGCCTCGAAAGAGCAGATCCTATTTCTACTGTCTTATGAGAGCGAGAGCGTATTCTCTGTGTTTATTCATAATATTGAATGAGGAGAACCAAAGAGACAATATGAGTAAAGATCTCTGCTCACTTCTTTAATTTGATGAATTTTGAGGCGAACTCGTAGACCCCTACGGAGTTGTTATTCTTCTGATCGTACTCCACCCAGTCGTCTTCCGATAGATCGACATCCTCGAAAGACTGGCCATTTTCGGAGGAGAAAACCTTCCAGCCGGAGCGGGGGGAGAAATCAACAGGTTCCAGGCCGCGACAGTCAAAGATGACGATAGTCTTAAGTTTTCCACTATCATCCGCCGTGTAGGGCACTGCAGGGACAAAATCAGTGAATGAACCTTCTAAATATGTAAGAGCACTCACCGTTTGACTTTTCCACAATATCGATGCTATTCTCCCGACTGCACATTTTGCATTTCATGAAGAAATTAAATCCGGCCGTGTTCCGGGTATCCTGCTGCACTCGCTCCGATTCGGTTATGTCGTGCCATTTGTCGGACTGCTCGCCGCAGTTGCTGCAGGTCAACTTCACGAAGAATGGATAGTCTGGATGGGAAGTCTCTAATTTATCTATGTTCTCCAATGTGGCAGATATTTGAAGTCCCACGCGAACCATTTCTGCAAATATTTATTCTACGCGGTGGTAGCAGCTGTTTGGCGATATTGCCAGACTGCTTAATTTTTGCTCAGCTGTTAACTTTCAACTATCAATATTTTTCGAAATAATATCGATAGCGTCATCGATGGTTTTGTAGCCCCAATGGGCAACGCTGAGAATTTTCACAAAAGATTTTGGTATAAACAAAAGTCAATTTCTTAAATTTAACACAACAAAAACCTGCTAACAATGGATCTCAATATGAAGCCTTCACTAGCTGCCGATGAGATGTTTTCAGAGGGCCCTGGCTATATGGAAATGGACGAGGTGAGTTTGAATTCAGCAGGGTGGGGAAAGTCCTAACAAAAAATATGAAAAACAATTAATTATACTACCATGACATTTATAGTCGGGCGGCGCTACTGGCATGATGATGGATCATCTTCCCACCAATGATAAACATGTGCATGCTGATTTTTACAATAATTTCGATGATCTGTTTGACGATGACAATTGGGCCAAAGTCAAGCAAACTGGCGACAATCCCAAACAGTAGATTAAACTTTGTACGTAAGTCGCCCAAAAGGGGACAATTACTATAAGCAAAGGAATATATATGTTGAGTTAATTTCGTTTAGTTCATTATTCTGTTTTATTTGGGCAAATGTCTTGGATAAGGATGTACAAACAATGCTGAATTGGTTGGCTGCTATAATATATTCATTTGGTTCGTATAACTAACCTAAATATTGCCGTTCGAGGATAGTGCGGTGGTGGATTTGAACTTTGGCGTGGCGTGGTATAAACTCAACAAAATGCTTAATTTTTGTACAAAAAAGAACCTAGAAACTATATTTAAGATATCAAACTGAGTCGCATGCGGAATGATTGAAGACATTGACATCGAGATTACATGTACACATTAAGGATAAATCTGTATGGATCCATGGAATTTGTTAAACAAATTGTACGCAATTAAGGCTGCATCTGCTTATGGCATAGCTAACCGTCTAAGGGGGTGCCACAATAGACCATAGACACCTCAGTGTTGCCATAGACAGCAGATACTGTGGGAAAAAGCTTTTTATCGGGCAAACCTGAAACCAGATACGGTAAATAGTTGGCAGTGAGCATCTAAAATCATTAAAGAATCACCAAATGATAAGCTCACCTCGAAAGGCCACGCCCAGAAACTCGTAGTTCTTTTCAAACGATAAAGTATTATCATCACAGTCCAATATGACGCGAATCCTCTCGCCCACCTGATATTTGGGTGCATTGTTCAACAATGGATAACCTCCCTGCATGTCGCCGTTGTGCAATAGATGGTTCTCGACCAGGTTCCAGCCCCAGCTCTGATCATCGGACCCCAACAGGGCCACATAGCCGTGACATTGAAGGGCCGCCTCCTTCGTAGATATCCCAATTACGGCTACCGTTCCGAGTGGACCCTCCCAGATGACTTCCCAGGCATGGCGTCCGTGTCGAAAACCGATTTTGGCCCTTGCAGCGTCTGTGCTCTGAGCCACGGGGTTCCTAGCAACGAAAGAACATGGAGTCTGCTATATTTTCGTTTAAGCCTACTACCAAACTGTCTTACCGATGCAGGGTGAATCCATTCGGCTTAATATACACATTTCGCGAACAATCGCTGGGATTCCACGAATGAAAGAACGCTCGCAGCTTTGTCTTGTAGGTGGGGACGGGAGACAGCAATTCCGACTTGGTGACTTCCTTTGGCAGCTTGTTCAGACAGTGAAACCGCCAGACGTCGCTGTTCTCGTCGTTTAGGAAGTGGAACCAACTTTTGCAGACTTGCGAACAGCGGCCCAAGTCATTGAGGTCCAGGTACGAAAATACAACCTCCAAGACATTATAATTGCACAGAGCTGCCACACGATCGACCATTTTGTTGTTGTCTGGAGTCGATAGTGTAGTGTCCTCGCTGTCCTATCCACTACTCGCTTGGCTTTTTCCGCAAGTATAGTATATAGCTCCTGTGACTCGGACTTGCTATATCTTTTCAGGTGTTCTTCTCGGTTTATTATTGTAAGCTAGCTTAATCATTGTTTTTATCATAAAATTTCTGCTTAATTTATTATTTGACTCGAGGTGGGACCGTATAAGACATGAGTGAAAAATACCTAGTCGCGGAATGCAGTGGCAACATTGTTTACATTTTGCGGCGAGTGCTGCAAGTCGATTTCGGAAACCAGCTGCTTCCAACACTGAGCTCGATTGATGCGTAAATTGGCGCGCACTGTCTGCCATTTCATTCGCACCCGCACACTGGCCTGCTCTGCCTTTCCCACATGAAAACGAAAAAGCAACGACTTGGTGGAAATTTTGTGCATATCGTGCTCCGTTAAAAAATACAAATTGTTTAAAAGTAATCACACCACACGAAAGAGTCGATTTCGGGGAATCTTTTGCGATATTGTTTGTGAAAATCGAAGTGCGTTTAGTCTGCGAAAATCGCCATCGAAAACAGGCACCAAAGCAATTTTGCGGCCGCCGCTGTGTGTGTGTGACAAGAAAAAATGCTCTTGTGCTGGAAGTGAACAAAAATGCGCTCGCGCTCGCCATTTTGACTCGAGCTACAACCAATTTTGTACCCATTAATACCGATCCCTAAGTGCATAAAAGTGTAGGCAAAGAGGGGATTAACACACGTGTTTCAATAGTGCAGTGCAGTGAAAAATACACACAAACTACGAATACAGCACTCACACTAGGCAACCCATACACACGTTGCGGCTACGTGCTTTTTCCTATTCAAGACTTCTTTTTTTGGCGGCCCTCTAGGAGGTGACGGCCAGAAGAGTACTGTGGTGAGGAGTAGTGGGCGAGAGTGGAGAAAAGTGGGCGAGAGGCAACAGTCGGCTATCTGTGCGGGGTTCGGCACCGGTGATAGCGGCAACGTCGACACTATTGCACCTGCCTACCTGGTTAGGTTTCTATGAAAGGAGTGTGTCCCACTATAACAATAACAGCCAAGTTACTCCTAAGATGTCGCATAACTCTTCAGCAGCAGCAGCAGCGAGCGGTGCAGCTAAAACGGATGAAGTAAACTTCTTCTTTCAAGATGAGCATGGTAAGTGGGCATCTCCATCTCTCTTTAAAGCGAAATACCTCCAAGGCAATTGAAGAGCCTTGATGTTTTCTATCTTACCGGGAAGGACTTCGGGCTGCCTTGATTAATGAGCATTCGATTTGGTTGTGTGTGTGTGTGTGTATTATCAGAGGCAGAGGCACAGTGATACCCACACACTCGTGCACACGCACATATGGAGGCGGGCGCGATACGATACTACAAAGTTGCATGGGGAGCGTAAAACGCCATCTTTTCTTTTTCGGGTTTCTTTTGCTGACAATATTCATCGTTTGATACGTTTTTAGTGCACGAGAAACAAGCAGAGGACAACTGAAAAACAATAGCTTGCACAACAGGATGAACAAAATAAAGTAAAGTAATGGTAAAGAGACAGAGAGAGCTACTTTCGAAGTACTAAAATCGGTATGTTCTCTCCGCCCCCACCTACCGTTCAACTATCGCCCAGTTGGCGCGCTCCGTCACACATTCATACATGGACATATTATTCTCCCACTTTTATTTTATCGTACTAGCCAACAGCTGATATGCAGCCCAGCGCTGGCGGTCGTGGAAGCGCTGTTTATGCTACATTCAGTACGAAAGTTTTGCATCAAAAACCTGGAATATTTTTATTTTTAGTTATAAATAATGATTTTTAATAATATTAGCAAAAGAAAAATTATAAAAACTGCGTGACAATGTGTCACACAGTCGGAAAAAGACCGGAATGGGAATGAGAGAGAGAGAGAGAGCGCGGGCGAACAAGGCTAGAGACAAGAACAACAATGCCACACATACAAACACACAATCTCGTAGGTAAAAAAGCTAAACCCCCAAAACGGGCAAACATCAAACATGTGTAGCGACTGGTATACACGTGTAAGTGTTTGATTCTTGCATCGAACCACGGTCCCAAAACTAATTACAGTGAATCCTATTTATTTTTGAAAATTTTGTGTGTTAGTCTGCCAGAATATTATCTCAATACAGTACAAACGTTTTTAGAACTTAAAAGTTGCCGATCCCCAGTCCGCCCCGCTGGCCAGCCCAAGGCGTGTATGCCTGTAGTTAAGCCACTGTGTGCGTCATTTGAAGGTAGCTTGCATACGTGTGTGAGAGAGAGAGTTTGTAGCTATTTTTAGTATTCGAAGACCCTTTGCTGTTTTGCTTGTTCTAGGAGTTTGATTTGAGAGCGAAGGCCATCATTTGGTCTCTCCCTTGACCACTCGCTCTGTTGTTATGGTTATGCAAATATTGGGCGACAGGTGAATAATTATCATACCGAATGAAGCTAATGTAAAAAACTTGAGTTGCTTAGAAAAGCCGGTTACAAAGACAAAGATGTAAGCCAGGGATGCATACAATTAATCTGGCCCCATAGGTTTTTGATTCTAGTTATGGTCTATTTTTCCCTAGCATTTGGTACCTTTTTTATCAGAGCAATATTTATCTTTTGGGATAAGGTACCCATATGATCTATGGGTTTAATTCGATCTTTGTTCAGATCACTTTCAAGTTAATGTTTCTTTTAGACAAACTGTGACTTAAAAAGTAGTTCATAAAAATATCGATATTAATGATATTTAGAACTCCACCTCTTCTCAGTAATACCTTGCACAATTGCATGTAAAAATCATGTAGAAATGCCTTTTTGGTGGTCGCTTTTGAGACAAAAAAAAAATACATTTTTTTTAAATTAAAAAAAAACAACAGAATTTTGGTTTAAACTTGGCGGTTCCGTTAATATACCTACATACATATGTAATGTAACTACCAGAAAAATTTACCAAAATCTATCTTCAACAACCCTAAGTGATCTGTTTTCGGGTTGTTGCTGCATCCTCTTCTGTACTATACATAGAAATTGTTATGTGTGTGTGTGTGTTGTATGCACCCTTAAAATTCTGATTCAGAAATATGTACCTTCGTTATATTTTACTGTTGTTGCAGTCGTTTTCAGTTGCGCGCGCTTGTTGTGTTCACTACATTTGCCTCACAGCGAGGGCTGCACACCGACAATAGTCGAATACACACATGCCAGTGTAATTTGATGTGTGTGTGCGTGTTGGGGATATTGACACAATCGTGTTATCAAATTCTTAGTAGTTCTTCAGGGAGAATCCAATCTGAAACTGCATTTATCTTCTTCTAGGACAAATAGCCACAATGCGGAAGCCGGCACAAGTGAAATCTGAAATGCATAGTGGAAAATCTTCCGTAGTGTATGCCACCAGCTCTTCCGCGCGCAACAGTGTCAGTGGCAATGGCAGTGGCATTGGCACCGTTGGACGCATGGGCGCGTTCAGTCAGATGGTAAGGCGTCTACTTCGGATCGGAGGGTATCGTATCGTTGCTTAACTCACATTTCACAACCCTCACAGGGCTCCACAAATCAGGGACAGTTCATTCGATTGCAGGACAACGGTACGGTCATTCCAAAAACAGAAAGTAAGCCACAAACACACATAACCTTTCGATCGGTTCTCATGCGATATCCATTGAACAAACACAGATACTTCATACACAACTGGGTCGGCACAGAAGAGCGCCAGCGGGGGCGGCGGCATGTACGACGTGGTAAGTAGCGCGGTACTCTACTCCACCTCCACGCGGCATTAACCGAATGTGTGTTTTGCATAAACAGATAAAGGAACGCTTTGAGAGGTTTACGCCAAATAATCCCATTAAATTGAAGTCAAGACTGTAAGTTTCCAGCTGATGCAAGTCCAAAAAAAAACAGGAACTAAGCTGATCGTTCTCTTGATTCTAACAGCCATGCCATACAGAGCAACCACTCAACTTCCGCCTCATCCTCGTCAGTACAAAGGAAACGCAAGCCGGACAAGGCCGGCAAGGGTCTCCGTCACTTCTCGATGAAGGTGTGCGAGAAGGTTGAGGAGAAGGGCAAAACCACATACAATGAAGTGGCCGACGACCTCGTCAGCGAAGAAATGAAAAACAATGCCTACGACAGTAACTGTGATCAAAAGAATATCCGACGTCGTGTCTACGATGCGCTCAACGTACTGATGGCAATCAATGTTATATCCAAGGATAAGAAGGAAATACGCTGGATAGGACTGCCCGCCAACTCAGCGGAGGTAAGACCGTACAATCCAAAAGTCCTGCGACTATGTCGGCTAATGCTATGTGTCCCTATCAATTCGCTAGCAATTTCTGGCGCTGGAAGAGGAGAATAGTCTCCGGCGGGAGCGTATCAAACAGAAAAATGATATGCTGCGCGAAATGATTATGCAGCATGTAGCATTCAAAGGCCTAGTCGAGCGAAACAAGCGGAATGAGAGCCAGGGCGTGGTGCCCTCAGCCAATGCATCCTGTCAGCTGCCGTTCATCATAGTTAACACGCACAAATCGACCAAGATCAACTGCAGCGTGACCAACGACAAGTGAGTCCAACATCTCTTAGTTCCCCCAAATTCTACCACTCATTCACTATTCATTGCCCTGTCCGTACTATGTAGGTCCGAATACATATTCAAGTTCGACAAGACATTTGAAATGCACGATGACATTGAAGTCCTCAAGCGTATGGGCTTCTGTTTGGGTATGTAATCTCCGTGCCGAATCCTCCTCCACAGTTTTCAGTAAACTAATTGATTTTTTCAACCATTCTAGGCTTGGATAAGGGTAAGTGCACGCCCGAAAACATTGAGCGCGTGAAGAATTGGGTCCCACCAAATCTAGCCAAATATGTAGAAGGTATGTTTCATATCGGATAAAAATATCAATCAAAATATCTACAATACCATTCCGTCTTCTAGCTTATGGAGCCGGAAAAACTGGAGAAACCATGTACGATTCCGACGACGAGGATATCGAGTATACAGTGTACAATGATTCTCAAAGCTTGTCACAAAACACAACACAGCGCACCATTGGTGACGGTCTCAAGCTGGAGCTGGACGATGACGAGCTGGAGGATGACATAGATTGAGCTGACGATGCCGCTCACATTGCACATGCAATGGCCGATGCGGACGGGGATGCAGATGCTGCGGATGCAGAAGATTCATTTAGTTTTACGTTTATCAATGCTTTGCTAGGTTTGCCACGCCCCCCACACGGTTAAACTTGTCGGCTCTTCTATCACCCCCTACCACCATCCCACCCACACAGTTGGTTTTTTTTTAAATTTCAATGAGACTTTATTAAGTTATACAATATTGCTATAATTATCGTCTAAACAACATGGGGGAAAATCATAAGTGAATGGTTTCGCATACGCATTTTCCCTTGGATCTTTGAAGATTTATGTTTAAGCTGAATGAGTTTTTAAAAAGTAATTTGTCTAGTTAAGCGAAAAGTGTACACAACATATTAAGCAATCCCCCCCAGCAAACGAAAAAAAAATATTGTTTCTTAGTTGTTACGAGTCGTCTCCCCTTTGCCGCCCCTCCTCTTTTAATGGGTAATACTAAAGCGAAAGCGATAATGTTATGGGTAAATTTCTCTGGATAATACAATACACCCAAATTTTAAACACAACCAAAACGAACTGGAATTATTTGTACGATTAGAAGACAAGAATGGCAGGGCATCCAATACATACATATGTAATATGTTTTATTCAATCATCCCCACAAGTGGAAGGTCTTTGACAATTTCTCAGCCCCAAAACATTTAATTTAACAGAAACGGAGATGGGATGAATGCAAATAATCAACCTACCAATTTAGCAATAATAATACGAGCGAAATATAAATTTTCAGAATTTATATAATCTTCAAGTGAATACAGAGAAGCATACAAATACAAATACAAATTAGTAGACAAGTCAAATAGAATGCGTTTAAATATAAGTGTCGAGTGCATGTAGCTGTGTAATAAATCGGAATAATTAATGATTGGATTGAATTGCATATTGCTGCAATGGGAATAACTGACAAACAAACGAGTTAATAAAGCGGATTGCATATTGTAAAATATGATATAAACAAAGAAAACCTATGCATTTTTCTTCACCTCATTTTGCATACCCTCTCAGCAAACCCGAGGAACGAGTTTCTAACTAGAACTGCGTGACTAGAGGAGGCTGAACTGGGCTGAAAGCCACCACATTTGGCGATGGAAATGAGTCATGGAACTCGGTTTGTTGTTGTAGTTTACTTTAGTTCATTGGGATCGGATCGTAGAGCAGAACAGTCTTACATACAAATTCAAAAACCTTAAATGGAAATATACTTACAAAAGGCGGAAGCTATCTTAAAATACAACAGGTCAACCGAAGATACATACTTAAACTAAAGCTATGTTTTAGGACTGTGCACGGGGGGGCCACTGGCTGGGGTAATTCAAGCGAAACCCTCTTCAAATGCCGCTGTTGCAGTTGAGGGCGGCCCAAGGGGTGCCTGTTGCTGGGCCGCCAGGTTGAAGTCGTAGTTCATTTGTTGATCCAACGGCGGTGCGGGAAAAGCATCTGTAGAAAGATTCATCAGCTCGGGTCGCGGCTGGGTGGGTTTAACTTGTTCCTGATGATCCTGGCGTAGTTGCTGCGGTGATTTGACATAGCTAATGGGAATGATGCCTGAAGTCTGGCCATTTGTTGTGGCCAAGGCCCAGCCGGTATTGAGCAGATTGAGAGTCTGTTGAATCTCGCGGGGGGCCACCTGGAGCGACTGGCCGGCACTCAGCGAGAGTTCACTCTGATTACGTCCGGCGAAATCGTAAACAGCCTGGGTGTGAATAGGTGCGACCCACTTGGATGGATTGCGGGCTGCGAGAAACAAAAACATACAAGAATTATACCCGGGGCTTATCACATTTCTCACGGCTTATCGGCCAGATTAATAGCACATGGCGAGAGCAAAGTGCTCGCGATTAGATAAAGCAAGTGTGCAATGTGCATAAGGTTTATGTACCTTCCTCCTGGGCCGTGTTCGTTACCGAGCCCAACAGCTTCATGATCAGATAGGGAGCCGTGAATATAAAGCTTATGAAGGCTAATACCGGCCAGGGCGAATTTCTTTTTCGCGGAGGCTGTGGTCCCCCTCCGACCTGACTATGATTTTCGTTGAGAGCTTCAGCAAAGGCCTTCTTGAAGGCCTCCGAAGAAGGATCCAAATTCGATAATCGCAGCCAGAAAAGAATCCTACAAGTATGTACGTTCAGTAAAGCCAGAGTTAAATCTCTTTCCGATTGCTACTCACTTTCTGTAGATCCATTTCAGCCCTCGGAAGATGGCAAATGTCGTCCAGAACTGCGCAAAAACGCTGCGCAGACGTCCAAAGTTCGCTGCCACGCCGAGAATGGCCCGAAATGAGCTCGTTAACGCAAAGAATGTCGAGTCCAGCATGGAGGCAATATTCCCAATAGCCGATACTAAGGACTCTATACTCTGGAACGCTGGACGCGAGCTTGCCTCGGCCATCTGGATGAATCGCTGTTCCGGATCAATGCCCCCCATACCGCCAAATCTATTGTAGCCTCCGCCAAAGTCACCGCCATACGACCTGTATGGAGCTCCCCAACCGCTACCAAATTGGCCCATTCCTCCATATCCTCCTCCGAATCCTCCTCCCGTGTTGTAGCCGCCATAGCCACCAGCGTAGCTATTGTTTCCATATGCTCCGCCATATCCATATTGCGTCTGTTGAAACGGCGACAGTGGAAGTGGTGGGGCGAGGTTTGGTAGAGCACGCACATTACCGGCGAAGGGTGTGCGCAGCACTGCATCTGGCGGAGGCCCACTGGAAAATCCGGGTCCAACAATGCTCGTCGGCGGCACTAAAGGTGCCTCGTTGATCACAGCGCTGCGAAGATTATTGTTGTCGGCCATGGCGATAGCTAAAAACTGTCGTATGTAGCTCCGCCGTTGGCAATGGGCTTTGTGAACTTTACCCCAAACGAGTAGCGAGCGGGGGGAGGTACTGTTGTACTTTTATCTCCGCCTAGTCGTATTCAACTATGTGGTAGAGTTATGTGGTGTGTGCGGGAGGGGCTGCTATTGTTTTGCCAATTAGCTCACTTCTGTTTTCGTACACGACGACTGCAAACAGGGGCGGATACTCCTTCAGAAATTTAATTGGTGAAATTTTTTTTAATAATAAATATGTCCAACAGTTTCGATACTTAATGTTATCGATAGTCTGGCGATGTGATCCTTTTCCAACCATCTGGCAACAGAGCCAGGAGTTGTTATCGCCATCGATACTTTGCACTCGATTATTATTTCGATATTGAAAAACTCCCACCACCAGCAATCAGCTGTCGCGACTTATCGAAGCACTGCCATCTCAATTGCCGAACAAAACAAACAAAAACCGTAACATTGCCGTACATGCCATGAAGGCGTCTGCTCTTCTGGACAGATGTTGACAGCCATCAGGCCATTATCCCGGCATCATTCAGTCGATGGCAATGAGCGGCTGACCTACAAGCTGGAAGGAGTCACGGCCCTGGACCAACAGTCCGATATGATCTACTATGCCCATGGCTAGCGAATCGATGGAAAGAGCAAGTATGCAACGAATATGGGGATCCTTTGGACATATGTGTAATCCCCTCCCTTGTTTCCATGCCCATCTCGCAGGTGATCAACATTGCCGCCTTGGGAGGCATTTGTGTACTGGCTGGACGACAAGACCGGAGTGGAACGGATCACTGTCAACGGAGAGCGTCGTTCCGCGGAGCTGCAGCGGATCACCGACATCAGTGTCGCAAATTTTTAAACTAACAATATCCTACTCGCCCATCCCACAGCTTTGCATATCGGCCAAGAAGATCAATGAGATTGTAAAAACTCAGCCCAAGCCCAAAACTGTTAATCTCCTTGATGACAGCCCATCGTTGAGTCCCATTCCAACGCAGGCTCCGCTTAATAATGCGACCAATGATCTGTTTTGGCCCATCTTTAATGACGGGCCGTCGTCTTTGAGTGCCTCAAAATCCTCCCAAAAAGCCTGCGAAACCGTCGCCAAGGTATCTCTTTGATGATGATCTGGAAGATGACTTCCTAAGCTCCTTTTCGCCCAAGCCAAAGCCACCAGAACAAACATTTAAATCCTCCTTATTCGATGACGATGATTTGGATTTAGATGATTTCGATGCAGCCGAACAAACTCTCAGAGTTAGAAAAAACTCTCTTTGCTGATGACGACCAGTATGATGTCACTGATTTGTTTGGCTCAAAGAAGATCTTCATATAAAATTAACGAAATAGGCTATACAAAGACCTACTACGGCCTACACGCAACATGTCCTCAAATCCCAGCAACATTGCGACTGTTTTTTTGTTGAACTATTTTGTTTAAACCTTATTTTAGTCAAAATACAATAAAAGAAAGGACTAAGAAATAGCTAATTTTGTAGAAAATTATTTCATCAATGTCCTAAAATTATGTGGGCAGAACTAAGGGTTTTAGTTAGCCAGAATTATTGAACGGAATCTCTAAATTGAGCAATATCAACGACTATCCTCTTTCAATTTTTTTTTTACCCATTTCGTTAAAACCCTTTTTTTGTTTTACCTATTTCGCTAAAACCTTTTTTTCGACAAGATCCAATAAAAACCAGTATATAAAATAAGCCAGTTAAGAAAAAATTGATTAATCGGCATGGCTAAATGTGCAATCTAGCTAATAATATTTGACGAAACAATACAGTTTCCAATCCTTGACGGAGAACGATTAACCTATTATAAGCCAAGGGTGTATTTTAGTTTTCCACCGAAAATAATGAAAATTGACTAGTCTTTTGCGCAGGAATAAAGGCATGAAACTACAAGGAGAAGTTACAATCGTTAATATTTTCCGCCATTTATCTCAAGTAGTTGAACTATTTAAATAGGGGGGGGCTTAAGTGGGCTAAGTTCGGTTTATCATCATACGAGAAGCTATATTGTTGTTAAGGAACCAAAATTGATCCAAAAACAATCAAAGTCAAGTATTTAATAAGCCAGTCGATTAGAAAATTAATTCATTAATCGGATAAAATTATGTGGGCAGGCCTGAAAGTTCTATTTAGCTAGTAATATTGTACGGAATATCAAAATCGAGGAATATGTATAATAATAACTTGAATTCGTCAGTATATTTACGGTATAGTTTAAAATGAGACGGTATATTTTGGTATATTTCTGAGGGTCGGACGGAATATTTTAACGATAAATCCGCTGTCATTGAAGCGTCGTATTGACCAGCAGGCCAAGAATGGCCAACAGCAAGGAGTTGTGCTCCATACGGGAGTGGGCACCGCTAACTGATATCATCGATCACATTCCGGCACGGCTGCAGCGGGGATTCTTTCCAGCCAATCTCAATTTAACTTGCGTCGATGGAACAAACGAATTCCTGGCCGTGGGTAGCGATGCGGGCATTGTATTCTGGTACAATCGCCAAACGGGCGAGATGCAGAAGCTCAAGTCGGAGGTAGCCTATGACTCATTCTACAATTCAATCTCAATAGCATGGCCCATCCCTTGCGTGTCATTCACTCATAATTTTGGCTAACGGTGGCGTGGGCTTCCCCCTTCTAATGTCTTTGCAGGTTGCCACACGCATTACGTGCGTGAAGATAGTCAATTCGGTGGAGTACATGGTGGCTGCAGGATGCGCCAATGGACAAGTCAGCATATTCCAGATACAGAAGGAACTGCCCCAGGACTTGAACCTGGTGGCTCCCTGTACGCGCAGCAAGCCTATCGAACGCTACACCATCCGCGACCTGCACCGCTGCGTGGTCAGCTGCTGCGAGTGGTCGAAGAATGGAATGAAACTCTTCTCCGGCGACCGCCAAGGCGTTGTGGTGCTAACGGAATTCGACTATCAATCGGTGGGTACAAGAGTTTTGAAAGAATCCTCCAGTAGCCACTATATTTTCCATCCAGCACCTAAGCAAATCTGTTGAGATCCTGAGCGAAGCCTATGAAATCGTCCAGCTAAGCGTACACCAAAGCCACTTGCTCGTGGCCACGCTCTATCGTTGTATCGTGTGCCAGCGCGACGTCCAAACTGGACAGTGGCACATCACCCAGGTGGGCAAGAAGGATCGCAAGCAGCTCATCGACTGTGGCGGCGTGTTCCTTAAGAAGTTGTCGAATAGCAAGCCACAGCTCATTTGCGGGCGACCTGGTCTGCGCTTCTGGATAGCCGACACCATCGGCAATGTGTCTAGGACCCTTCTATTTAGGGACGCTGTGCTGCGCAGTCCCACGTGGGAGATACCCATACTTAACCCGAAGCGCAGTGATCCATCCACAAGGTCACAACCAGCTGTTGCGGAAGATGGAGAAAGCGAAGTGCCCTACGTGGCCAGCAGCAATTTCCGCCAGTTGTATTTGTACGACGGCCAGGACTCCTTGCTGGTGACCCATGACGATACCACTTTGTATATATTGAATGTCGACCGCCTCAAGGTGGAAGCGGTAGCGCGCGGGTTTCGCAAAATTCTCGACTTTTGCGTTTATGGCAAGGAAATCTTTGTTCTGGAAGGCGAGCGCTCCCTGTTGCGGTTGGCTCCACTTCCGGAGCCACCAAACAAGACGGCGAAAGTAATATTTAATCCGTTGATGCCGCCGCCAGTTCCTGTCCTAGGCGCTCCGCACTCCTCCCAGCTGGAGTCACCGCTGGAACTGCAAGCGGAGCCCCTCCACTGTGCCGAAGAATGCTTTGAGCTGCCACCCGTCGAGAAGCTCGATCTGAACGTTCCCATTGAGCTGGCCGTGGAGTCGCCGTTGGCTCAGCAGAACCGACGACTAGACATTTTTCGTCGCATAGGCGAAATGGATTTCGAGCAGTCTATAGTTCACACCAGCGGTACGACCTCCAGTAGAAGGCGCAAGACATCTGTGGGCAAGCAGAGCAGTGGCTTGGGCGTTGTAGAAATCGGCCACGAGACACATGAGATGAAACTGCCGCTCACTAGTGCCGCCACGATAATGGAGGCCAGCTACTGTCAGATGGAGAAGTGAGTATTCAAAGATTTCACCATTTTTTTTTTCAATCAAGATGAATCTCTATACTCCGTGCAGCAATGGCCTGGCCTCGCCTTTGGATTTGAAGAGCGCCTTTATGGAGCACCTACCGGACACCCTGAGCCCGACCACACTTCAAAAGACCGTGGCGGCCAAGGCCAAGTCCCTCGCCGCCGAGCTGGACCTGCCCGAGGTGCACCTGGCCCCACTCACTCAAGAAGAGCTGTGTGCCGCCCATGCTCAGACGAAGCAACTGACTGAGCATTTGATCAGCTGCTATCCCACCCGACTGGAGGAGGCCAGTGTGCAGACAGCTCCACACAAAATGCATACCGTCGACGATTACAATGCGGGCCAGCCGATAGACGGGATTTGTGCGTCTGTTCCCACGAAGCCAAAAGTGGCGCCTCTAAAGTTTGTCAACAGCAGGCCGAAGGCAACACTAACCCTGAAAGATGATACGGACGAGGAGGAGTACACAAGCTTTTTGCCAGACTTTCGACGGGCTGGAGACCCCTTGAGAAATGAAACCCCAGCCACAAGCGATTCCAACACGTCCAGTGAATGGGAGTTTCTGGACAATTAGTTTCAGTATTACCCATAAGTGTATCATTTGCACTTGCTTTCAAATTGATTTTGAGCAAATTACACGCTTTTTTTTGCAGCTCCGCTCAACGAAACTGTTGAGCGTTTTAGAGTGTGATTATCGTGATTTATTTATATGAGTCGAATTAACACAATTGTACATAACTTTAGCATTAGTAATCTTCATTCAAAATTTAAACCTGTCCTATGGAGGTAACACTTAGATGAGCACTGTGATCTTGTCCTAATGCTAGGATATTGATATCAATCCCTGTGTTACTTCCCTCACACATTCGAATGCTTTAAGTATTTTATATTGCAACACACAAAATACAATTATCTTACATAAATGCAATCATTCCACGTATGCACACGAGTGTGTTCATTCACATTGAGGGAAACCCACGCCACAGGAAATGGATGTGGCGCTTAGGGCGTGTCTGAGCTGATAAGGTTCCAGCTGTGGGAAATGAGCCTCCCACGACAGCATGTGCCTGATTTGGCGATAGACCTGGTCGACCAAGAGGATCCATTGATGCAAAACGGCTCGTTTCGGTTCTATGGAAAACTTCTGAAGTGGACACATACCGATCAGTTGACGGTGATTGTTATTCAATCCCGAACCAAACCACAACTTGGGCTTGTCAAAAGAAACCAGACCCACCATATTTATTAAGAAACAATTCGTAATTTGAACTCGGTTTGCTTTCAATTGACTGTAACAATGGAAAGTTTTTCATTTATAAGATTTGCATGTTTCTGGAAGATTCTAGGAACAAGAAATTGTATTGGGGAGCTATTAAGAGGGCCGTTTCAAAGGTTGTAACCCCATGAAATACGGCCCGCGACCACTGGACATCAGATCTTGATATATAAGAATCGGAAAGGTTTTTCGAGTTAAGTTCAAAAAGACTACACTTAAGACAAGGGTATAAAAAGGGCAAGACATATGATCCAATTCCATTTATAATACTTTAAAAGGAATTTAGTTTAAATTTATGAACCCTTCCATTAAAAAAGACAATTTTAGTTAAAGAAGAACTTTATAAATTTCTGATTGATATGTCCAAGCGGGAGCACTCTTATAATAGAGAGAGTGGGAATGTTATGAGTGAGGGAACGAAAGTCTTACCTTGTACTAATTCACCTTTCTTAAATACCTGCCCATGATCTTTATAAAGAGCACGATAAGAAGGGGTTCAATCCTGTGCTGTTCAGATGGAAGCCCATCCACCAGCACAAACTCACGCAAATGTTCTCTTCTCAGTTTTCACAGAGCGCGGGAGAGCGGCTGAGAGTCCACATGGTGTTTTTATATAAATATGTATGAGCATATGTACAGTGGCTCCCAGCTTAAATAGACCAGAGAGCACCTTTCACACATGAAGATGTGTTAAAAAAATGTTTTAATACATATGAGGTTGGTTTAAATTAATGTTAAATGTATGTCTATCAGTATACATTTGATTTTTAGTGGTAGGCTAGATGGCTTAGAAGCTATAACAGTTTTAAGTGTGAAAGGTGCGCTGGTTCATCTAAGCAGTGAGCCACTGTACTCATATTTCTATAAAAGCGGCTTCCACACTCGTTTGGCAAATCATTCGCTTTCATTGCCTTCAGCAGAACCTTCCAGTCCCATTGGATTCCCGCGCAAGCAGCCCGGCAGCAAGTGAGAAAAGAATTCCTGTAACAAAACAAAAAAAAAAAGTCGCGCTAATTGAGAAAAAGCAAGTGGTGTGGGTGTGAAAATTGCCAAAAGTACAGGAAGAAAAAGAAACAAAGTCGCACGCAGACAGAAAAAACATTGCATTTTTTTTGCTGAAAATGAAGCCCACAAATAATTCGACGCTGGAAATCATCTCGCCCAAGGTGCGGGTGGACGATGACTTCATTGAGACGGACTACGAATATCAGACATCGCATGTGAAGCGTACCGCCGGCGGACAGCTGCAGGTGAGTTAATTTGTGAGAAAAAATTGATTAGTTGGTGCAGGGAAAACCATGCCAATCGATGACACCAGTTGCCTAAGGATTTCATAAGTTTCCCTTGGAAATGTACGAGTGGCAATACTGACCTTCACATTGAATTTGCCCGACTTCCAGTCATCCACAGCTGCACATACACACACTTACACCCCCGGACATTTGCTTAGGAACAGTGGAAATTTTCCATTGTTTAGGCAAGGGATAGGTTGTGTGGCTCATACGTACAAACATAAGTGATATCCAATATGTGCGCTCCCGATAAGGCGTAGTCCGAAGAGGCGTGGGTGGGTGGGTACAGTCACAGTTACAGATTATTGCTTCCAGAAAACAGCTGTTGCTGACACCCGATACTGTGGGTGGCGTGGTTCTACGCGCGCAGGCGCCGTTTGGTGTCGGTTGGCTGTGTCGTCGCAGTTCTTGCTATTGGATTGCAGTAGAACGAACCGAATCGAAAGCCGATTACGTTCCTATTCCAACAACTGTGGTCGTCGTTTGTGCTCTGTTTACATCTCACCACCGCCCACCCTCCAGGAGGGGAACAATTGCTGCATGTATGTACATACAGCGGCGTCGGTTTATTCAAGGTCAATGATAGATAATAAAATGAAATGCCGGGGGAACTTTTGCTCTTAGCTGTCCAAGAAAGAGAAACAGTTTAAATTCCTCGCCTCTCTTTAACTGCAAATGATACATAATTATGCCGGCCGGCAAATGAGCTGACAACAATTCTTACCGGACTTTGGACGAACACGTTGTTAAATTATTAATGCAATCATCGTTCCTTATGTATTCTTTCACGATTTTATTTTTGGGTAAAATCAACAACACAAATCTCATAAAAAACCAAACGAAAAAGCCTTTCAAATTGTGCTTCGACTATAAAATACCTGATTTGTTTCGGTCTTTTTGTTGTAAAGAAAAATGTAAATGTATTTAAGAGTAGAGTAGAGTAAAGATTAAGCAGATCAAAGAGATCAAGCCCTTTAACTACTTGAAATAACATTTTGTTTATACAATATGTAAATTTATACGTTTGTTATTCCACCCAAATACGGAATCAATATGCCCTTCCGCTCTGCAATGGTAACCGGTACCGAAATCAGGTTCGGTTCGTCGAACGGTAAGCAAAAAATCAGGCGATCGCATAATTTATAATTTATGCTGGGACGTGACTCTTGAGTGGTTCGATATGACCAGAGATAAGGTGGCTGGGGACCCCTGCAGGGGCTGAACGGGTTGGGTTGGATTCGGAGTAGACCAGATACTTACTAATCAGTGATTCCGCCGACTGATCTTTGCAGGTGCACCCTCAGACGACTGCCCTAAAGATTCGCACGGGTCGCCAGGTGCCCAAGCTGGGAGTCATGCTGGTGGGCTGGGGTGGCAACAACGGATCCACCCTCACTGCCGCCCTTGAGGCCAACCGCCGCCAGCTGAAGTGGCGCAAGCGCACGGGCGTGCAGCAGGCCAACTGGTACGGTTCGATCACGCAGGCCTCGACCGTGTTCATTGGCTCGGACGAGACGGGCAGCGATGTGTTTGCGCCCATGAAGGAGCTCCTGCCCATGGTGGAGCCGAACGACATTGTTGTTGATGGCTGGGACATTAGCAATCTGCACCTGGCGGATGCCATGGTGCGTGCCGAGGTTCTCGATGTGGCCCTGCAGGACCAGCTGTACGAGCAGATGGCCAAACTTAAGCCCCGTCCATCGATCTACGATCCGGACTTCATTGCGGCCAACCAGTCGGATCGGGCCAACAACCTCATCAAGGGCACTAGACAGGAGCAGTACGAGCAGATCCGTCGCGACATCCGCGACTTTAAGCAGCGCAGCGGCGTCGACTCCGTGATTGTCCTCTGGACGGCCAATACCGAGCGGTTCTCTGAGGTGCAGCCAGGTCTGAACACCACCAGCCAGGAGCTGCTTGCCTCTCTCAAGGCCAACCATTCGGAGGTCTCGCCGTCTACCATCTTTGCCATGGCCAGCGTAGCCGAGGGTGTAAGTATTTCACTCGTTGCCTACTTGATGTGATCTTGAACTCAACCTCTTGGACTCCCCCGCAGTGCACCTACATCAACGGCTCGCCGCAAAACACCTTTGTGCCGGGTCTCATCCAGCTGGCCGAGGAGAAGAACGTATTCATTGCCGGCGACGATTTCAAGTCCGGCCAGACCAAGATCAAGAGTGTGCTGGTCGACTTCCTGGTGGGTGCCGGCATCAAGCCAGTTTCCATTGCCAGCTACAATCACCTTGGCAACAACGACGGCAAGAACTTGTCTGCTCCCCAGCAGTTCCGCTCCAAGGAGGTAGGCTGATGTTGATCAATTATTGTCCCTCTGTTGTGACTAACAATCCCCTCCGCCGGCAGATATCCAAGAGCAATGTGGTGGACGATATGGTGGCCTCCAATAGGCTGCTCTACGGCGCCAACGAGCATCCCGACCATGTGGTTGTCATCAAATACCTGCCCTATGTGGGTGACAGCAAGCGGGCCATGGACGAGTACACCTCCGAGATCATGATGGGTGGCCACAACACTCTGGTAATCCACAACACCTGCGAGGACTCGCTCCTGGCCACACCCCTTATTTTGGATCTGGTTATTTTGGGCGAGCTGAGTACACGAATCCAGCTGCGCAGCGCGGAGAAGGAGTCTGCTTCCTGGGTGCCATTCAAGCCGGTCCTTTCGCTGCTGAGCTATCTGTGCAAGGCCCCGCTTGTTCCCCAGGGATCACAAGTGGTCAACTCGCTGTTCCGCCAGCGTGCTGCCATTGAAAACATCCTGCGCGGCTGCATCGGACTTCCGCCAATTTCCCACATGACTCTGGAACAGCGCGTGAGTACATACCGAATCATTTTACTCCATCCACTCCTAATATTCTATCTGACTTTTTGTTTCCTTCAGTTCGACTTTGCCACCATCACGAATGAGCCGCCCGTGAAGCGGGCCAAGCTACTGGGTCAGCCATGTGCCGTGGAGTCCTCCACCAACGGAGGTAAGCTGCATGCCAATGGGCACAGCAATGGCACCAAGTTGGCCGCCAACGGAAATGGCCACTGAAGGGTCACATCCTCCATTGAATCGATTTGTGTGTTGAAAAGTATAACCATACATATATGGTTTTTGATGGATGAATTTGAACTTAGTCTTAAGCTATTAATATATATACTGTAAACGTTAAACAAAACGGGCTCCTCCGAATAAAGCCTAATATTACTAATAATAAACAGTTATCAGTTGCCGGTTTTTGTTACAAAATACTAGTGGCGGGCCCTGCCAGGTTTCGCTGTGTCACATGGCTGAGAAATGAGAAATTATGAATTACTTGTGGGTATCCAAATGGAGGAACTGCGCACAGTTGGAGATGCTCCTCCTCGCATAATATATGTTTTCCCAACTTCGTTCCCCTATCCATCCAGAATGCCCAAATTGTTTGGGATCGGCTGTAGCTTTATTATTGAATACATATATTTGAGAATCTGCCAAGTAGTAAGGCAATTATGAGTATATTTCCGTTATTAAACGCTAAAGATTATTTGGACGAATATCTGAAAAACATATAGAAACGAATGTGCAATTGATGGTTCCGAACTAACAGTCATTTGATGCAAAGACTTCTTTGGGATGTTGCGAGTACAGCCATCAGAGCTACTGATATTTGCTAGAGCTGATGTATACCTTGGGCTTGGAGTAGACGCGTATCTCCTCATCTACGATACCCAGCTCCTTGTCGATTTCCGCCTTGCGGTTGCGCACCCGCAGAGTCTGGGCGGTCATGGGCATGTGATTAAGCTCACTGATTAGACCATCATAGCCTGTCAAGCGAACCGTATTGAAACATATGCAAAATTAAGATACTATCTGTAAGACTTACGCTTCTTTGCGCTGTTCAAGTGGCCAACACGATCCTCCTCCGAGAGCAGAGTATGTCCGCGTGGACAGTCCGGATCCCGTGCATCGGCAAGCTCCTTGGCTGCGGCCTTTTCGCGCTTTTCCTTCTCCAGGTAGCGCGGAAGACGCAATTCGTCGCGTGCTGTTGAAAACAAAGCTTGATTAGCCATCGAGCCGCCGAGTTCCCCTATATATACTCACATCCCAGCTTGTGCTCGCGGCGCTTCGATGTTATGGACGTGGTGCTAGCATTTGACGCCATTGTGGCCACTGTAAAGCGGCTGCGGGCACTAAGCGGAGCCTCTTCATCCGAAGCAACTTCAGTTCTCAGATCATCGTCGGGTAAGGGTATCATTGTGTTTAACTCATTCATGTTGAACCGACTGGGCTGAAGATGCTCGTTTTCGTTATTATCGTAACGATTGGAGGACCGTCTGTAATTGTTGTCATATTTATTGGGGTGCTCATCCAGCATAGAATCACCATCAAAACTGCATCTAAAATAGCAAGATTAGAGTACGTTAAGGTATGGGTTGCTGCTGCTTTCATTGCCGGCTTCTTTTCTTACTTTTTTAAGGCATTTGTTAGGTAGAGCTCATCTGTGATATCTTCTGTCTGTATGCCAATGCTTGTGGAGCTGCGTTGGGTACCGCAAGAGCTGCAGCGTTCTGAATATTTGTCCGGTGACTGCTCAAAATCTTTCTGTGCTTCCACCGACGGGTCATCGCACATAGGATTGCGCGATTCCAAGCCGTCAAAACGTTCGCCAGCATCTGGAACAGCCACACTATTGAATACATATATTTGAGAATCTGCCAAGTAGTAAGGCAATTATGAGTATATTTCCGTTATTAAACGCTAAAGATTATTTGGACGAATATCTGAAAAACATATAGAAACGAATGTGCAATTGATGGTTCCGTTTCCCTTGGACGTCATCGGGAGTATCGGGGAATGCTAGCCAATCCATTAAAGTATTGATAAATGTAACCAAGGAACCGCCTAAGGGTATGCAATGTAAATTCAGTGACGCTCCTTGATAAGATAAGGCGGTGCATTGTGAATTCCGATGACTCTAAGTATACGTTTGGATCTTTGGGTTCTTCGGCGCTGATTACATACAAACTATTTTATGAGATACACTATATCTAATGGTTATTTCTTTGGTATCGTATCGTTGATGGCAGTAAAAGGTACTTTAGATAGGACGTTTCTAATAATACAAACTTTACTCTCCCCAATCAAACATATTTTTTTGTAGATTTACCGCCAACTTTAGCACAGCCTTATAATACCACTACTCGTATCCCGGTTTCATATATCAAAGAATATTCAAATGGCGCTAATGTTTGGACCATCTAATGACAGTCACTCCCTGAATATCACTCCCTCCATAATTATAATCCACTAGTGGTATATTATGAAGTAATATTGAACGGTTTCATTCGGTTGATTGATAGTGATATGTTTAACGTATTGGATTGTAATTAGTCTACCGTTCGGCCATCACTTATCAAGGAGAAGTTCAGTCCAGCCATTCGAACGAACCAAATGGAATTCCCTCCGAGAATTTTCGGATAGAGCTCGTTCGTGCATTCTGTACTCCGCACTCGAGAGCCAAGGCTGTGCAAAGGGCCCGACTGGGCTTGGCGCTTCAACGTCAAGTTGTTGGCACAGAATGACACTTCTGGCGGTGCCGGGTCTGCGTGTGCTCTTGCCCCGACACGAATGGTCTCATAAATTAACTGGAGCACCAGGGTATTTTAATTAAAAAATGAATTTAGCTGGTGCGAAGAATTATTTCATCCGGATTAAGTGATTGAGCAGTGGAGAAAACGGGACTCTAATGGCGATTTGTATCTAGTCTTCGTAGTTCCGGTTGTGTGGCAAGATCATACATATATGTACATATGAATGTATGGCACAAAGTGGGTTGCTCCGCGGTTATGCCTGACTCCAGTCCTCAGTCTCTCATGTAATTCCGAAGCCATATCTGTGTACCTGTGGCTTTACCCTATCGCACATTGGCATCTCTGAATCAGGCAGTTAGTTGGAGTTTGATTGATTGACGTTCTCAGGGGGAAGCACTGAAAATGCTACACTATAGACATGCTTATCTGGCCATGAATCGAAAGATATTTGTATTATCTCTCTATGGGATTGAGTCACTTCCAATGCCCGAAACCAAAGCCCCTGGCACATCGTGATTCATTTCGTATTGACTTTTAGCATAGCTATGCCATCCAGATAACGAATCTGCTTCAAACCCGAACCTGGCTGAGAGCACCCCAAATTAGAAGTTCACCTGCCTGCCGCTATCAAAAATCTACATGCACACATCAGGTGTGTATTCCGAAATTGGAACACACGCCGATAGTAACTATATTATGTCTTGCAAATCTCTAGATAAGGCTCCGCGTAAGCATGAACCAGCACCATCCAACGAACTTTCACTCTCTGTGGCCAGGAGAATCGAACTGGACAAACTACCAGCCCGAAGACTTTATCTTATCGCTTATCGGCGCTCGGGCTCGGTGCGGCTATCTTCTGGCAGAGCCAGAACTATATTGTACACCTCGTACTGCCAACAGTGGTACTAATAATACCAACCTGAGTACAAGCTGCAGCGGGGCGGTTGTCGCTGCCGCTGCCACTATCGGCTTAGGGCTGGGTGGGTGGGCCAGTTGTTTAGTTGCCAGTTGCGTTGCATTGCGTGCGGTTGTGGTTCCAGAAACCGTACTTGAGTCGCCCTCACATTGTTCGAGGAGTTCCTCCGACCCCAAGCTGGTTCGTCTTTAATAAATAAATAATTTCACTAATGTTGAAGTTGTGTTTTTAATACTTTTAAACACTTTGCCAAAGGATTGCGGCTATTGTGGCGTATTATCTATCTATGCCGTTCAAGTTTGTCTCGAAATACTTATACAAAATGTGCAAACTGGGTTCCCTAATAAGGAATTGTTCAATAACTATAATGATTAGAGCCACAAGTGATAAGATAGTGAGAGACACCCTTTGACCGTCAACAAAGATATACCCCATATACATACATACTTATATGGCCCCAGCTAACCCCGATGGACAGAGGTGGAGACTGTCGAAACTACAAGCTACACAAGAACCGCGTGTATACTCTGAAGTGGCATGTGTTTGTTTGTTTGAGTTCGATGGGCCTGGGAGAAGAGCATAATAACCCAGAGCGATATGGCATCCGCTAGATAATGCCACATTTGTATACATGTCAGATAGTGCCTCAGCTATTAATCATATGTGACGCAGATGCACTGGCCGATCGGTTGAGTCAGACAACCTGTACCTACACCTGTCTATGCGTGCTTCCCGTGGGCTTACCCAGACCGACTTTGACAAACGACCCGACAACTCGTCCTCGTTCTCAACAAATCCAGGCACTTACAAGCTTTCCCAATAGACCCAACCCCTACAATATCAGTTGATGATAAGAGTGTATGGATTTACTCATAACTACATACGAGTATATATGAAATATTTATTTTGGTATAGGCAGTATAACGGCGACGTTTAGTTTGGCGCGTAGACAGAAACAGATACTCGTATCGCGGATTGCAGTTAGAATGGAAATGTCTATTTGAATTCAGGGTTGAACTCATTTGAGGAATGAAACATCTGGCAAACACTGAGAAAGTCTGAGTTGAAGAATGCCAAGTTCACACGGGCTCTGTAGCAATGCATTGCATTGCCAATAATGGCAGGCCAGTCCCTGTAATTATATATATTACTTAAAGAATATAAATAGCGTCCTGCACTGCTATAGTCTAGATTTCGCCCGATGGGTGTTTTGGAATCAAAGCAAACCCACTTCTTGGTCGAAGCTGCTGCCCCATCAATCGAAAGCAGCTAGCTGCTCTACCTACCAATTTTCATAAATATTTTATTCTCAACTGCAATCAAGAAAAGCCAACGGCAGAGGACAATAGCCAATACCGCCATTTATATTATGTATAGTGGAAAAAATTGCTTAGATTAAAGGGAAACTGGATGGATAAAAACATATGTACTTTCCGTTTGAGGAATGGAATACATTTTTATATTTGAAGTTATTAGTTAATTTGACCGTGTCCGATACAACCGATAACTAATTTAACAATACAATCATGGTAACGTGCTATACGATGGCACGCAAAGTAATTATTAAGCTAGGAATCTGTAACAGTATTGGGTGTAGTAGTAGTGGTTATATAGTAGTCTTATCTGACCGCATTTTTAAATTTCAGTTCCCGAATCGAACCTCATCGCAATGGATACGCCCAAGGGATCGGATGCTGGGTTTATCGTGAAATACCGTCAGGAGTACTATGATCTGTCCGAGTTCATGCACAAGCATCCGGGTGGCATCAACACTCTTAACGGTCTCAATCAGGCAGATATGACAGCACGTTTCATGAAGGCCCCACCGCACTCGGATGCGGCCATGTATCTGATGAAGGAGTACAAAGTAAAATCTGAGGACCCTCGTATTCCCATGACCAAACCTCGACATCAGGCTCGAAGAATAGACAATGGCCAGGACTCACAGGAGCGGTCGAACGAGTCCGAGGACAAAAACAACAATCAATTGGATGAGAGCATGGAGGTGAGTTTTTTTTAGATTATTATTTAATGTAGAAATTCTGTTGTGTTTACTGGAGTCTTCAGTTGGTTGCATTCATAAGACTGTCTCCATTGATGACATCGAAATTATTCTTAAATATAGTTAACACAAGACTAGATTCATGCATTCATAAAGACTCCTTAAGGCACATGATCGGCGGAGGTCATAGTAGATAGTTTTTAGGGAGATCGTAGAACTAACAGTCATTTGATGCAAAGACTTCTTTGGGATGTTGCGAGTACAGCCATCAGAGCTACTGATATTTGCTAGAGCTGATGTATACCTTGGGCTTGGAGTAGACGCGTATCTCCTCATCTACGATACCCAGCTCCTTGTCGATTTCCGCCTTGCGGTTGCGCACCCGCAGAGTCTGGGCGGTCATAGGCATGTGATTAAGCTCACTGATTAGACCATCATAGCCTGTCAAGCGAACCGTATTGAAACATATGCAAAATTAAGATACTATCTGTAAGACTTACGCTTCTTTGCGCTGTTCAAGTGGCCAACACGATCCTCCTCCGAGAGCAGAGTATGTCCGTGTGGACAGTCCGGATCCCGTGCATCGGCAAGCTCCTTGGCTGCGGCCTTTTCGCGCTTTTCCTTCTCCAGGTAGCGCGGAAGACGCAATTCGTCGCGTGCTGTTGAAAACAAAGCTTGATTAGCCATCGAGCCGCCGAGTTCCCCTATATATACTCACATCCCAGCTTGTGCTCGCGACGCTTCGATGTTATGGACGTGGTGCTAGCATTTGACGCCATTGTGGCCACTGTAAAGCGGCTGCGGGCACTAAGCGGAGCCTCTTCATCCGAAGCAACTTCAGTTCTCAGATCATCGTCGGGTAAGGGTATCATTGTGTTCAACTCATTCATGTTGAACCGACTGGGCTGAAGATGCTCGTTTTCGTTATTATCGTAACGATTGGAGGACCGTCTGTAATTGTTGTCATATTTATTGGGGTGGTCATCCAGCATAGAATCACCATCAAAACTGCATCTAAAATAGCAAGAATAGAGTACGTTAAGGTATGGGTTGCTGCTGCTTTTCTTACTTTTTTAAGGCATTTGTTAGGTAGAGCTCATCTGTGATATCTTCTGTCTGTATGCCAATGCTTGTGGAGCTGCGTTGGGTGCCGCAAGAGCTGCAGCGTTCTGAATATTTGTCCGGTGACTGCTCAAAATCTTTCTGTGCTTCCACCGACGAGTCATCGCACATAGGATTGCGCGATTCCAAGCCGTCAAAACGTTCGCCAGCATCTGGAACAGCCACACCCAATTGGTGATGGGAACGCGAGTGGTTACGGTTGCGTTGCAGACTGGTTTCCTGGGTGTTTTGTCTGGACACCGGGGGTCTTCCTGTTTTCGATTCCCGTACCTCGCTGCCAGCGCGGCGCATAGGTGGCATCCATTTGGGACGCACTGGTTCCTTGGCTGCTAGTTTTTCACTTGTTGATTTCTCCAGCGAGCGCAAGCTCACTTTATTCTCTTTAAGAAAGTTGCGGCCCTGATTAGCTCCTGCTCCTGCAATAAAATTACCAAAACAAATTATACCTCGGTTGCCATGACCGTACAAGTTTCGAGAAAAATCTTACGCGGCACTGAAAAAATCCCCTTCAGCGTAGGTATCGGACGAATTGATGTATTTGACATATTCTATTCCGACTATAGTATAACTAAGTGCAGTGGGCACTGTGTAGTATTATGAATCTGCTATTAAAATATAGAATGCTTTATCGCAGGTAGTCGCGCTGCGTCGTTGAATTTGAGTTTTTGATCAGTGTGACCGCGGATTTATCGTTAAAATATACCGTCCGACCCTCAGAAATATAGCAAAATACACCGTCTCATTTTAAAAATATACCGTTAATATACTGACGAATTTAAGTTATATTATACATATCCCTCGATTTTGATATTCCGTGGAATATTACTAGCCACATAGTTATATCCAAATAATTAACCTATTTACTACTTGACGGGTTTATTTTAAATACTTGCTTTTATTGAATTTTGCGTAAAAAAAGGTTTCAAAGAGAGCCTTACCCGATTCAAGTTCGGTTATCGATACTATCGACTGGATGGTGCGCGCCATATTTAAAAACACTTGTAACTCGTTTCAGCACCTGGTTGATTGGTCAAAGGCCATGCTGCCGCAAATCGCCAACATAACGAAATGCTACGATGAGTGGGTGCACAAGCCAGTAGACAGGCCACTGCGGCTCTTCGGCCCCTGGTATTTGGAAATGTTGACCAAGACGCCTTGGTGGCTGGTGCCCATATTCTGGATTCCCGTCATTATACGGTGTGCGTGGGAGGACATTCACACCAGTTGGAATGACAAAAGTCAGGTACGCATATATTTGTTTACCAATTAATGACAATCTCTTAATCATTATCAAATATTACAGCTTGCGTGTGTCACTGGCTACTTTTTGTTCGGCGTGCTCCTGTGGACATTTCTGGAGTACACTCTACATCGTTGGGTGTTTCATATTAAACTAAAGAGCAACAGTGGGCCCTGGATATGCACTTTTCACTTCATGATCCATGGCCTGCATCATAAAGTACCTTTCGATCCCATGCGCCTCGTGTTTCCCCCACTTCCGGGTGCCATTCTTGCTACGCTTATTTATTACCCACTTAGTTATTTTCTCATCCAACCGCGAGTTGTCCTATCAGGTGCTCTCGCCGGCTACCTGTGTTATGACATGATGCACTATTACCTACATTACGGCAATCCATCTTTCAGGCACATTGTCCATATGAAACGATATCATTACCAACACCATTTTACGCACCAGGACCTGGGATATGGTATCAGCAGTCCTCTGTGGGATGTTGTCTTTAAGACGCGCATTCATTTGAGAAAGCTTAAGTACCAACTGCGTTGGTCTTAGCCAGAGCTAGGTTAGAGTTTGGTCAAATGTTGCTATTTTAGAACAAATTATTTAGATGTAAGAATAAGCCGTAAGTTGTTTATAAAAATGAAAGAAAGAATGAAGACATTGTTGTTTCAATTCGAATTGCTGGGATAAATACGATAAATCACTCACTTACAAACAATCAATAATTGGGAGTCTTTAAAATTAGCTAGTCTTATAGAAAATAAATGAATCAATCGGATATAATTATGTGTTCAGGTATGGAAGTCCGAGCTAGCTGGTAATATAAAATCGAATGTCAAAATCGAAGAATATGGTTTTCAATTCTTGACGGAGCACGATTAACCCATTGTAGACCAAGGGGGTATTTAAATATTTCATCGAAAATTCAACTAAACTTGTTCACCTGTTTAAATAGAGGGGGTTAAGTGGGCTAAGTTTTTTTTTGTGCGACCGTACATTTTATGGAAAAATCCGCGGTCACACTCTTTCCTTTTTCGTCGGTACGTGCACGCGGGCATTGATTTTTTTAAACGCGAATTCAGATTAAGAAATAAACTAAAATGGCTTTCGGTGATGTAAAGACCCCACAGGGACTAAAGGAGTTGAACAACTTCCTGGCCAACAGCAGCTACATCAGCGGGTAAGCATTAGCACGCGGCGTCAGGAAGTGAGGTTATGTGAGAACCGCACACGTCGGCGATTTCTTTTTGCTCACTTTGACGCTCATGTAATTTATTTTCCGCCACAGATACACACCCAGCAAGGCCGATTTGTCTGTGTTCGATGCCCTGGGTAAGGCTCCAGCTGGAGACTACGCCCACGTTGCACGTTGGTACCGCCACATTGCCTCCTTCGAGGCCGGAGAGCGCTCCGCTTGGACAGGCGCTCCCCTGCCTCAGTTGGCTGGTGGCAAACCCACAGTGGCTGCTCCGGCCAAGCCAGCTGCTGACGACGATGACGATGTCGATCTATTCGGCTCCGACGACGAGGAGGACGACGCTGAGGCCGAGCGCATCAAGCAGGAGCGTGTTGCTGCCTATACCGCCAAGAAATCGAAGAAACCCGCCCTTATTGCCAAGTCGTCGGTGCTGCTCGATGTCAAGCCATGGGATGATGAGACCGACATGAAGGAGATGGAGAATAATGTCCGCACCATCGAAATGGACGGTCTGCTGTGGGGCGCATCCAAATTGGTGCCAGTCGGCTATGGCATCCAAAAGCTGCAGATCATGTGCGTCATTGAGGACGAGAAGGTGTCCATCGATCTTCTGCAGGAGAAGATTGAGGAGTTCGAGGACTTTGTGCAGTCCGTCGATATTGCTGCCTTCAACAAGATCTAAACTGAGATTCTTACTATTTTGAATAAATCCAAGCAAAGGCGAAGCAACTACAAATTTATAAACTCTCTTAAATAGTGTATTCACAAACATTTACCATAGTATCTGTGTGTCTCTCTTTCTGATGAGCAGTTCTCTCTGCCCAGTTCTCAGCGGGAGTCTTTCGTTCGGAAGCTTTCAGTAAGCTTTTGCTCAACAAAACTGTGTAGCACGGCCCGCTGCAAGCTCACTTGTCCGTTAAGCGCGAAAGCGTTCGTTCGGTTGCTAAAATAAAATCACAGAGATACACTTTATTGTGCTATCCGGTTTAAACAAATCTTTTTCGGACAATAAAAACTGCTAATAATGGCTGCCAACAAATTGTGCTGCACTTTGGTGTTTGGTGCTTTATTGTGCCTGGGACTGGTTGCTCTTATTCAGGCGCAGGGTGAGTCAAATATATTTAAGCCGGAATTGTATCATATTGAGAGATTAGCTTATATTCTGGTTATTGTTTTTGGTTCGGTTTTGTTACCCATTTAGTGGAGTTTTGCTTTGGAATACCTGCTCGTCTCGGGTGCGGGATTCGTGCATTTCATTAACATTAATTAGCAATTGTATAAATATTTGTGTCTTTTGTTCTGTGCGAAGACATGTTTCGTTCTTAGAGGGATTTCTCAGCTCTATATGCATTTGCCCAACAAGTCTGTTCGTATTTGCATCCAACTAAATACTGCGGGTATCGAATACGTATGCGAGACTGGCGCATCTATCATTAGGAACGAGCCGGGCCATTGACTGCGGTGGTTTCAATAACACGGCATTGCCATTGAAATCGCTTCCGATTTGTGTAGCCCCCCTTACATTAGACGGAAATTAATTCGCTTGAAAAATGTCTTGTAGTAATATTAGCTATCAATCACCTGCATCGTGTATTGCACAATTATTCCAGGGTGAGCTCATAGGATATGTATTCGATTAAATAATTAGTTGCATAAGTAGCTGATTATATTAGAGATAAAACAATTTAAACTGTGGACTCTCCATGAAAAAGGATGTACAAATTAATTGAATTTCGAAAATAATTGTTTAGCTCGGAATAACCTGAAAAATCCCACCTTCGTGATGTGACAATACATTCCCTTCCGCTTAAATGACGTTTATTTGTGAGCAAACAATTCGCATTATCTTTGCCTGAGTGTGTGTTATCTCTAGTGCCTGGAAATTCCCAATTTTTCTATACTAGTCCCGAGTAAATCAAATCTCAGCAATAAGAAAAGTAAAATTATGCAAGCAATTTAAATTTCTGGAGTCTATTTTAAAATCTTGACCCGATTTCTCCGACTTTCAAGACTACATATGTATGTATTGCATAGTTCAGTGAACTCATAGAAGAGATTACGTGGGTGAATAAAGATGATTGATAGGGTGTTCTCACAGAGAATTTGGCGCATGCTGACAACCTCCTCCGCTTTTCAAATTCCCGCTGTTCGTGGAAAAATAAATAATTAAATTACAAGAACAACAGTTCTTGATAACACTGAAAATATTGACTCATCTTCGCCTACGGGGGGCTGGCATAGAGATGCCTCAACTCAATGTTGCCATTGAAAGTTGCAAAACTAGTTCGGCAGAGAGTCGGAGGCTGAAACTGGCGGAGCAGATACGATGGAGCTTTGTCTGAGGTTCATGGGCGTACAACCATCGGAATTGTTTTTTCACGTTCTTATAATAATACAATATTGTCGTATTATAAATGCGTTTATATATTTTCGAAATTTTATGAGTTTGAAATTCGAACGATCTTGGTTCGAAATCATTCTCAAGACTCGCACATTACGGAACGCCCTGAATAAAGCGATGACATGGGTGGGTAAAAATGTTAATTCGAGTTTTATTTTGTTTACTCTGTTTACGTGGTTCTCGTTTCTAATCGCGTGCCTGATCTCAAACTAATTCGCCTGCCCTCTGCCCCCAAAACAGATAAGCCGGTGACGGATGTGTGTCTCGGCTGCATTTGCGAGGCCATCAGCGGATGCAATCAGACACGATTCTGCGGCGGCGGCGTCTGCGGCCTGTTTCGCATCACCTGGGCCTACTGGTCGGATGGAGGCAAGCTGACCTTGGGAAACGAGAGCCCCCAGTCTGAAGATGGTAAGCCTGTTTGCCGCACTTCGCCATCGTTCTTCTTCTTAACTTGCTTAAACTCCTTTTCAGCCTATGCCAACTGCGTGAACGATCCCTACTGCGCGGCCAACACCATCCAGAACTACATGACCAAGTTTGGGCAGGACTGCAACAAAGATGGGGGCATCGACTGTTACGACTACGCTGCTATTCACAAGTTGGGGGGCTATGGCTGCGGTGGGGAGCTGGCTTATCAGTACCAAACCAGCCTACAGAGCTGCCTGAACTCGTTCCAGCAATTGGACGTTCGCTCTGGACCTTGAGCGCAAGAGTAGGGAACATACGCATCAAATAATTAACGATAACTAATATTTAAAATACTAATTTATGGCAATGCATTTGAATTGGAGCTAGATTGTGAGATTGAGATTGATATTAAAACTATAATGGTAAAGCAACACGAAATTTAGCTTTTATTGCGAGATATTTTTATAATGAAATCAGTTTTAAATTACCGTTGACAACACTGGCGACATTCAGCGGAAATAAATGGAAGTTTTTACATTCGCACGAATTCGTCGGCAGGTGTCTCTGTCACGACATGTAGTTACTTGTGGTTACTACATGCCCGTAGAGTAGCAGCTCTCCGGAATGGTCAAGAAATATGTATATCCGGTCGGTTCAGGGTATTTCTTTCCAATCACTCGCATCTACTACCGATCATTCGATTGGTAGCAGGTAATTGGTAATTCCCGCATTAGTTAGTTTTAGCGATGGCTGTTGTTGGCAGAGATTCGTTTGGATGCGCCTTAGAAACCGGTACTGGTGGGGAGAGACCCGGGAGACTTGAGAGCTGGCTGTTGGATTTGCTGGCACCATTTGCGATTTAGGTGCGGAACTGTTTGAACCAAGTTGAAGAGCATTAAGAGCATTAGAATGAGTTTTGAGGTGGAATATATGCTATGCTTGCTGTTGGCGGTGTCGCCTTCGTTGGTCCAGAGTCAAGGTTAGTCCTAAACCAAACCCATATATTTATATGGTCTAACAACTGCTATTTAGGTCACGTGATCGACAAACCCGTTACGGAGTTGTGCCTGACGTGCATCTGTGAGGCCATCAGCGGCTGCAATGCCACAAGGATCTGCACCAGCCCGGAGAAGGGCACATGCGGCATTTTTCGCATCACCTGGGCCTACTGGGTGGACGCCGGCAAATTGACCATCGACGGGGAGCATCCCGAATCGGAGCGGGCCTTCATCAACTGCGCCAACGATCCGCATTGCGCCGCCAATCTGGTTCAGAACTACATGAAGAAATTCAATCAGGACTGCAATGACGATGGCGAGATGGATTGCCATGACTATGCGAGGATCCACAAGCTGGGGGCCTACGGCTGTCAGGCGGATTTGCCATACAATTACCAGAGCGTCTTCGATGAGTGCATCGAGAACTATGAAGATCAGGGTCTCGAGTGATCTTCCGGAACACAGAGTTTGTTATGCATCAAATAAATATCGCGGGGAATCTCCCCTACGGATCAGAGCAGACTAAATCACTTCCTATTCCACACCCATTACAACGACCCCATTGACTAGTATATATTGAACTGGTTCTCGGCTCGGCAGGCCAATATAAATCTATAGTCAGTGCTGCGAGCGTTCAGTGACTGAATGGTCGAGCAACGCATTGAATCGGTAGTGAATATTCGGCTTACCATGTCCACAAATAAATACACGCTGATAATTCTTTTGGCTCTGGGCTTGGTTCAGGCGGAGAGCCCGAAACCGATCACGGAGACCTGTCTGACTTGCATGTGCGAGGCATTGAGCGGCTGCAATGCCACGGCTGTGTGCGTGAACGGTGCCTGCGGCATCTTCAGGATCACCTGGGATCAGTGGGTCGATGCGGGACGACTGACAGTGCCGGGTGACACAGCCGTAACGGACAGCGGTGAGTTAACCACAGCACATTCGCCATTGGGAGGGAGGGGATCTCATCATCCATGATTTACCGCTACAGCGTTTACCAACTGCGCCAACGATCCGCACTGTGGGGCGGACACTCTCCAGAACTACATGGTGAAGTACGGACAGGACTGCAATGACGATCAGCAGGAGGACTGCTACGACTATGGCGCGATCCATTACATGGGTCCATTCAACTGCAAAGCCGACATGCCCTACAACTACGAGAACACCTTCAAGCGGTGCCTGAGAAGGGCGCAGCGGGAACAGCAGCGACAGTCGTCCACATAATCCGCGGCTGGGAAACCAATAATATCTAGTTTCTAGCTTCTAGTATTTAGTATTTAATTTATGAGGAGGAGTCCGCGAAATTTGTGTCAGAAAATTGCATTGCAAATAGCCAGCCTCTCGATTAATAGACAACAGATCGGTTGATCAGCGTAGATCAGTTGTGCAGTAAACACGGCGACGTCAGGTCAGGTTCTCGTCTAAAAATCCATCGGAGTTTAGTTTGAGATACTATGTTAGCCAGTCTCAAATTACTCACCAGTTTGTGGCTGCTGTTGTGGCTACGGCTGGACAGTGTTCCCGGCCATGCAGGTAAGTGCACTCATCGTACCACTTGCCCCACTGTGCCGCTTTAGAAACAAGCCGGAACGTTGTAGTACATTACAATCTTCGTCTGACCAGATACAGACAGAGGTGTAGACACGGAAACTAGAAAATAGTCGAATATACCCTGGCATTCTGCGAATACCGCGCGTAAAAACAATTATTTGTGGCACACTACGAGTATGTATGGGAGAGTGCTATACAATTATGGTAATCCATTGTAAACTGAAACCGGATCAGTTCATTAGAATAGTATATATACCAAGTATGCACAGACTTACATCCGCCAATTTCCATCGCTGCCTTTGGCTTTCGATCTCTCGCATTCAGTGGAAAACAAACCCGTCACGGAAGACTGCCTGGAGTGCCTCTGCGAGACGATGAGCGGTTGCAATGACACAGCGATCTGTGTGAACGGGGCATGTGGCATCTTTCGGATAACCGAGGGATATTGGGTGGAGGGAGGAAAACTAACGCTGCCCAACGAGACTCCGCTGTCCAAGCGAGGTAAGTACTCCAGCTTTCCCCCAAGCCGACGACTAATGTGCTTCATCCTCTTTTAGCCTTCATCAATTGTGTCAATCAGCCCCTCTGTGCGGCGAATACGATCCAGAGCTATATGTACAAGCACGGGCAGGACTGCAATGGCGATGATCACATCGATTGCCTGGACTTTGGAGCCTTGCACAAGCTGGGAAATCTGAAGTGCCGCGGCGAGCTACCCTACATATTCGCCAAGGTATTCAACAGCTGTCTTAAGGGCAAGGAGAGACAGGCCCAGAACGCGGACCAGACCCCGAACCAAGTGAAAATCAAGGACCAGTCCTCAACATAATTGATTCTTTATTGGGTTGAATCGTTTTACTGTTTTTTAAACAATCTTTTAATACATATACATACATACATCGAAACATTGCTTATCTTTGACGCTTGAACAGTTTCCAATATTGGTATGGTATGGAGATATAGTAGATATTGGTATAGGTATACAATACACATAGTACATACAAACATACGAGTAGTATGTATATATATATATATAGAGGGTATATGAAAACTACTGTAATATGCTTCCCATTTAGAATTTGTTAGTCAACAAGTTATGTAAATATCTGTACGAGTATATATGTATAGTACATGTACATATATCCGGATCATTGCAGCTCACTTTTGCTATAGCTTGGCTCTAACATTCGTAAGTTTTTCTAACATGGTCATTGTTTATAGTTCTATAGTTTGAATTGGGGGTGTATCATCATTGCTTCCATCCTATTGGGGACTATTATAATTGGGGGGAGTTCTTCATTAGTAGTAAAAACTATTATTTGGAAATTGGAAAGTTAAAGGTTTTCTCTCTCTCTCTCTTTCTCTCTTCTTTAAGATATAATTGAGGAGTATCTGCATCTTCCACCTTATCAGAATCTGTTCTAGTCGATATTTGTTCAACAACCTTTAAGTTGATGATGAGATAAATGGGCTGAGGCAATGTTTAACGAAAGGCAGCGATGACTTAGTTTGTTGGGCAGCTCTCCATCTTACGCTCTTATCATAGCTCTAGACGGCGAAGAGCCATGAAAGTTCTCAGTGAGCCCATAAATAATATGCTACTTACAAGACAATTTACTTGAACAATTCGGCAAAGAACTAAACATAGATCAAGGCTAAGGAACATAATGATAGCTAAGTCTTTGCAAAAATCCAGATGCCAGAACTGTGTAGAAGAAGTAACACCATATCTTAGGCAGTAGGTGTATCCAAGGACGCTTATTGTTCCTATTATAGTTTTTGGTTAAATCTTCCCCAAATTTGTTTCTTTAGATCTCTTATCTGGGTTCTCTTCAAAGATCTTTTGGATAATTGGAACTCATTAGAGAGGTGTTCTGGTATGGATATTCACAATACAGTACTTCTTGGCTCTCTTCTCTTGAAAAATGGTTTGGTTTCTTGGTTTGAAACGATCCGTGGCTATTATCCTTAAAATACAATCAAGCTCGATATATACGGAATGCGGATGGGTGTGTGTGGGGGTATGTCCGATCTGATCTGATTTGATATACATACTACTATAATTCATTCAATCGGTGATGGTCTTAAATCTAGAATTGCAACTGGAAATATGCGTTTGCTTTGCCAAAATTGGGTTTACTTCTTGATGTCGTTGGCCAATAGCAGCTCCTTGGCCTCCTTCTTGCCGCGCTTCTTCTCCTCCTTGGCGTGCAGCTTGGCCAACCGCTCCTCCTCCTTGGCCAGCCGCTTCTCCTCCTGCAAAAAGCACAATTCTTATGAGAAATTCAGTTGAGATGGGATGGTGCGGGTGGGGTCGGGGGAGGTTTGTTGGCTATAACTTTGTTTGAATGCACTGGAAAGCATAAAGAAGAAATCGGAATTATGAGCAGCCTCCTCTCCCCCTTTTGGAATTTATGCACAAAAGACGATGAAATCCCCTCCCCTTTCTCCTTCCCCATTTGCTGCATTTCCACTCTCCACCCACGCGATTAATGAAAAACTTTGGCGAAGCAAAAACGAAAAGGGGAACGAGGCCAATTACAAACAATGCAATGGAAAAACTGCCAAAGCGGGGTCAGGGGTCGAATGGGGATAACAATGAATCTCCGGAACAATGCAGGGTAGACTGGTAAAGGATGGGGACATACCGCACTCACCTTCCGGGCCTCCTTCTCTGCCTTTAGCTTGAGCTTCTCCTCCTTCTTCTTGCGCTCCACAGACTCGTTCTTTTTATTGTCAGCCCGTTCTCCTGCAACCAATTGGAAAAGGATTAATCTCCGACGGATCTCCGCCGGAATCTCTACGGCTGGGGTTGGAAAATTGAAAACCTACTCTGATTGCTGCCGGCGGAGAAGAGCGGAAAGCTGCGATTGGAAGAGCTGGAAGAAACTGGCTTGGGATTACTGGATGCGGATGTTCCCGAGCCAGAGCCAGAGCTAGAGCCAGGGCCCTTGCCTTCCCCTGAAGATGTCCCAGTCTTGGATGTGCTGCCTGATCCCTGAATCGTTGCCTTAGATGGGCCAGCAGCACCAGCACCCTTGCAGCCGCCTGCTGCCTGGGGCTTCTCTATCTTCTTTTCCTTGGGCATCACATAGGCGCTCTTTGGCAGCGCGTTCTTCGGGGTCACAGGGCATATCTTGGCGCCACCCGCCTTCAGTGGTGGCGGGGCCAGGGTGGTGCAGCTCAGCTGGATGTTCATGGGGCTGGGACGACGTGGAGGAGGCGGTGATGCCCCCTCCCGCAGCAGTGGGGCCAGCTCGTGGGTACTGGACTTTGTGTAGGAGGCATACCTGAAAGGAAGTGGTGAAGTGGTGGGAGATGAGAGACAATGACCCACCGAGAGGAGGATGAGGACTCACCGAAACCTGGGATTGCTGACGTGTACCGGCGAGGGGTGTGGCACCTTGGCCGGACTGCGGAGCTCCTTGATGGGCGGCAGGCGGTTCTGGATGTCCAGCAGACGATTCTTAACGTGCCTCCGACCCGGATAGGTGTGCATGGGCGTCATGGTGCCGCTACCATTGCTGCTACCGCTACCCCCACTACTGCCACTGCCACTCGAAGAAGATGCGGATGTGGATGTGAGGCAGTTGCTCAGCGTGTGGAGGGGCTTGCGGGGCACAGCTCCCGAGCAGCCGCTGGGACAGCCACCGTGGTGGGAGTGGCTTCCATTATCGCGCGGGGAGAGGGAACTGCCCGAAGAGCCAGAGGGCGTGGGGGATGTTGACGCGTGATGGGGATCTCTGTGGTGATGATGATGCGGGTGATGGTGGGTGGCGGGCGAAGGCGGGGCCAGGTGATGGGAGCCGGAGGCCGCTGCCGAGGCTGGGGAGCAGGGGCCGCTGCTCGATATGGAAGACGTCTTGGAGTAGTGCGAGTATCCGGAGAGAGACGACCCCGCCGATCCTGTCGAGCTCATCGAGTAGAGGCTGTCGGACTGGGACACTACACGGCCGCGCGTCCCACGCACCGCCTGATGATGTCGCCCCACCGTCGCCGCCTTGTGCAGCGTGGGCTGGTGGCGGAACGTGTGGTGTCCACTGTGCGCATCGTTCATGGAATAGGAGCTGGCGGAGGCCACCACCCCGCCAGCGGCCACGCCAGCCGAGGACCAGCTCTTGGCGCCCATCGAGTAGCTGCTGGCCGACTCCTGGATGCGCCAGGTGCCCGACGAGGAGGTCAGTCGGTTCACCCGAGCCCTGCAGATCACACAGCGCAGGGGCAACAGTCGTTGCGCCACCGCGCTCTGGATAGTCTTCACGAAGCAGCGCCGGCAGACGACGCGGTGGCCGCACGGCGAGGTCTGCATGGTGGCCCTGGCATTGATGCAGATCACGCACTCGTCCTCCTGGGAGGTGGGCGGATCCGGTTCGCTCTCCTCCTCAAGCTTGCTCAGCAATTTGTCCTGCAAAAACGAGAGGAAAATTGCTTGAGTGAATTGATTTCCTATAAGTATGCAAGGGAACTCTTTGGTTCGGGTCTATTTGGGGAGAGCTTGAAAGTATGCGACGTTCAGACTGGCCAAATCCCAAGATCTTCATCCGTATCTTTGCCACTAATATACCCCATCCAGCTGTTCATTCAAGGGGTATAATTAATTGACCAAACACCCCAGACATTTATTAGTCTTGGCTCTCGGTGTGACGACAACTCATTTGACAGCTGCTTAGCTGTAAACGATGACAGCCAAGCGCCAACTAACTATTGAAGGCCGCATCCGGAAGCCGTCTGACATGCCCATAAAGATCACCACCGGCAGAAATTCCAACCCATCGACCCATAAACCCATCGATTGCAATCTTCGCGTTGGCTAACTGTAGGTCTGTTTTGTGTGGCGAATGAATCTTTATGCAAATCGATTATCAACTCGATTCGCTTTGTCCCTCTCGCCGCAGACGCCTTCTGAGGTCAGCTTGGGTGTTCGACCTGAGGCCGAACATAACCAATTTTATTGATCATATATTTAATCTCTTAAGAATTGCCCATTGTTGCCCATCCCGCCGTCATTAATTTTGTGATTCAGCAGCTTTTTAAGGCGCTGATTGAATGGACTACTTTATAACATCTTAAGTATCGAGATATTAATAGCCTTTTGGCTATTTTTGGGGCTTCCATTGTGTCTGTCTGGGCCTTACTGTAAATGAAAATTAAAATCTGAATTGTGCGACGTAAACTTTCCAAGGCACGAGTCACAAGGAAGTTGTTAAGATATTTTTCGCTGGTCCAAAGTGGTTCGACGAGTTTCAGATATATTTCCAATTTCAATTTCCATTACACACCACTCCGACTTCGAGTGTGGCTAATGGGCTCGCTCTTGAGGTTAGATTAGAACATGGGTAGAACCCAAACACCTCGCATGTGGGGCCCAACAATGCGGCGGTTCCGCTTGGCTGAAGTGGGCGGCGTGGGTTAGCCCTTGCACTTGATGGCTTCTCAATGTCGGAGCGGCGCTGCATAAATCGTGCGAGTTGTTTGACTGCGAAGGTCTTTGCCAACTAATTGGCTCATTGTGGAAATGCATATACATGTATGTAAGAGATTTAATTGCTGGTTAGCTCTCCGCCGATTATGAAAGCAATGGCAAATCAATCAACTGTTAGATTGCCAATCAACCGCAGATGTACCAAGAATCTTTACGCAAGGTTTTACTTCTTCCCATCTAAATTCACGGTTCAGGGCACACAACATCAATATCTAAAGTCGAGACAATGACGAAATAGCCGCGAAATTGCACGCCCGCAACCAGATGAGACTCAATTAGAATAACGGATACCCTTCTCCTTCTCCACCCAAAGAGCATAGGCAGATAAATCCTCACAGACTTACATGTACTCAGCCAAACGTTGGTTTCTTGCCAAAGTTACCAACTGTCTAATGAAGTCACTAATCCTCATTTTAAGCAAAAGAAGGGTACCCTTCGTCTGATTAATGTAGATCTCAGCGCCACACTAATTGACCCGCACAGACAAGAGATACACAAGACGTGGCTCCGATCCACTGAGGATGGGTCAGAACCGCTTAAGCCTGATGTCGGATCGAAAGGCGATAAGTGTATTGAAACGGAAAGTCGACATCATCTGGTCAAGGTGAGCGGGCTGTCGGCTGAACTTTGCCAGGTGATGCTTGATGCTTGATGCCTGATGCCTGATGCGACCACCCAGGTGATCTTTTGGCGGGCTCATTGCGTATGCCCCTCAGGGCGTGGGTGTGGGCGCTGGGCGCGCGACAATCAGGAAATTAAAAACTTTTTACGAACTCAGACAGTGCCCTGGCCTGCATGCCTGATTAACTCATTTAAATACGGAACATTCAGGCCCACAGCCGAGCCGAGTTTGTTGCCTCAGTCTTTTGCTTAGGGCCGTGCGAATTCTGTTTCTCCGAGGAGCAGCACAGCGGCAGCAGAAGTCGCGACAGAGGTCCGAGTAGCGGCAGAGCTTTTCTAGGGGGACGGGACCAGGCGAGTCTACCTGGCCGAATCGGGCCGTTCGTCGTGCTCAGTCCGTCTTCGCCGCTCGGCCAGAACAGAGCTTCGTTGTAGTCGTAGTCGTCATAGTCGCCATCGTCGTTGTCGCTGTTGTTGCTTTCGTTATCGATTCTCGATCTCGAAAGTGTTTTGGCGCGTCTCTATCGCGATCGTAACCCATTAAAAAACGGCCAAAAACTCAAATGCGGAAGTCACACTTAATGTTTATTCTAAAGCCTCAAAAGTGAATTAAAACTGAAATCGAATCTGAAGGAAAAGGGTTCATTGAACGGTAGACGTATATTTGCAGTAGTTATTATGGTGCTGCCAGCCACCTCGACATTGTGCAATGTGTTCACATTTCTGCTGGGTAAGTTAACGCCTCCTCCCCTCGCTACGCCTCGCCTTGCCACGCCGCGCCCTATCGCACTCAAATATGGAAATAGGAGCCCGCTGTTGTGCGGCTTCTACTATTAGCATTGATTCTGCTGCCCCAATGTCAGCTGGGAAATCGTGTGGTATCTGCCACATGGGGGAACAGGGGACAAGGGGACCGAACAACACATCTCTGTGCATAAGTTCAAGGTGGAACGGCTTGTAAATCAGGGGAGCGGAGGCGGGGTAGTGGACATGTTTGAACAAGTTGATGTCTTTGTTGATACGCGCACTCTCAAACGATTCAATTGTTGGCTCTCGCCAATGTTTGACTTGCATTGGGGCAGGTCGGGGCGGAGCCCCCATTCAGCCATGAAAGAAGGTCGCATAAGGGGAGGGAGTAAGCCATGGATGACACTGTCCAAAGCACTTACTATCCGTAGGCAGAGAAGCTTAAGTTCTGGCCCTCCCTTTAGCGGAACGAGAGAGGGAGTAACACAATGCCGTGCCTCCCTTGACCCGAACCGATCCAAGGCGAAGGGAAGACGAATGGAAGCTTGAAACCTCCGAGCGTGTTGTGTTTGCATACACTTTATTCTTCCTGAATATCATCGTTGCTCAGTGATTTGGTTCATCATGTTTAATAGTGGAAGACATTTCACAACTTTTCAATGCCACCATTTGGAGGAATCATATCTAGAACCATAAAGCCGGCTCAAAAACTCACTAAAGTTCTGAATACCAGCCAACACAAAAATCACAATCACAATCGTGTATAGCCGCTAATTAACTGCTGGCCAAACGTATATTTACATTAAAGTCGGCAGCGTGATAATTAAAAAAGAAATACAAATTAAATGCACGGCATGACGTCGCAAACGACATGGAAACAAAGCAAAGAAACAAAACAAAACAGAGAAAATGAAAAAAAAAACAAGAAAAAAACAAATGGTTAAGACAATAACGAGCATTCCCCATAAATAAAACGCGACAAAAAGCTCTTCCGCTCTGCAGCGAAACTGGGCAGCTAATCTACATAAATAAAAGATATTTAAGCTACATACATAAAATTTGGATTATGTCTAAATAGCAGAAGATGTACACGCAAAAGAGAAACGAAGTTTGCATACGCTTCAAGAAGACTGTCTCTTGAGCTTCGGGAAATGCAACGGTTTTCTCTCGCTCTCGCTCTCCTTCACCCGCTCTCTCAATGCAGAAAGAGCGGCAAGCAAAGGCGGTGGCAGTAGGAAGGACAGAGATAGTTGCGGACAGAGATAGACAAACGATCGAAAGCGTCTCCGAAAATTCGAACTTGACAGAGAGCAGAATAATTTAACTGTAACTGTAATTGGAATTTCGAATGCAATGTTCATTCAGTAGCTGATATACTTCAAATACGGTTAGCGCTGTCGAGCAAAAACGGAAGGTGATAAGTGGCCAGAATTGCAAATGAATGTGGCATTGGCTAAGGTCATATCCCATCAGCATTGTCGCTTGGCATCTAATCAAATGTGGCATCCGTTTCGTTTCGTTACGATTCGAACTTCTCGCAGCCCCCAAAATATGTGTAGCAAAACAAACAGTGCGAAAACGAAGAAGCAGCAGCAGCTGCAGCAGCAGCGTCATTGACATCACATCGCCATCAGTTGACCCAGTGGCAGTAGACGCCTCCACCTCCACCCAATCGAACGCCTTGCGGCAGCGTGAATATCGATATGGAAATTCAAACTTGTTTTTGCTTCTTTTACCTCTAGTCTTGTTGATTTTGTCGACTGCGTAACACGCGGCGTATGCGTCACGTGCTGCGCGCGTTGTTGTTGCCACTGCTTCTTGTTATTGTTGCTCTCCATACAACCGAATACTTTTCCACGCCACTCGACTCCACTCTGCAGCACACCCCACCGCACTCGACGCCGTTTCATTCAAGTTCAGGGCCAAGTGGGTTTTCGTTTGGGCCAGTTTCGTTTTCTTTGTATGTTTGTTATTTCTGCTGGTTATTGTTACGGCTACCTGGCGTTGGCATTTCGGCCAGTTAATGAAGCAATGAATCAATTAGCTGTGTATTTGTGGCTCCAAATTAATTTGCTCGCCTTTACCTTTTGACAACAATTTCACTTCCGCCAAAAGTTGTAGTCGCTGATCGATTTCCCATGTACCTTTCTGTCCTCTAGCCGGTTCGCCCATTTTCTACAGCGCTGCCCCGCGTGGATCCTGCGCCAACTGCTGCGGGATCAGAGAGCGCGAGGACATCAAGTTTATGCTGTATACCAGGTAAGCCTTAGCAGCTCATGAATGCTAAATTGATAGGAGAATCTAGAGGATAATGCCATTTCAGACGGAATCGCCACACGGCCCAGCTGCTCCACCTGAACGACGATGGCCGGCTGGCGCAGAGCAATTTCAATTTTAATTACCCGATGGCTATCTACCTGCACGGATTCTCAGAGTCGGCCACCGGAGAGCGACAGAGCAGCCAGGAGCTGAAGGATGGTAAGCGATATGGCGTACAGAAGGGGTTCCTCTACGGTCAATTAGCATATCCATATGCTGCTCTCTTGCAGCCTTCCTGCGGCGGGGCAACCATAATGTCATTCTCATCGACTGGAGCGCGATGACAGCGGTGCCGTGGTACTCGAATTCCGTGGAGAACCTGCCTATCACGGCTCGCTATATTGCGCGATTCCTGCGTTACCTCGTGGGGCGTGGCTATTCTGCGAAACACATCCACCTGATTGGCTTCAGCCTGGGCGCTGAGGTGGCCGGATTCGCGGGCAAGCAGCTGCAGGAATGGGGCATCAAGCTGCCCAGAATAACGGCCCTCGATCCGGCCCTGCCCCTGTTCGAGGGCAACAGCTCCAACCGTCGTCTCAGTCCGAGCGATGCCAGATTCGTGGATGTCATACACACGGATGGCGGGATCCTGGGCAATCCCACGGCCATGGGTCATGCGGACTTCTATCCAAATGGAGGAAGGCCACTGCAGCCTGGATGTGCCCGCCAGGAGATTGCCAATAATCGCTGGCTGGGCATATTAAGTGAGTGGAGGAGTGTTTTGGATCAACGTGGCCGAATATTCAATCCATTTTGTCCTCTTCACAGTTGGCTGCAGTCACCAGCGCGCCTGGGAGTACTTTGTGGAGAGCATAGCCCAGCCGCGGGGCTTTCCGGCCAAGCGATGCGAGCCCTCGGTGACATTTGGCGTCTGCCGGGACGGAGGAAACGGCCTGGCCTTCATGGGCATGGGCGCAGATCCCAGGCAAGGGAGCTACCGAATATCCAACTCTACTCTCAAGCTAACCCAACATTATTCTTTTCACAGGCTGCGGGGGAAATTCTATCTGGAAACGAATGGTGCCAAGCCATTTGGGAGGAATAGTCGGAGCCAGGCAATTGTCTTGCTGGCGCCTCAGCTGCCCATCGCCTACAAATTGCCCCCAATTGCCAGCAGGCCAACAGTCCAGAGCCAGAGCCAGAGCCCATCCGTCAATCAGTATGGACCAGCAGGACAAGACCCATTGCAGGAGGAGGATGAGAACAACAGCATTGACAGCTCCTCTCTGACGTGACGAAATGTAAAAAGTGCCCGAAGAGACGGCGAGGATTCGAAGGGACGGACAGCTACCATTCTCTCGGTAGAGTTTTGTGGGATGCTGCGTGATTGTGTTCCAAGTTTTTGCACTTGTACGAGCATGTACTCGCATTTGTAGTTGGCCCGGCAGCAGGCAACGTTTTCTTGTGATCTTTCTCTTAAGTATTGCTAGCACGTAGTCAGGACATTTGTTAACAGCTTAAATATATCCTTTATACATAAAGAGTTGAATGGGGAACGCTTTGTGCGAGTGGAAATTGGCCAGAAGGAGCTTGTGGGGCAGTATTCACTCATAACATTTGTGTGGAAATGGACTTATGCTGTTGGATTGATTTCACATTTTAAAAGAGATTTGTGGCACACCATGCAACAGATTTCCAAGATGAGAACTTAAATGAGAACCATTTGATGGCCTAAAGAACTTATAGAACATGGACTCAAAAGTTATGAAAAAGTTTTAGCCTACAAAATAATTTTTGCCCTCCCGCCCTCCCAATACTCTTTTAGAACAAGTTCGAGAGGAAAAAAAAACTAGAAGCCTCATAAGTGGCCACGTCTTCTTGGAAATAACTCAAAATTCAGGTAGCAACCCGACAATCAACGAAACCTTCGTCATTCCCCCAAAAAAAGTGGGCCAGAACGTGAGAGGCAGAGGATACTTTGCACACTTTTAGCCATGACTCATCGTGACAATCGCTCTAAAAGGCAAGTAATTTAATTTAGTTAGCCCCACCCCCTGGGGTCGATGCGGGGGAGAGAGACGACATGCAAAGTGGATACGCCTATGACGCAACGGGAAGCCTTAGAAAAACACGGCCCAAAATGGCGAGAATACTCGTATGTACGATATATAAAGGAATTATGTATGTACAGTATGTAAGGAGCAACAATAAGTGTACGTACTGAAGGCCGTAGAGACCCAAAAATTTCGAAGGAACCCGAGCTATTGCCAGTGCAATTAAAAAGTAATTAACGAATAATGCGCCTGCCAGAGCGGCCCCAGTCGCCATAAGGAGTGCAAATTGTTTATTAACTTCGATGGTGGGTAAGAGTGTTGGAGCTCCTTAAAATGCAGCCACCTCCCCATAATTATGCAAGGCAGAAGGGTGGCTGGCAAACAGGACATGGGCCATAATGTGCAATGAACGTCGGAGCTCATTTTCACAGGCCATCAGCGTCGTAGCGGCGGCGGCGCCAGTGCGCCAGTGCGCCAGCGGAAGCGGAAGTTTTTGGGAAGTTTGGGAAGTTGGTGTGGCCAGCCGGAAGAGGAAGGTGGGACCAGTGTGGCCATTCATATGCACATATGCGGGCTGCATTATTAATGAGCCCCAACTTTTCGGCAGCCAAATGCAGATGCATTTTCCGTGTGCCATGTCCCGTGCGCCGTGCTCAGCATTTGCGAGTAAAATTCGAACAGCCCAATGATTCGTGCATTTTGTTTGTGCCCGGCCTCAGACCTCTTCAGACAGCGTACCTCTGGGGCAGGCTTTTTGGGTCAACTGCAGATGGGCTGTGATGGCTCATCGAATGCATATTTAATGGTGTGGCGAACAGATCTAAATGGTTTACAAAATCGATAAAGAATCCCCGCAGCGAGAGCTGAAAAGGTTTGACGGAAGTCAATGATATACGAGTGTTTCGGGACGCGGCTTCGGGTAATTGTCTGTTGAATCTAATCTTTTTTACGATTCCGGCACATTTATAGCCATCGAATTGGCCATTACGAAAAGCTATGAGAGGAAGAAAGGACACACGGAATGCTTGATACTGTCAAAGGAAGTGCCCAAGTCCGTCCGATCAAGGTTATGCCTTCAATCGACGGGAATATACATGGTTAACCGATTTGTCCATTGAGCAATCAAATGAATTCACTCTATGCACTCATTTCCTGAATAATTTCCAGCATGGTTGGGGCTTTCCGCTAACGGGCTGTCAATTATGGACATTTTTGTAGCGTGGGGGTAGCGGCCAGGTAAAGTAGGCCACTAATAAAAAAGCTCCACATCCTTCTCCCTGTCTACCCACTTTTGCTCCTTCTCTACGACTTTCTTTCCATCCACTTCTGCTTCTACTTTACGGTTTCCTCTCCACCCACTGCAGCTCCTTCTCTATTGCTTTCCCTCCTGCTCCTTCGCAATGGCTGTCAGGCATGCCATGACCAAGAGAGCGACAACTGCGGAGGACACGTGCGAATGCGTCTGAGTTGCGGTCGCGGTCGCGGTCCGCAGTCGCCGTTGCTGCTGACTCATGAAGGCTAATGAGGGAGTGCAGAGGAAGAGAGCAGAGAGCAGAGAGAGAAGGACAGGGCGGAGCTGTCAATGAGCTTTGCTGACTGAATGATTGCTGATTGATTGAGGTCGGAATTGATTATTAATATCGTGTGTGTTGTCCCTATTCTTGTTTGCTTTAACTTAAGAACATTTATATAATGTTCACAGGTGGAAAATAATATGAGCGATAGGAAATCCAGATATTTTTGGCAATCATCTTAAACAGGAAGAGAAAGAAAGTACAGTAAACAGTTTTCTTTTAACAAAAAATCTCTATCTCTCCGTAGCTGCTCTCAAGAAATGCTTTAAAAGATGCCTTATTCAAGTTAGAAAAATTCTTTAAATTTTCACATCAAATGTTGGGTTTCCAGTAACGTTTCCAGCAAACTTCAATTGAGGCACTTTGAAGCCTGGAAAGTAGGTTGTTAGCAATCCACTGGTGCATCAGTTTGCAGTCAGTCAGTCAGTCAGTCATTCAGTCAGTTTTCGGAACCTGCTGCCAGTTCAAAGGGAAGGAAAAATTAATTAAATCGATAGGGCGTTTTGTTCTCTGTTCTGTTGTATGGGTGTAACCCTCTTTCTCTTTGTCCCAAGCTCTCTGTCGCTCTTCACCATATGTCCCTGCTTTTTCCCCTGCTTCTGTTATTCTTGTTTATTGTGCCGCTGCCGTGGCTGCTGCTCCTGCTGCACTTTTCACTTTATGCGCCGATAATTGGACGGAGAGAGCAGGGGGAGTGCAACAGAGCGGGAACAGCAACAATTTCATTTCGCCTGTGCCACGCCTCCCTTTGTTGCTTGTTTATTTGAAGCATGCTTGCTGCTTGCAACGTGGCAACATTGTCGTGAGAAATTGCATTTATAGCAGGCAACGTTTACGTGTCAGCGAGTCTCCTTCTCTACACAAACACAGAGTCAGTGAGGGGTGCAGAAACGAGATGTTGCCACTGTGTGTACGCTTGCTGGTGCCCCATGTTGCCGCTAAGTGAATTTATTGCATTTAATATGCTTTTCATGTCAATCCTCACTGCTCTAGCATACATAAATCAACCAGTTTTTATGGCCCGCTAGAGGACTTCATCGCCGCCACTGGAACTGGAATAAGATGTCAAAGCAGATGTCAAACAGAGAGTTCTGAAGCTTTAAAATTGTCCAGATAAAAGCCTGGTGTATGGGTTGCTCTCGCCCTGGCTGCCGGCAGCCAGTTACTCGTAATTGTTGTTCATATTAAAAACCAATTAAAAACCATAAAAGTCAAATCAAACCATGTGCGGGGGACAGGCATGTCCGTGCTTGTCGGTGCCTGTCTGTGGGGGAGACAACAGCAAGAGTGTTGCTGTTCTCCTCTCCATCACTTGTTCATCCTCTGCCCTCGCCATCAATTGTCAGACTACGGGGCTAATTGCAAAACTCTCGCCCACACACACACACACGAGTGCAGCAGCTGTGGCTGTGTGCCTCGACAGCAACAGGAAGAACAAAAATAGCAACGACCAGGCGGGAGTGAGAGGAAAGGACAGCAAAGGGCTCACTAGACTTGCACTACAAGAAAATATGTTCTGTCTGTTTGCCCACCACGACCCGCACGATGGACTCTAGTCAAAGCTTCTCATCGTGATCAGACACGATTGTCGGTTTCGGCTTCGTGGCGATCTTGCCTTCGTTTGGTATTGAAAGAGAGCGCCTGGTGCCCAAGGTATACTCAGAAAAGGTGAGTGCTTTCATTTAATGCTCTGATTTCTCTCTCTGCACCACAGCTGCGTTTGCAGGCTATACAAAATTATGACAAAAGTGTCAAATTTGCCAACTAGACACATGGGCAACAGGATGTGTGTGCATGTGTTCGTGTGTCGTTGCACGGGACGGTGCGGAGGAGGTGTTGCAGAGAGCGTAATTACTGCTTTTAACAGAAAAGTGCAAAGTGAAACCGAAGCGCTGCCATTATGGATTGAAACTCATTGAAATCAAGCTGCCCGCGCGCGGGCGAGGTGGAGGAGAGTGTGAATGATGTAGTCGCTTAGTCAGCTGCACCTCGGCTGGTGAAATAGTGTATAAAGAGAGTGTATGAGAGGTGGAGAGCGAGAGAGCGAAGGGCTTTGAAAGTTATGTTGGTGTATTTCTATTTCCAGTCTCTGCTTTCAGCGCAGCAGCTCATGTGTGGACCAAGTATTTTTTTATATTTTTCGTTTTGTTTTTTTTTTTTTTATAAATGCTCAGTGGCCATGCAGGGATAACTTTCGAGTAGAGAGGGGGCTTTATAGATGAGGTGTTGAGCTGTGAGAGAGCGCAATAGCGGGACTGGCTTTTGTTCGATGAGTGCCGGCTATTTAGTTACAGTTTAGCGGTGACGGGTAGGGAAAGAGTGCAAAACTATTGCCAGCTCGTGGGCGCTTTCCCTTTCAGTCCATGCTGGATGCTGGTCCATTTTATACAATTTCATATCATTTTACTATTTTATTCAATTTATCCTCCTTCTGTTTGGCACAGACAATAAATTTTAATTGAAATCTGGCCTTGGGAAGAACCAAAACGCATTGCCTCCGGCGGGAGTCCATGTGGGGGCGTCGGGCGCAGTTCTGCTGCTACTGTTTTCTTCTCCTTCTCCGCCTCCTCCTCCTCCTCCTCTAGTTCTTCTCCCGCTCCCTGTGCTGCTGTCATTTTTTGTTGTTGTATTGTCATGGTTTCATTTTTAGTTATTCCTTTTGCAGAGAAGCCTTTCGGAAGGACTTTATCTCTTTCAGCGCGTAATAAAATGTGGAAACGTTATGGTTGGGGCATGGGCACGGGCACGGGCACAGTATGGTTGCTAAGGCTTTAGGGAATGTTCAGTGAGTCGCTTTGGCCTTAACCCGTTTTCCCAGAAAACTGAAAAGCGGAGCCGTCCGAGGTACTTGTAATTTCCTATCGACTCGACGGTCACTCTATGCTTACAGCTAACTGCTGCAATCAATGCAATTACGGTAAACGTCTGCCCTAAGTATACACCCTCGT